CTATTTTTGTTGACCTTTGTCCATGGAAGGTCCCTGCAAAATTTCATTGAAATTGGTTCAGGGGTTTTGGAGAAGAAGTCGAAAATGTAAATTGTTTACGGACGCATGACGGACAAAAGGCAATCGCAATAGGTCACTTGAGATTTTGTCTCAGGTGACCTAATAAAACTGGTGGAATAAGCACATTGACCGGTAAAGTTGGAAACTGCTTATACAAGCCCACCTGACAAGTGCTTTTTAAATTAATTTCTAAAGCTAAATGGTTAGTATTGTTAATTCTACGTATCCACATCAGCATTGTTAATTCTACGTATATCCACATCAGTATTGTTAATTCTACGTATATCCACATCAGTATTGTTAATTCTACGTAAATCCACATTAGTATTGTTAATTCTACATATATCCACATCAGCATTGTTAATTCTACGTATATCCACATCAGTATTGTTAATTCTACGTATATCCACATCAGTACTGTTAATTCTATGTATATCCACATCAGCATTGTTAATTCTATGTATACCCACATTAGTATTGTTAATTCTACATATCCACATCAGCATTGTTAATTCTATGTATATCCACATCAGTATTGTTAATTCTACGTATATCCACATCAGTATTGTTAATTCTACGTATATACACATCAGTATTGTTAACTCTACATACGTCCACATCAGCATTGTTAATTCTACATATGTCCACATTAGTATTGTTAACTCTACATATATCCACATCAGCATTGTTAATTCTATGTATATCCACATCAGTATTGTTAATTCTACGTATATACACATCAGTATTGTTAATTCTACGTATATCCACATCAGTATTGTTAATTCTACGTATATCCACATCAGTATTGTAAATTCTACGTATACCCACATCAGTATTGTTAATTCTACGTATATCCACATCAGTATTGTTAATTCTACGTATATCCACATCAGTATTGTTAATTCTACGTATATCCACATCAGTATTGTTAATTCTACGTATATCCACATCAGTATTGTTAATTCTATGTATATCCACATCAGTATCGTTAATTCTACGTATATCCACATCAGTATTGTTAATTCTATGTATCCACATCAGTATTGTTAACTCTACGTATATCCACATCAGTATTGTTAATTGTACGTATATCCACATCAGTATTGTTAATTGTACGTATATCCACATTAGTATTGTTAATTGTACGTATATCCACATCATCATTGTTAATTCTACGTATATCCACATCAGTATTGTTAATTCTACTTATATCCACATCAGTATTGTTAATTCTACGTATATCCACATCAGTATTGGTAATTCTACATATATCCACATTAGTATTGTTAATTCTATGTATATCTACATCAGCATTGTTCTGCCCCTTTCTCACTGGTTAATAGACATGCATTACTGGACAATAAACTATCAGTATGTGTATATTACTTTCCAACAATTCATGTACATCCAATGCTTTTTGAAAATTGATAAATTAGCTTTGTTGAGCGAGGCAATGTGCATGCATGCTTATCATGCATGTTTGTATATATTTGAAGATCATGTTCACAAAAAAAGAATTCAGCTTTCCATCTGGATCACACTAAATATGACATCAGTGTCCAGTGTTGATTGTCTGCTGAATTATCTAGGAACATCTTCTACAGTATATGAAGTGTGCAGGCCTTTCTATACATGTAAAGGTATCGGAAGACTAGGGACTACTGGACAAGCCAGAAAAACAAGGCAGCAGCAAGGAAGACACCGGCATTAGGTGACAGTTTTTCCAATAAAAAAAAAATCTATTTAATAAGTAGATTATTTAAGTCAGGCCACATTATATGGAGTGAACATTGAGCTATAAACAGGAACATACATTTTATTTAATTGTGGCATATAAACCACCTAACCAACTAGTATGAAATATTCATGTTTGATTAGAAATGTCAGAAAAATAATTAATACAGGTCAAAGTAGAAAGGTTTTCTTTTGTTATTTTTTTCAACAATTTGTCACCACTGGTTTGTATTCCACTATATTAGTATAATTCATGCACATTTGTTGATTATTTCTTACTTGTAACTGTGACCGACAGATGACAAGCTATAACAGTACATGACAGTAATAAAGGATGACCATACACCTGTCATGTACTGTTATAGCTTGTCATCTGTCGGTCATAGTAATAAAGGATGACCATACACCTATGTTCAGGTCAGGTCAGTGAATTGTGTTTTGTAGCTTATAAGTCGTAATATATAAGGCTTCCAGAATAAATGAATTGAATGTGTCTGCTGACCAGCACATGTACATGGTATATGTATATAGTAGACACATCTAATAGACAGGTGACAACTTAATGACCCTTGTAATGGAGCCATTTAACAAGACTGATCTTACCTGTGTACTACCAGTTCACCTGTATATCATATAGCACATATATTGGTATACATACATATGTGCATTGACCATATGAGTGATACTGGTTTTTGCAATATGTTTATAGTCACCATTTGGATACCAACACACATTCTCTATATTTCTGAATACAATACAAAACAATTACTTGTACAGTATATTACATACACCTAGCTTGCTGACTTGATAATGTGACCTTTTATGGTCTTGAAATCATACTTCTGTATATTACCTGTTGAATGATAAAAATCTATTAATACACATTGACAGTTAGGGAGGGTGTTTCAATTAGCTTTTTTCCACACCTGGTCATAAAAAGTAAGGCAAAAAATTAAGAGATAATCATGATGATGAGGTGTTTGAACACATCTATTTTGTTTTATCTCAATATCTACCATGATGTTATGTATACTTTAACATCAGGACAGGTACAGGACAACTTGAAGTTGTGGAAATTCATCATCATGTAATCAAACACATAACATTGAAAAAAGCTTAAGTGTTACCTGAAATTTGAATCACATCATTCAATATGATAATATTGATAAAAAAGGCAGAAATAAACCTTTCATCACAAAATCTGTATCATCATTTTATGACATCTAGAAACAAAATGAGTTAAAACTGAAAGACATTGGCACTGATGGGTCCTAATCTAACTGTACAAATACTTCAAAAGTTTAAACGACCTTTTGGACTAATCTAACTACTTCTTTGGTCAACATTAAAACTGACCAGGATTTTGCATGACAGACTTACTCTTAAATGATTAAATATCAAAGCAAAGGGATTGATAATAATCTGATGGTTTGTTTTCTCATTCGACTTTCCTGGTCATTTGGATAACACTCAGAACACCCTTCTTAGAACACTACTGAAATTCAATCATGTTTTTTTTATAAAATTTTGATCATGCTCTTCCTAATTATAATACCAAAAAAAAGTATGTGTTCTCACCAATTATCATCACTTTAAGAAGGTTTTAGGATTTAAAATGTCTAAATTAACAAAAATGTGAATGATGTTTTCATATTGATATTTGAAAAGGTTACCCAAAGATTATTCTAAACGATACATGTTTTTAATTTGCCATCATGATCAGCAATGCTGCATGTAATGAAATGTGTGATCAACTTTGAACAGCAAATTATTCAGATATCAAACATTTTGTTCAACTGATTAGCTATTTCCACATTCTAATGGGGCTCTTCTTAGTGTATTATACATGTGCTAAATATGGCATACATAATTAAAATCGTACCTGTTTAAACTCAAATTGAATTTTTATGGAGTATGATAATAACAACAGGTTAATTAAATTTTGAAAGATTGAAATTGCCCTCCAGCTTTACAGCAGAAATAAAATTACTGTTCACTATTACTTTCCTCAGCACAAAATAAAAGAAATAGTTCTAAAATTATACAAACATCAAATTATTTGCTAAATACCTAAAATAATGTGAAATGTGGAATAAGTTTGTAAATCTTTGTTAAGATGAATTATAATCAGGTCTGTAGCACACAGTGGCTAACACATTTTTGGACACACAATATGATGAAGCTTCATCAACTGAATTGACCATTACACAAACATTAACTAACATGATAAATAGTTAAGTTAATTTAGATACTATTTCAATTTTTTTCATATGCTAAATCATTTTATAAAAAAAAAAATCACAACTACATAACTTGTCCTGAAAACTTCTACTACAACATCTTTGGAAAGAAATTACATGAGTTCACTATTGAAACAAAAAGTAATGAATAACATCAGGATAAAACTAAATGAGTTAAAGTTCATATTTGCATAAGTAAAGCATGAAGGTGTGGAATTCTCTTCTGTATACAAGACCATAACAAGATTGTAGATTTATTGAACAATTTAAACCCTACATGTGAAATAATTAAGCGGCAACATTATCAGTCAAAGATTTTGGAATTCTATTAACTTATTATGAGAAAATTATAATTAAACTGATAAAGTAATGAAGACTTGCAATGTTGTTGTTATTAAATTGTAACATTATTATTACAATATAATTGTATATTGTTATGCATGAAACTACATAAAAGGTGGAAAATGTTTGAATATTTTTTTTTATTCGAAAGATCTATTCTTTATGCACAAGATGAACATAAATTACATGCCTCAAACAACCAATACAATCACTAAAAACATATTTTTTCAAACTTACTCTGTTTTACTCTAGTTTTTTGATAGCCCCGCCTTCTAATGCCACGTGACTAAAATCTTGCCGGCCTACATCATAACGTTGGCAAATACCTTCGGTAACGTGAGATCTTGTCAAGTCATGTGACATTGCTCATGCCCAAATTTCCATTAAAAACATGGGTTGGTATAGAAAACGTTGGAAAATACTGCTCGTAATGATCTTTGAAACATGTTATTGATACCACCTAGCGCATAAAGAATAGATCTTTCGATACATGTGCAACATGTGTGTGAAAGTGTCAATTTGTTTCTAAAATGTCAGTTTGAAGAGCGACCCAGGCGTGGGTTGCTTTTTTCCCCGTATATTATAGAGGGCCGGAGTTCTGCGTTAATCGACGACAGACCGATATAAAAAAAGTCGATAAATCGTCAGAATAATTTGGACTATAGTATTTACAGCTTTATCATAAACGTCTGCTGGTTGATATTTATTCGTGTTTTAAGCAGCTTTTGATCCGTCGAATGTTCAAAGAATTCAATTGGATAAACGAAAACTGTTAAAAAAAATGTTTATAATAAAAAATAGATAAAGCAGTTTCAATATTAAAGCTGGTATATATATAGTGAGGATGACTCAGTTCATTCAACCAAAACATACAAAGAAGTCTCGCAAATGCGAAGCAATCTTCGAAAGCCAAGGGAGTTCCCAAATAATATGGAATACCGATATTGTCATTTATATATAGATCCGATGAACAGGTTGGGCACTTTGTGTGTTTTTATTTCACTTTATCACCCATTTCAGTGATAAAATTATTACTGAAATTGGTAACTGTTACCCGAATGCAGGATTNAAAATAATATGGAATACCGATATTGTCATTTAAATATAGATCCGATGAACAGGTTGGGCACAATGGCACATATGGGTTATAATCCTGCATTTGGGTTACAGTTACCCATTTGAGTAACAATTTTATTACTGAAATGGGGAATAAAGTGAAATAAAAACACACAAAGTTCTTTTAAACACTTGTTGAAAGAATGACGCCCATTTTTGTTCTTTATGTGTAAAAGAACTTTGTGTGTTTTTGTTTCATTTTATCACCCATTTCAGTAATAAAATTATTACTGAAATTGGTAACTGTTACCCGAATGCAGGATTATTACCCATATGCGTCGCTGTGCCCAACCTGATGAAAGCCTACATATATATATATATGAAAGTGTAATTGCCATACACATATCGTTCTATGCTCAATAATGGACCGTGTACTCCCTCTCAGCTGTTTGACTCGTGTTTTATGCATTTCGTTTTTGTACACACTAAAACAGTTTTCTTGTAGAAAAGTGAGCTTCTGGTTTGCTGGTAAAAATATGTAAGGATACATTGTTACTCAAAAATTAAAACAGCTTACATACCTTGATTTATAAATATCACCTCTCCTGTGTCATGTTATCAATAACACTCGGCATTTGGGTTTACATAGTCCGGTTTTCTATTTTGTGGCGTGAGGCAGATCTTAGTCCGGATCAATATGCTGCTTTGGTGTCGCGTCACCTGAGCGCTTGTTTTTCTTACAAATCACGGGGGCCAAATGGTAACATGTACAATTCTATACCATCACGGCTTTACAGATGTATTGGTTGGGCTATTATATTTACGACCGCTTCACTACCGAGTAGTTCGGTTATTCAGCAGACAATACCAGAGACACATCGTTTACTACTGGTTTTATGCGTCTCTGGTAAACAAAGAGGAGGAGGAGGAGGAGGAGGAGGATCACTACACCTTACATCAGCATATGTTTTTTCATGTTTTTTTAAATGCAAGCCTGCGGACATAGTCTGAAACTGGTCTATTATAAATGTGCAAATAAGTCCTGTAAGTATGTCATTATTCGTTATAACACCGTCAGCAGATCACTGGTCAGAGACGTATACAGCATACAAATGTACATGTACATTGGTACAACGTATGTAAGAAAATAATATAGTATATATATATATTGCATCGATTCCGAGTATATACTACAAGATACAAGAATTTTTATTTAGAGTCGTATATGTTGTAATGGGAACAATAGCTCTGTAGAGCTATTATTACAACAAACAACAGGCATATAGCAAGGTTTATACTCACACAGACAAGAAAAAGAATAAAATCACAGCATGCAGTAATTAAAAACAACTTGGCACGTACAGAACAAAGTATATATATAAAAATCTATATTAAAATTGATGCTGCACAAAAGATTCGTGCCACATGCTCGCAAACGAAGAAACCATAGTTCAGTAATACATAAATGCCAGTATGGTATGAGTTAAAAACTGACCGAATATATGCTAATATAGCATAAATTAAAAAGATGATTTGACAAGAATTGAGTAGTCATACAATGCGTAAATAAGAGCACTAAGCTAAAAATGAAAGGAAGTAAAACCAAAGAAGCATGGTATCACAAGACATGGTAAAAACTAATTATAGAAATGGTAAAAAAGGTTGGAACAAACAAACAAGACTAGTTACATATGGCGCAGGAACACAACTGGCCGTCCCAAGTGTGCAGCAGTCTGCGAAAGCTCTGTAAATTTGCTACTTTCCTCGATTCATTCGGCAAACTGTTCCACACTTGGGCAGCCTAAAAACGAAAAGATTTTGTTCCATACCTTGTTGTGTTAGCTATATGTACCTAAATGGTGTTCTCTTGCCTGAAATTATATTCAACATTATTTCTAACTATCAAATCATTTAAAAATTCTGGAGCTAACCCATTTAAAATGTTAAAGACTTCTGTAGCCATAGTCTTCATTCGAACAACGCGTAAAAATGTGAGGTTGTTTCTGCGTAAAATATCTATCACAGGTGAGGTAAAATCGTTTACAATAAAACGCAGAGCTCTTTCCTGTATCTTTTCCATCTTACGAGTGTTGTAACAGGAAAGAGAATAGTGTGCTCCACCGGGGATCGAACCCACGATACTCAGGTTCCTATAGTCGGACGCTCTACCACTGAGGTAAAGGGAAATTCCCTCTACCTCGAATCTAGAAGGCGACCGTAATCCTACATATGTATGTACAATTAAAATCTGCCACACTCCTCAGTGGCGGATCCAGAGTTGTTTTTGGCTTCAGGTACCCCCCCCCCCCCCCCCCCCGAGATTTTTTCTTTAAAAATCATGTATTTTCACCATTCCCTCAATTTCCCTCCAAATGGACCCCCCTGTAAATTGAGACACCCCCACCCCACCCCACCCCCGAGATAGGTCTAGGGATCCGCCACTTCTCCTCACCCCTTTTTAAATGTATTCGCCCTCGAACACCATGCTCAACCCTGGGTTTAACTCCCTGTCACCACAGGGAGGGTCACGGAAATCATTTGTAACAGGAAAGAGAATCAGCAGTGTCTACTTCTACTTCTACCAGATAATAACCTACTTCAACTAGTTGAAGATTATGTCATTGTGGTTTTGGCATGAAAAAGAGGAACATAATTCATTATTGAAGGATGATAGAGTGTCTGCTGATGAAATTTCAGGTGGGAGTGATCATGGGAGTGTGTTCCAATCAACGATTGTCCGAGGAAAGAAGGATTCTTTTCTCACTGACGTTCTACAGGAGATAGTACGGAAAGAATTTTGATGACAGTTCCCAAGTCTTGTAGTGGGAACCAGGGCCCGTTTTCATGAAACCGTTCTCGTACTCAACCTCAAATTCTGTGCTCAAGCCCAAGTTCTTGTTCCTGTGATTGATTAAGTAAAAAAACACATTGTGTCAAGATTTTTGAAAGAATATTGAAGAGACTGCAAGCCTCATTCTGTCTTAGATATTCTCAAATGACTATCTGGCCGTGTCACATGATTTAAAAGAGTTACAAGAAAGTTGGTTTGAGCACAAATCCATGCTTGAGCATGAGAACGGTTTCATGAATATGGCCCCAGGTGCTTGGGGTTGATGGCAACTTTGCTATGGCATACATTGTAGAGCATGGTCAGCCGAGCATCTTTTCTATGATTGGCAAGACTTCATTATCAATGTGATCTAACATGTTATCAACGCTTGAGGTGTTACGATGGAGTTCATATCCGCGGAAGGAGAATACATTTTACGTGCATATAGGAGGTTTTTTAAACGAAAAATTATCCATCTTTCCAACAGTACTAAGCATTTTTCCGTAGATCAACTGGAAATGTTGTTTTTGATGCAAGAAAGTTATATTTGGTGGGGTCGACATTTCGACATCGAGAGCTTTCCTCCCTTCTCACAGAGACATATAAAGCCATATATATACGTATCTGCTTCTCAGTATATACCGAAAGTCGATCTTAACCCCTAAAACATGTAAAATTTCTCTGAACACCTTAGTTTAGGTCCAAATATAGCTGTAAAAAATTATCATGTCCTTGTGGTATATATATGTTGATCTCTGGCTCTACCACTATAACTGAGCTAACTTGACGGAACTTCCCTCTAGCTCGAAGCTAGAAGGCGAGTGTAATCCTATATACAATTAAAATCTGCCACACGATTATCTTAGTCTGTGCGTGGACCAAATAATGTTCTGCGTGAATCAAAGACTTTTTGCCGAGTTTCATTTTTTACTGATATTTGCGTACATTTCCCGTTGACAGACGAACCGATTACGTTATCCATTACATAGCGTGTGCTATATGCTTTGAATGTGCAAGGTGCTCCATCCGGGTTACGGTTGTTACCAACAACAATATGGCGGCGTGCATGTTATAGACAAGTTTCCTTCTGTCGGAAAGCAGGGGGAGTTGGGAATTTCCTTTTGACACGATGCTGCTGGTCAAATAACTATTATTGTAAATAATATAACCAGGTCATCATGGATGAACGTCATTGGTGGATAGCTGGTAAAATCCAGGAAACTTTTAAGATCGGCGGCTATGACAATCCGACGCTGTTGGAGGATTTTATGACGGAGGAGGGAACGCTCACTAAAATAAACCGTTTCCTTAAATCAAGCGGTCCATGTCGCCTATTCTTTTATTCAGAAAAACCGGAGAATGCAACCTTGTCATCAAGAGAACTGTATGTCACTGGAACACTAGCTGCGTTAAAAGATGTGAATTTAGATAATGTAAACATTCTTTACTTTCTCCGAAACCGTGTAGACAAAGATGTTGATGGTCATCGGATGGAAAGAGATGTGTTCTGTGGGGAACTCAAACACAACACGATTGAAACGCTCACAGCGTTGCTTTCAGATGTTTACCTACCACTCATTAAGGCACAGAAAGAATGGGGAGAATGCAACAATGAATGCCAAACTAATCTTACACATAGCATGGACAAATTTTTGACAGCTTTAAATGAATCAACTGCTTCTATGCAAACTTCAAAACAGTTGGTATGTTGAAAATACATCACTGCATTTATCTATTACCAACAGTTCAAAATATCTAATAAATTTCTTTTTTTTTGAAGTAATTAATTACTGAAAAAAACCTGATGGGTTTACTCTAATGAATTATTACCTGTAGATTTCTATGTTTAAATGCATGTAATTTTAATTAAGTGTAATTTTTCAATTGTTTTTATTAATTACATTTTCAAGTTTCTTAGTACAGTATTGCAAAATAATTTGTATTCATATTGAACATATGTCGCTCAACAGATGCTGAAGCAACCGGAAAATATTATTTTGAATGACTTCAAACAACAAAGAGCAGCTGCCCTAGATCCTCAATTAATTAGTCAATATGAGGAACTTGTGAATGATTGGATGAATACTATCGAGACAACACTAAATGATACTTCTGATGAAAGGTAACAAGTTCCTTAGTATTTTTTTTTATTATAGATGCTTTTTCATATAATTGAAATGTTTCCCTATCTTTTCTTTCATATGAAACCAGTTTCATTATCCAAATACAATACAACAGTTCTTTGAAATCAAATGGAATCGTTTTGAATATCTGCATGCTAGTTTCATAAAGTCTCACAGCTTTGAAAATCAAATGGCTATAATGGAGATTTTTATATATTCAATATTGAATGTGTGGCTTTGCTTAAAAAGTTTTTTTTTATTGCACATTGATCAAATGAAAATTTCTAAGATCATATTCACAATAATTTTTGTCTCATACTTTTTCAATTGATGTATATATGTAGTTGTTATTAACATGATGTCTTTATTATATGTACTGATTCTTTATAAATAATTGAAATCAATGTTACTTAATGCTTTTCTAGGAAAGTGGCATTTCCAGATGAACCAGCCTCTAGGTGATTCTATTTATGTGTAGCCCTAGTTGATTAGAGTTTGCTGTTGATGAAATAGTTATAAATGTACCTGTTGGATGTTATTGTGTAATATCATAATAAATAATGCTACACAAAAATGCTTTTTAAGCAGTTGATATGAGGTCAGAAAGCTAACATGTTTGTTTAGAATTAAGATTCATGCTATGATATTAATATCATAATCAAGATGGTGTATATGTATAATGTTGTATTTTAGGAGCTTTGTTTGCTGCTATTAGTGTGTGATTGCATAGAAATGCTATTAATTGTAAACTCATAAGCTAGTCAATACAGATAGTCTTAATTCCTACTACTTAGTTCAGTGATACTTTGTTAAAATGTTGTAGATGTCCTTGATGTCATTTTTTGTTTATTTCTTGAAACAATTCCATTACTTAAGCAAAGTTTCATATTAAACTGCTTGGTGCAGCATCATGCAAGTGAATTCATGAACATTTGTTTGAATGTTCTGATGAATTCTTTGTTGCTGTTTTTGTTCTGTTGTTTAAAATACTTTTTAAGTTCAATTCAATAACATCTGTGTCATTACAGTAGATAGAAATAAATCACCAAAGATTCCTTGGTCAACACTTTTGTGATAACAGTGGCATTTTTTTTATTCATGGAATAATCTAAATTATCCTTTTGTTAGAGTTTATTTCATTTACAAGATTGATATATTTTGGGAGCCAACCCGTAGAAAGAAGTCAATGATTGTTGTTGATATAGTGATGGGTATAACTGTAGAGAGAAGATTACTAGTGCTGTGTTGACTAACAGACCTTACATGTGTAGGGTAATACTACTTACTGGTCCAGTCAAGATGCTGTGTTGATTCTCATATTATCAAGGACTTGATATTTAAAATCTGTCTGATCTAAACATATTATTCATAAGTCAGTGTATATCTGAAATATTTGGAAACTTTTAATTAAAATAAATAATCTGACTGATTTGTGAGTGTAAACAAAGGTTTGAATATCTAGGCTAACATGCATGCTGCAGAAATTGGTCAATACCTGCTTTCTAACATAACGGAATGTTTGGTGATTATTGTATTCTCTTGTATTTGGAAAGTTTTATATCGTATAGAGTTGAAAATATAACAAAAACAGTTGCATGGTCTTAGGGCCTTTCACTTCTTCAGAGGTTCCTAGGACTAAACTACATATACCTCTAAAAAGGTGACAGGCCTAGAAACGATGCCACTGTTTCATTACATTTTTTTATTAGTTTTTCCTACATAGGATTATTTTTATTATTATTGTATAATATGCATAATATATTATAAATATATATATGTAACAAGTGATGATCGATTACAATTTATATCCAAAAGAGGGACTTCATTCTCCAATATTATATCCAACCTTATTCTCAAATATCATATCATTGTACATGCTTTAGTTCGTATATTATATACATTTGTGAATAAGTTGATGAGATTAAATATAAAGCATAATACTCCCGAGTTATAATCTAAAAAGTAAAAAACAAGTTTTTCTGTGAATCTAATACAGGATATATGTCTTCTCTGATCAGTAGATATTTCAACTTCATGACATAATGTTATCATGACTTCACATAGTGTGACAGAAAAAAATATTCTGACATCACAAACAGTTATGTTACTTCACAGTCCACAATATGAAATTAAAAAAGTATACCGCTGGCTGGGAGTGACAAAGCCTATAGCAGTTATACCTTAAAGATGTACAACCAAATTTGAATAGAGTACTAATTTGTCTAAAAAAAAAAATGGAACTAGAATCATATACAATATGTGACAAATCCTAAGAAAGGAGATAATCAAATAATGTTTAATCCAAGCAAAGCAGAAATATCCACATTAGGCTGATATGAATTGTTTATATTGTGAGTTTTCCGTATCTTAGCAAATTTGGATGCCTTTACATACTTTTCTGACACAAAATGAACACACACGTTTCCTTAAAGCAATACCAGGTGATAGCAATATCAAAACATTTAAAGGAAAATTCAAATTTCAAACATGTCTGAAGAAAGATTTATTCATGAGAAATTCAATGTTTCGTGCATACTTTCCCAGATTTTTGGACCCTAATGCAGGACCTCTGTCAGAGTTGGAACGGTGGCGGCGCCGTCAGCGGCTCCTTACCAACATCACAGAGCAGCTGAAGAGTAAAGAATGCAAGGCTGTGATTGGGGTTCTCATCACAGTCAAATCCAGGCTTCTCAAGAAGTGGAAGAACATTGACGCATCGTATGTACTTCTTTATGATCTAATGATATTCAATGATATTATAATCTGATTGTATTTCATTTAATATGTCTGTCACAAGTATGATAATTCTTCTGATTTACCCTATCATTATGGTTTTATGTTATTTAAGTTAAATCATGTAACAGATAACAGATATATAAATTGTACATGTTCAGTATTTTATTTCAGTTGTATGTTTATATGCACCTTCAGTGTAACAGTAAATCCCACTACTTAGGTTTACCGAAGACATCACTAATACAGAAGTGTTGTTTACACATCCTATGAGAGTGATCTTTGTGTTATAGAATCACTGATGCTATGAATGACACCAAGGATAAAGTGAAATATCTGGAGTCTTTGCGGCGCCATTTTGACCAGTTGTATCATGACGCTACACCTGCATCCATCATCAACAATGCCATCCCTGGTATCACCAACAGTGTGAGGCAGATGGATTCCATCTCACGCTATTACGCTCGTGTTGGCTTCTTAGGCCTCATGTTCACCAAGATCACCAATCAGCTGGTGCTGGCGTGTAAAGAGTACATAAAGAACTGTACTATGACTGTGTATGATGGTGATGAACTGTGGGAGCGTATTGGTGAGGAGATTCGCAGTCGGGACTCTCTACCTAGCATGGACACACAGCACAAATATCTCAAGAATCAAGTAGAGGCCAACCTCAAGGTAACTACAACTCTCTGTAATGGTTGTACAATATTTCTACCATCATTTCAAATATTCTCCTGTGTTTGTCCATGAAATTATTCAAACTGCATTCTGTTCTTAGCTGAAATTTATTCAAAACTACTTAATGAAAAGCTTATTTGATTGATGCATTGAAGATAACATGTACAGTATAAAAAATTGAAGATTTGTGACAATGAAATGTTAATCCTATGTACTTTGACGTGTAAGGTTTGTTGTAAACACTAGTCCTTTAGTCAGAGACTGGTATGTTTCATTTAGAACCAGTGAATTACCTAAACCAGCAAGTCCAGTAGACTTGCAAAGAATATTTAATCAGAATATCATTTTATCAAATATCAAATATCAAATTATGTTGACTAATAAGAGTTTCCTTTGCAAGAGCTGCTTAAAATACTGTCATTTTGTGTATTGTTAAAATTTTCTAGGACTTAACCATAATTCTTTGACAGTATTTCCCTATACAGCCATTCTATTCGCTTCCTGGGTGTTAGCTGCGCAAGCTCCAAACTTTAACACTGCTGTAGGACTAATTAATGTTCTAGTTAACGAGCTATTGACTACCAAGCAGACCAGATTGTGTCTAACACTTATGCAAGTCCTACTTGAGTTTATAGAATCGCTTCATTGGTGTTGAGTAATAAAACAAAGTGCTTAAATACTTGTAACATAATAACATGTATCAAATTTGCCATCTGCGAGAAAAGCAATTTTGTATTTTGATTTTCTAGAACGCACCCTCTCGAGGAAAGAGTAAAGAGGGCAAGGACCTAGGCCTGCAGGATGACAGCCTGTTTGGGCGCCTGAGGGCATGCCTTACCTTGCAGGGATACTATCGTGAGATGCTTAGGTCCCTTAAGGACGCCCTGGGACAGAGCCAGAACCTGTCCCACTTCCCGTCCCTCAGTAGTGTGGGAGGACCAGGTAGTTTTACTGGCACAGGTGCCAAGTAAGTATGAAAGGGGACAATATACTATGTGAATTAGGAAATAACGCTCCAATGATGTCAGTATTTCATGTAGTGTTGAAACGAATGAGAAGAATGTTGTTAAATACAACAAAGAATTAGAAAATAAAAAAAATAAGAATTTAATATTTAAAAGGGGTGTATACATGTATAAACATGTATATGCAGATCTCTAAAAAGGTACTTTACTGTGATTTGGTAAGTTGTTCTCTTGTTCGCTTCTCTTTATATCTTATGTTGAAACTTGAACATTATATTTGATGCATTCAGAATTTTAAATGTAACCTATTGTGCAATGCTAGGTCAAAGCAGGGTACCAGTGGGGCATCACGAGGGACCAGTGTGTCCCCTAAGAAGGGCCAGTCAATCATGATAGCAGACACCCAAGGACACGGGGTGTCCATTGCTGATGAAGAAGCCATCATGTCCCACATGGATTCCTTCTGTAACCGAATCCGTCAGCTCATGGACGTTATCAACACTCTGGCCCAGTACAACAAGTATGTACTGACAACCACACTAAACTTTGTAACAAGCTGGACTGTCTCTAGAACACTGCCTTGGATCTGTCAAGTTAGGCTGTTAAAACAAAATAAAAAAATCTATGTGTTTGCAAATGGTCTGACTGCTGGACATTTAAAATATCTTAAATATCCTGCATAAGATATGTAAATATTTATCAAATAACATACTTCATTATTTTACTTTTCCAGAATGGTGCACTCAACGACAGGAATTCCTCGCCTGAGGAAGGAGGATCTGGTCAATGAGGATGAGAATGAGAAGGACATTTACAAGTATCGTAAACGCCAGCAGGAGGCACTCAAGGCCGTCAGTAAGTGAACATTTTGTCAGGATTATTAGTTTGAAGTAGTGTAGTAGTTTAAACACCAATTATAAGCTTTAATACATATATGTATTATTCTTTCAAGTCAAAGCCTCTGTTTGATTGACTGAAAAGATTCGGTATTTGTGTAGTTCCTATCCGGATATAAGGCTTGTAACAGTATGCAATTATAAAATCTTACTACATATCGACACCTCTTCTGCAGTGGTATATGAAGATGAAGAGGTAGAAGGAGGTCTGACTTCGGTGCAGGTTACCTCCCCTGAGCGGAGTCTTCGTGCGATTGCGGAGGATGAAGAGAACCAAGATGACCAAGGGTCAGATCCTGAGGACATGGCCATAGAGAAGAAAGAGGTCCCCCCAGATCCGACAGATGATGTTTTTGAAACAGTCAACGGCAAACAGGGTCTCAGCGATGAGGAGATAGCCATCATAAGTAAGTACAATTTGTGCATCACAACTGTAGTAATTCTTAACTCAGTAGAAAGGTTTCCAGTCCACATTAATAGTTATTAACCTGTCGTATAACAGCTCTCCATCAATATATAATTGGTGTCATTTCATTTTACGATGTCAATGGTACAAGTTATTCACATGCTAAATAATTCAAGTTTGTATAAGAGTTTTTATCCGTGTTCAGGGAAGTACTTTCCTGAAGAGGAAGAGGAGGAGGGGCCTAGTATCTCGTACACTGTAGCTCAGCACCATGACAGCATGATGAAGGCTATGAGTGAAAATGTCACTACCAAGACCATGCTTGATGTAGAATCAAAGGTATACAACCAACTATAAAGTAGGCAGTTGTTTGGACTTGGATAATTTTAATATGTCCAACTCATTGCCTTTGGGACTACAATTTGATGTATATTATGATGCTTGTCGAAGAATCCTACTTTCTATTAAGGTCTCCATATTTTAGGATGTACCTTTTAATATATCTTCACCCAAATTCATCAAAATATTTTAAAAAGTGGTACAGTTATCTGCTACGGTATTTCTGAAGCTAAATTTCGACATTTTAATCATTGAAGCATATAGTTTAACTGGTGAGTCAGAGTGCTTTTAATGACAGTTTGTATTTATTTTGATATTTTCCTTTGATTAGGACAGAGACAAGTTTGATGACTACTATGCCAACTTTGCCACGACCGTACAAGAACTAGAAACGTTCATGGCTGCCTATCTCCACGCTATGTTCCTTAGAAAGAAGATGAAGACAACTCAAGGATTGGACATAATAACCAGGTTTGGTTTTCTTCAACTCATTGATGCATTATACACATACCCCGTAGTTATCTGTCACATACCTAGGATATGGATACCGAATGCTAAAAGAGAAAATAGTTTAATGCATTGTGGAAATAGTCCAACAAAATGTTTTGATTGAAAGTTTCAATGAAAAAGACATCAATTAAAATACATCTGTAATTCAATAAGATATTTATTTTTATCACTAAAAACAAATAGAAAAAGAATTGAAACATGCCTTGCTAATTAACGGAATTTTAGGAATTTGGAACTTTTAAAAATCATATTGATTGATGGAATTTTTTCTATTGACTTAAATCAGCATCACCATTTATACACAAACTGTGTTGTATTTCAGATTCGGTCCAATCCAAAGTCGGCCGGGAATTCGAGCTCACATAGCAGAAAAGTTTGTAGAGATCTTTAACTGGTACGAAACTGACCTTGAGGAGGTTCATAACATCTACGAAACACACAAGGTACATATAGGTTAATGAGGTCATTCCTGTTCATCTGTATCATTACTTACGGTGTCATTGATGATCAGAGGTGAAAATCTTACAGAAAATTATAAAATAGAACTAAAACCACAAATGCTGCTTATAACTTTAATTTTTGTGAAATATTATTGCCGTCTTTAGATTGGAAAATGCTAATTAACAGTGCATTGAATTACAGTTTAGACATTGTAGGGTGTGTAATCTATAGTGTTACTTGTTAGGTGTGTAGTGTTGATACAAAGTCATGTTTTGTTGGAAACCATAGAATCCAGACTAATGTGATTTAACTGTACTTCCTGTTTGTTAACTAACTGACCTGGTAACCTTTTCACAGGAGAACCCTCAGATGGTGAGGAACGCTCCTCCTGTAGCAGGGGCAATTCACTGGTCCAGACAGCTTCTCAAGAGAATTGAGGACCCCATGAAGATATTCCGTGATAACAGAGCCATCAACCAGCTGGGAGACTTTGGTCGTATTGTCAGGATTTACAACCGACTGGCCACAGCCCTGGTGACCTTTGAGAGTCTATGGTTCACTCAGTGGAAGAACAGGATAGAACAGGCGCGCAGTGGTCTGAGGGCTACTCTGTTTGTACACCACCCCTCTACCGACCAGATTGTCGTCAATGCTGATGAAAGGTGAGTGTATTCTCATATTGCAAATGCTGCTGAATTATCTAAAACAAAATTTGAAACAAGTAGCATTTAATACCAAGATTTGAAATTATCTGCTATTGTAAGTCATCAGTATAAAGTATAATACACCATATAACTTCTACAATGAGGTGATGATCATATCACACCTTTAGTTGTCTATACAACTCTATATATCCATCAAACTTAGGAAGCAATATGTTTCTCAATGTTGTTAACATTGTGCTTTTTGTGTTGCCAGAGTTTTAGAGCTGATACATGAAGCTAAGTGGCTGACCCGTCTGGGTATCCAGATCCCAGAATCAGCTGTGTCCATTATGCAGCAGGAGTCACGTTTCAAGAACTACAAATCTCACCTGGAGCTTGTGCTGAATGAGTACCGTGAAGTCTGCGAGTCAATCCCTGAACCCCTCATCAAGCTGTTCACTCCACACATGGAATTCGTGGAGCAGCAGCTTCAGGCTGGCCTCACAACCTTGGCATGGAACAGCATGAACATAGGTCAGTATATAGACCAAGGCATGGAACAGCATGAATATAGGTCAGTATAAAGGCCAGAGCATGAAACAGCATGAATATAGGTCAGTATATAGGCCAGGGCATGGAACAGCATGAATATAGGTCAGCATGTAGGCCAGGGCATGGAACAGCATGAATATAGGTAAGCATGTAGGCCAGGACATGGAACAGCATGGACATAGGTCAGCATGTAGGCCAGGGCATGGAACAGCATGAATATAGGTCAGTATATAGGCCAGGGCATGGAACAGCATGAATATAGGTCTTCATATAGGTCAGGGCACGGAACAGCATGAATATAGGTCAGCATATAGGCCAGGGCATGGAACAACACGAATATAGGTCAGCATATAGGCCAGGGCATGGAACAGCATGAATATAGGTCAGCATATATAAAGGCCAGGACATGGAAGAGCATGGACATAGGTCAGTATATAGGCCAGGGCATGGATCAGCATGAATATAGGTCAGCATAAAGGCCAGGGCATGGAACATGATGAATGTAGGTCAGTATATAGGCAAGGCCCTGAATACATGGATAAAGGCCAGTATATGAGTCAAGTCATGGACAGTATGGCTAGTCAGTGTAGTTATCAATGCTTGGAGAAGCATGAATAGAGGTCAAATGCTTGGATCAAGTTCAATTCCATGCATAACAGTTGACCCCTACCTACGGATTTGAAGTACAAATCTGTCTCGTGCTAACCCGTGTAGTACCCAATATAACACCATGTCTGATTTTTGTAGATGCATTCCTGCACCAGATTCACTCGGCCACCCAGAAGCTGAAGGGAATGCAACAAAAGGTTCACCAGATAATGGAACAAGATATCTACGATAAACTGGACAGTATCAGGAACTTCTACCTCTTTGATTATGAGGAGGCCATCTCAAGGTCATGGGTAAGAAACTGGTTTATCCTAATGAAACTCATTCAATGATTTGCAAATTACATTTTCCTTTTTAAAAAGGTAAAAAAACCAAAAAAAACATCTAAGATTTGGTTTCACTCCATTAATACTCTATGGTGGTAAATATCTTTCATGAAACAATTGATTGACTCTGCAGAAACCTATAACAGCAATGCAACCAAATTAACGGACAGCAAACAAAGTAATGGAGTCCTAAAAAAAGGCATTTGATATGTAAAAGGTTGAAAGCAGCTTAATTGTCATCAACTGTATGAAAGTGTCACATGATGTTGTAGCCTCCCCTTGAGTTTCGAGACAAGATGTTACAGAGCATCCAGTCGCGGTCAGAGATCCTAGGGCAGTATGTTGAGTCGGTGTTGTCTAGTCTGCAGAGAATAGCTAATACACTGGCTACCAAGAAGGTAAGTATCACATCACTACCGGCTGTTTTGGTATAATTTTGTTTTCTTGATTAGTTTAACATGTTAGACTTGCTTAATAGTCATGTAAAAGCTATATTTCAGTTATCAGATGTTTAAGACTTGCATGCCATATTACCTTACATAAGTACATGATAAACAGGAAAATATTTCATTACCTGAATTAATTCACTCATCCTGTACTAATGGATTGCTGCTAGTCTTCATGCTTGAAAAATCACATTTAAATATGATGTTTTTGAAGCGTAATGATGTTTCTTGATATTGATATTACTAACATACTTACGATGTAACAACAACAAAACTCAAAAATAATGCTTCACTCATTTTGTCGTACTTAACCCAGGTAAGTTATGAACAATAGGAAAAAAACCACATTTCATTTATTTTGAGATGTGAAGAATAATCAGTATAGTAATAGTAATATAGGACTTTGGTAATTTCTTTGGTTTCCAGACGTACACATTTACTTCTATCCATACCATGGCTGTTGCAAAAGGTGTCGCTACCAAGATCAAGCATAAAAGCATGGCTCAATCAGAGAAACGTCCACTGAGCACCACAAGTTTCCAAGGGGTTGGAACCCGTTATTATATATACCTAGTTTCTACTCTTACATTTTCTAGCTGCGTTTACCTCTCAAGTACAATAGAACTTTGTTATGTACAGTCGAGGATGAACAGTCTTGTACACTAACCAGTTATCAAAATTGTGATTTTTCACTAAATTAAGTCAATGAGGAACCCTTTCTACAACGAAGATCACAGATTTGGTTAGATCTGTAGACCTAGAGACTTATAACAAAGTTCTATTGTATAGGGTTCATTGCCTTCTATTTTACCTGTTTTAGTTGTGACTGAAGGAATTGTTTTTTATTGAATTTTCGGGTTACCTGGTTGTTGTTGGGTTTTTTTGCTTTAAAGTTGTTGTTTTGATAATTAACACAATTCAATAAAGATTTTTTATTGGACTCCTTCAAATGACTAAACAATTTTTTTAATTTTGTTTGTTTGTTAATTGACGTTATGTAGTTTTTTCAGGTGATCGCACAACTTTATTTATAGATTTTTCTTACTTGAACATCATCTATTTCCTGTGGGTTGGTTGAAGATGAATTATAAAATATGAATCAATCTGTAACATTCTACTTATGATGGGCTAAGATAAGTAAGAAGTATACATCATCAAGGTCACACTTGTGTCAATAAAATTACCAAGGTGAACTAAAAACCTTTTGTATGGGATGTTCTGAAAATTCATGTAGTTCTTTAATCTTTCTACATAACAAACTTAACCCATTAGTTCATCTTTTTTGCCAATAGTTTTACTAACTATGAAAACGTTTTTAGTTCATGTATAAGAAAACACATTAGCACGATATATACATTTCTGTACATCACAAGGTCTTACGTATATAGCATGCCCTCTTCTTACAGCACCAACTTTACTAGGAAAGGAATTAATGTATCTGAAATTCTGATAAGTTTTACTGAGGTGAGGGTATGTTGTGGTATGTAGGTAGTAACAACAACAGTACAGTATAGTGGCCATGAAGTTGGATGACTTCCCTAAAATATAACTGTACACTTTTCATTTCCCATCAGTCCTACATTTAGTTTCAAACATCCTAAAATTCCAGGACTGAGTTACAGCTGATTATGTAATGTTTGCTGTAAAGTGATATAAAAATGGCATGAAACAAAAATGCGAAATGTCGGGTACATTTTAGCTATAAAGTGCATTACTGATGTGTAAAATGTCATTTGAAGGAGTTTTTAACTGATTATAAATGCTCAGACACCTTAGTGCCATTTAAATATTTCGGACATTTTATTCAACACCTGAAATCTAGTAATAATTCATTGTAATGAAAGTAATTTCTAGATATCATAAATGGTAATTAATAAACAATTTTTAAATGACTTTTTTCCTTAAAAGTGAATTTGACGTAGAGAACTTTATCAGTATTGAAGATGTTCATGAAACCTGGGCTTACGTTTACAAACAAATATCATAGATGTTTATGAAATGCACTGGATTATACTGACATAAAATGTACAGTATTATAGTAATTAACCATTAAAACTTTACCTGCAGACATGAATATTATAAAACAGCCATCATACATTACTAAGGGGTATGAAATTCCTTAGGGGAATGAAATACTAAGGGGTGTGCCATTCAGTTGTTATAATTAATTTCATCTTCTAAGAAGGATGGAGCAGGAACACCTAGATGTTGTAGGGTATTTATGCTATAAAGGTGTTTATATTAGTTTATATGGTAGAAAATCATATGATTAACTACAAAACTAAAAGCAGAATAAAAAAAATTGGAAGATGAATTTATATTTATGGAGCTGGATGTTTTCTGTGTCCATTGATATGTATTGATAATCAATGTAATGTTGCCACACTGGAATATACCCGTAACTGTGTTATAGTCTGACAATCCCAGCAAGTCTAAAAAAATGGCTATCATGATGGATGAAATGGAAGCCATGAGGGAACGACAAAAGATCGAAGAGGAAGAAAACAACATAGCTGAACTCATTGGTATGTATGTGAGGATATCTTTGGTAATCTTTGATTTCTGTCAATAAATATCTACATGGAGGAATTTGATTGTAGTGTAACCAAAATGTTTGATCTGATCTGATAATCAATAGACAAATTCCAGCCAGGAGACACATTTACCAGCTTCTATATTCCACAGTTTCTTAGTTTGCAGTAAGTCAGTAGCAGATTTTTTTTTTTATTGTATAACAAATCATAAATATAATTGATAAATTTCTGTTCCTTTCAAAAGTGACTCTTTTTGTACTAAACATTGTTGATTGTGTTGCAGCCCACTACCGAGATTATGTGTACAAGGCAGTTCTGCAGGCCACCTGTAAGTCCCTGGCCACGCTCGGAGAGAGTACGGGGTGTGACAGTGAGGTCATTCGGGCAGTCAGTGCAATGTCAATGGGGTCATCACCTCGGGATAGCCCCAGTCCCCGATCACCGACTCGGATCAGTCGCGAACAGTCCGCACACAGCTGTTTGTCATCTGCGGCCACAGATCGGCCGTTGACCAGTATGTCCATGTTGTCCAATATGACATGGACCACAGAGAGGACTGATGCAACCACACTACTACAGTAAGGAGCACACCCTCTGTACTACACATACGTATAGTACACACCCTCCAGTGATAATACATCAGTATAGTACACACCCTCTGTACTACACACACGTTATACCCTTGTATTTATATATTTATGTTTTGTCCATTTACCCCTGTCTCTTTAAATGTAACTGACACTGGAACATAGCAAAAATTACTAACGATACAATTTAAATGTTTCAATTTGGAACCATAACTTGATTTTTTTCTAAGGGATTGAAACATTTGCCATTGTGTTTCAGGTTTGAAGTGGAGGTCCACTTCATGATCCCAAATATTATTGTGGAACCAACTTTGGACATTGCCCAGACTGCTATACAGGATGTTGCTAACGCAGTCCTCGAGGCCAACAGAAGTAGGTCAAAGAATTTTTTGGAGATTTTGATATTCCTGCAGATAAGTTATCCTTAATTTTCATCTTTGATATTTTATTAAACTGTTTTTCTGTCTGATAGATGTATCATGGATTGGACCACAGGGACTAGAGAACTTCTACTCTCTCATAGCAGATGATGAAAACGTTGTTGAGATGACATCACAGTTGTCTAATATTATCAATGGTAAGTGAATACATCTAGACCACTGGCAAGAGCCAGAGAAATCTCCCCTTGTATCTACTGGATATAGGGTCTATGTTACATTTCCATTGGTTTGTTTTTTCATTCATAACATTCTTATTTAAAAATTGAAAAGTTGTGCAGCTAAGTATGAATAAAAACAGTATTGAAGGTCATTATGATTCATTAACAATTACAACATGTCAGTTGCACCTTGTATACTTGTGTATAAGTTAATCCCATTACTATATGTATATATATATTTACTATTTTTCCATTCCAGAGATTGATACAGTGGTGAACAAACACCTGTTCCACTTTAGTTACTACAACTTCCTGTGGAAGGATGACCTCCATGGAAATTTCAAGGAGTTCATCTCAGCTGATCCTGGAATGTTTGCCATCAAACGGGAGGTGGAGAGATTCCTCTACATAGAGAAGAAGGTTTTAGGGATCCCTAAGATGTTACCCGTGGGGCCGATCTCTCTCCACACCGACCCCATCAAGGATGCCCTGCATGGATTTGCTATGGCGTGGAAGATCAAGTTTGCTTCTGTGTTACATGAGGAAGCTAAGGTGATTATGTTACTACACAATGAAACGTAATATTTCAGTGTACTGTTGAATAAATATAATGGTGTACTGTTGGACGATTTGATCATGTGACTGTTATCATGCATCAGGTCACATGATGTTTTTTATATAAACCTTTTCCATTTGTCAAAAATCATTTAATTAAAATATTGCCTATGCAGAATTGTTTTTATTTCATAAAAAATGTCAACTTCTTCACGCAATGTAAATGATGTGATTGTTAATTTTGTATTTAAATATGTGTATTGATATGTGGAGGTCTAATGAAAGGCAAAATAGTAAATATGCTTTCAATTTCATCGGCAGAAAAAACTGGATGCTGCAGTGTTGTACAGGTCTAATGTCCGTAATCGGCTGGAGCTGCATGTCCAGTCCCTTGACCAGTTAAATAGTGCCCTGCATCTACTAGAGGAGCTTTGGGACATGGAAAATAAGATTGATAGTATTTACCTGCCTATAGAGACCCTGTATGCTAAGCTCAGGTATGTATCACTTATATACCTTGTTTCAGTGATGTTAACCTGATGTTAAAAGGACTAGGGGCATTGAGAGTCATATCCGCCCTCATCAGGGATTTTTAATTAGTTGTTGTATTTGTAATTTGGAATAAATGAAGTATGCAGATATGAACTTTCAAATTCATTCGACAACTAGTGTAGGTGATATGGCATTACAAAGAGAGACATAAACCCGCATTTTCATAAAAGAATGACTGAATATCATCTGTTGTGTGCTATTTGGTTGAAAATTTGCCAAATCAGCTAAACTCTCTTCAATTTGTGAAAGCCTCCGCATGCAACAAACAAATAACTATTTAACATGCTTAATTTATAATACACATTGCCCTACTAGTGTTCGCTTGTAGAAAGGAATTTTTGTTTGTCACATGCAGAGGCTTTCATTTCTTCAAGTTAACTGTACAAAAATACCATACTTTGGCTATTTCTGCAAAGCAACGCAATTTTGTTGCTATGGGAGGGCATCAACGCATGCGCAGTTGGAAAAAATCTGCACCAAGAAATACAGCCCCAATTAATCAATATCATATTTATAACAGAAATTAGTAAATAAATTCAAGTTAAGTTTTTAACTTTGTATGAGACCAAAAATGACCCATTATGCTCCAGGTCCTCTAGGCTTATTGATGTGATCTTGTGAGATGCTATTACAGCCTTGATATAACCTCTACCTTGACCTTTAATCTATAAAAGGAAGTGGAATATTTAACCTTTCCTTCATAACGAGGTTCTGATACTGTATGCTGAGCAATTTTCACTGCAAGTTAACTTTTTCCCTTCTTGCTCTCCGCAACGAGGACAAATTTATTATGACAGCAAATATCAGTAGACAGAAACACACTGGCCGAATATGGATTGTACCAGTGCAGGGTGAATATTTAAATGGAATATTGTTTCCCGATATACAGTAACAATTTATAATCAGTATTCAACATAAAAAGGTTGTTTATCCTGTATATTTCCCCGTTGCCATTTACATTTGACCTTTGCCTTGATATTTTACCCTGTTTGTGTATAGGGAGTTTGAGCTTCGCCTTCCAAGGAACGAGGTAGAGGAGGTAGACCAGCTACGAGACAAATGGCAGGAGCTGATAGAACTGGCCGAGCAGGTCCGTGAGATCCTCCTCAAGGAGCGCAGAGGAGCTTTCGAACAGGAACTAGACAAACAAGTCAAGGTAAGCTATTCTGTATAGGAAAAAGTACTGCAGGAACATTGTCAAAAAACATTGTTAATTCCATTACTGACCATTTAGTTGAATGTTGTATATTAGGTCATAACAAGGTTCAAATGTAGACATCTTAACTTTAACATGGATTTTTGATCGGGTTTCACTCGTTTAGCAAGCTGAAATATAAACCGAAACCTCATTCAAGTCATAAATATAGTTGATTCTGATTAGTTGTCTGGTTGTATGTGTTGAAAGTGACAGATCATTATTGAAATAATTCTCAATCCACCATACTCCTAACAATTGATATTAAATATGTGTTGTACCAAACTTTCCAGACTTTTGTGGTAGAGGTGATCCAGTTCAGGAATGCATTTGACGCCCAGGGTCCAGCTGTTCCAGGGATACCCCCAGCCGAGGCTGTTTCCCGGCTACAGGACTTTCAACAGAAGTATCTGTTGTATGACTCTAAGCGTAACACCCTGGAATCTGTGTCTAAGCTGTTTGGGATAGCTTGTAAACCGTTCTCTGAGCTAGATAAGACAGGCGAAGAGTTGGACTTACTTAGTCAGTTATATGGACTGTTCCAGAAATTCTTACGATTTGATGCAAGGTTCAAGGATACTCTTTGGGCAGAGGTTGATCTTGAAGCCTTCTTCAGAGAAGTATGCTTGACTGTTTTATAGATTGCTCAATCAATGCATCCCATGTTTTCTAGATTACTGTCTCTGTAACATCTTGTTGATAGAGAACCTTACATATAAGATGACATTTTTTCATTTTTGCAAAAGCTATGACAATGATTTGTTTAGCAGGTGATTTGTCTGATTGGTAATGATATTTTAACATTTACCTAGTTTTATGTAGAACATAATGATTTATAATAGATTGAGAAGATGAGAAATGAATAATTTTAAATGGAAATGAATGTGCAATCATTACTTTGGGTTTTCAAGCTAATGTTTTTGTGAAAGTAGCAGGTTGGTGGCACTAGAACAAAACTTTGTGTTCAGATAATTGTCTGTTATGATAACGTTGATTTTGTATCTGCCCTACAGGTTGAAGGGTACTGGGATGAGTGTCTAGCCCTACCAAGTAAGCTTAAGGACTGGGATGCCTACCATGATCTCAAGACATCCCTACAGACATATTTGGAGGTGTTTCCCCTCCTCCACAGCCTCAACGCTAAGGTAGGTACAATATTCCCTCTCCTTCAGCCCCTCACCCCAAGTCTGTTGTGCCCTACAGAATGACCTGTTGTACCCTGAGTGGCCTGTTGTGCCCTGAGTGGCCTGTTGTGCCCTGAGTGGCCTGTTGTGATTAAGCGTTAGATGAACTGTTCGGTGTTACTTTGATATTGTAACATGTTCTGTGATGGTGAAAAGTGTTAGTTATCACTGTAGAACTATGTGTATACTGTACTAGATTATAAGTATCAAAAATGATTATCATTTTATCCATGTCACCATCATATCATTAATAGTGATGTTTTAACAGTTTTATATTTCAATGAATTAACATCCTTTGTTTTTAATTAACAGTGCACTGCAGTTGACATTCATTAATATCATTAAATGACAACTGAATTTCTCAGGTTCACACTGAATATCATGAAATAAAAGTGTTGTCACAATAATTATATCTGTTTGAGTAAAATGGATTATTTTATGTTACTGTACAGCGATAATGGTACATATTATAACCTGTTTAGAGAATTCTAACATTCTTATGAAAAAAACATGTCACTTTATATTCAAACAATGCCATATAATCATTACACCTTTCCCCACATTTGAAAGTTAATTATGTAAGTTAAGATGTAGTGAGAGTGTTGCTATTCTACACTGAGTCAGTACAAATATCCTTGAACTATATCAAACAGGTATTTAAAAACAAAATTGATTTGTAAATGCTTCAAAATTTGCTGAAGAAGGAACCATGAAAAAAAAAGAATTTACATACTGTAGTCATGTTTCAAGTTCAAGGATGTTTACTGTGATGAAATGTTGAGACAGACAGCATCTATGTATCATACCTGATTTCCATGGTAATTGTCACTGCACCTTATCTTGTATTGCCTTACCTTGACCTATGGTCACTCACAGGGAAGTGACTGGTTTGAGATCCCAGTAAGTACTGTGTTGTGTAGGATTGGTCAGTCTGTAGACTTGACCATTGCCGTGCTATAGATGTTCTGTGTTGTCTGGTAGCTTGGAGGTTCGTCCCTGTGTTCTCCCTGTATCATAATCATACCTGTATATATTTGTATGTTGTCCATAATGCTATAAACTATAGAAGTGGAAGAAAAACAAAATTAAGCACATCACTTTAAAAAAATCATTTTGCATTTTGAAAGAGTTTCCTGAAAAAAACCTGTTTCACATTCATTATTAATTCAGTGCTATTTTTGTGGAAAAGAATTATTTCTGATTTTGCACTGTGGCAAAATTGGCAGGCAAAATATCTTGATCATTTAAATGATAAGGAAGGATTTTCAATTTGGTCCCATTTTATATGAGATTTATGAAACTTGTTTCTTGATTTAAGCTCGTCAGAGGCTTGCTAAATTGACAAAAATCTTCAGATGTAAGGCCCTATGTCTAAATAAACACTAATAAATAGCAAATCATGTGAAGTGTTTAATGTTAAATTTTATGTTTCTGGTTGTGGGAGTTTTAAGAAGAGAGAGAAATAAATGGTTCCTGTTTAACTATTGGTGTGCCGTATCACATATTCGAATTTTGACTTTCTTATGAGTTTGTATCGGTTATAGGGAGTGTGGTTGGTTTGTTGGGGCGTCCTGTTTGAGTGCGAGGATAGGGTTCAATGACTGCACAGCAGTCCTAATTTGTAACATATTTCTAATATTCTGAAGGACATATTATATAAGAAATAAGTGACCACCAGTGTAAGATAACTGGACACTCTAAGTCTGACCAATTTAATGACCACCAGCTGTAAAGCACATGCTGTTCAAAGTTTAGAAAATAACAATGAGTACTGTGCACCCCTGTTAAACATTGGTCAGTCATCTTCCATGTGCCAAACAGCATTGGTCCAGGACTTACACAATCATCAGGTACAATACAGATACAAGATTTTACTGGTGATAAGCCTGTGCCTGGTAATAGGCCCACCCCCTACTTTTGATATGTTTTCATGCACAGGCCCCCTGGGCTTATCACCGGTAAATAAGGTAGACACTTTCACAATATTTTAATTCTTAAATAATAACTCTTTTTAAATAAAAAGATTTTCTTGATGATTGAATTCTGAAAAAATCTGTGATAAAAGGGATAATTAGTCCATAGCTCTGAAAATTCCTATTATTTAAAAATATCATTATTAGAGAATATTTAAGTGTCTTTGACAACACAGTAAAAAAATCTTAAGAAATAAGAATGATATAATACTGTGTATAAGGAAGATGTCTTACCTGAACTGGAAACCTATTGATGTAGTCAGTATCTGTTATAAGGAAGATGTCTTACCTGTACTGGAAACCTATTGATGTAGTCAGTATCTGTTATATGGAAGATGTCTTACCTGTACTGGAAACCTATTGATGTAGTCAGTATCTGTTATAAGGAAGATGTCTTACCTGTACTGGAAACCTATTGATGTAGTCAGTATCTGTTATAAGGAAGATGTCTTACCTGTACTGGAAACCTATTGATGTAGTCAGTATCTGTTATAAGGAAGATGTCTTACCTGTACTGGAAACCTATTGATGTAGTCAGTATCTGTTATAAGGAAGATGTCTTACCTGTACTGGAAACCTATTGATGTAGTCAGTATCTGTTATAAGGAAGATGTCTTACCTGTACTGGAAACCTATTGATGTAGTCAGTATCTGTTATAAGGAAGATGTCTTACCTGTACTGGAAACCTATTGATGTAGTCAGTATCTGTTATAAGGAAGATGTCTTACCTGTACTGGAAACCTATTGATGTAGTCAGTATCTGTTATAAGGAAGATGTCTTACCTGTACTGGAAACCTATTGATGTAGTCAGTATCTGTTATAAGGAAGATGTCTTACCTGTACTGGAAACCTATTGATGTAGTCAGTATCTGTTATAAGGAAGATGTCTTACCTGTACTGGAAACCTATTGATGTAGTCAGTATCTGTTATAAGGAAGATGTCTTACCTGTACTGGAAACCTATTGATGTAGTCAGTATCTGTTATAAGGAAGATGTCTTACCTGTACTGGAAACCTATTGATGTAGTCAGTATCTGTTATAAGGAAGATGTCTTACCTGTACTGGAAACCTATTGATGTAGTCAGTATCTGTTATAAGGAAGATGTCTTACCTGTACTGGAAACCTATTGATGTAGTCAGTATCTGTTATAAGGAAGATGTCTTACCTGTACTGGAAACCTATTGATGTAGTCAGTATCTGTTATAAGGAAGATGTCTTACCTGTACTGGAAACCTATTGATGTAGTCAGTATCTGTTATAAGGAAGATGTCTTACCTGTACTGGAAACCTATTGATGTAGTCAGTATCTGTTATAAGGAAGATGTCTTACCTGTACTGGAAACCTATTGATGTAGTCAGTATCTGTTATAAGGAAGATGTCTTACCTGTACTGGAAACCTATTGATGTAGTCAGTATCTGTTATAAGGAAGATGTCTTACCTGTACTGGAAACCTATTGATGTAGTCAGTATCTGTTATAAGGAAGATGTCTTACCTGTACTGGAAACCTATTGATGTAGTCAGTATCTGTTATAAGGAAGATGTCTTACCTGTACTGGAAACCTATTGATGTAGTCAGTATCTGTTATAAGGAAGATGTCTTACCTGTACTGGAAACCTATTGATGTAGTCAGTATCTGTTATAAGGAAGATGTCTTACCTGTACTGGAAACCTATTGATGTAGTCAGTATCTGTTATAAGGAAGATGTCTTACCTGTACTGGAAACCTATTGATGTAGTCAGTATCTGTTATAAGGAAGATGTCTTACCTGTACTGGAAACCTATTGATGTAGTCAGTATCTGTTATAAGGAAGATGTCTTACCTGTACTGGAAACCTATTGATGTAGTCAGTATCTGTTATAAGGAAGATGTCTTACCTGTACTGGAAACCTATTGATGTAGTCAGTATCTGTTATAAGGAAGATGTCTTACCTGTACTGGAAACCTATTGATGTAGTCAGTATCTGTTATAAGGAAGATGTCTTACCTGTACTGGAAACCTATTGATGTAGTCAGTATCTGTTATAAGGAAGATGTCTTACCTGTACTGGAAACCTATTGATGTAGTCAGTATCTGTTATAAGGAAGATGTCTTACCTGTACTGGAAACCTATTGATGTAGTCAGTATCTGTTATAAGGAAGATGTCTTACCTGTACTGGAAACCTATTGATGTAGTCAGTATCTGTTATAAGGAAGATGTCTTACCTGTACTGGAAACCTATTGATGTAGTCAGTATCTGTTATAAGGAAGATGTCTTACCTGTACTGGAAACCTATTGATGTAGTCAGTATCTGTTATAAGGAAGATGTCTTACCTGTACTGGAAACCTATTGATGTAGTCAGTATCTGTTATAAGGAAGATGTCTTACCTGTACTGGAAACCTATTGATGTAGTCAGTATCTGTTATAAGGAAGATGTCTTACCTGTACTGGAAACCTATTGATGTAGTCAGTATCTGTTATAAGGAAGATGTCTTACCTGTACTGGAAACCTATTGATGTAGTCAGTATCTGTTATAAGGAAGATGTCTTACCTGTACTGGAAACCTATTGATGTAGTCAGTATCTGTTATAAGGAAGATGTCTTACCTGTACTGGAAACCTATTGATGTAGTCAGTATCTGTTATAAGGAAGATGTCTTACCTGTACTGGAAACCTATTGATGTAGTCAGTATCTGTTATAAGGAAGATGTCTTACCTGTACTGGAAACCTATTGATGTAGTCAGTATCTGTTATAAGGAAGATGTCTTACCTGTACTGGAAACCTATTGATGTAGTCAGTATCTGTTATATGGAAGATGTCTTACCTGTACTGGAAACCTATTGATGTAGTCAGTATCTGCTATAAAGAAGATGTCTTACCTGTACTGGAAACCTATTGATGTAGTCAGTATCTGTTATGAGCCAGTAAGAAAATGTATACACCTTTATGTTATGGTTTTGTGTATAACCTTAACCCCAATCCCAATATTGTTATATATAATGCTGTAATCAGTTATCATCTACTCATGCTTATAATACATTTCCATCTTAAGTAGAACCAATATCTCAATTCACCGATGAAAGTTGCATGTTAATAGACAAGCTAATAACATGTACCATGATTAACATTGCTTCGTTAATCACCACCATACACAGACTTATTTAATCAAGGGCTTTACTAACATAATTTATTGTCAAATTCAACTGTAAAATTAATAATTGAAAACATATGTCTTGATGTTAAAACTGTTATATTCTTTAGGACGGATTTACAAATGGAGAATCTAATTATATTTTCTATTGAATGCTGTGGTAGCTGTTTATTTTTCAGTTTGATTTTCAGCGCATAAATATTTCGAAACATTAATCTTGTTTTCTAGAATATGTTTCTAAGAATGTAAACAAGATTTTAATATTACGTATCTCATATTTGTTTATTTTTCCAGAAATTCCATTATGGACATAATTAACCTATTCCATTTTTTCATTTTAATTACCACTAACCATTCAATTTCATACACATAACAGTAATCTCTATCAGTAGTATTAATACATTTCTTTAAATCATGAAACTTACAAACCAGTATCACATTAAATCTACATTTCAAACTTGTCTACACTTGTTTTGTGGTCATGAAACAGGGATGTATCCCTTTGATATACCTCTCTCTGCGAAGTATGAATTTTGGAAGCAACTGATGCCTTCCTGTAGGAATTGACCTGTGCATGCCCTGATAGTTTTCCTGTCTTTGTAGGAAATTCGGAACCGCCACTGGCTTGAAGTGATGAGGGTGACCGGCAGCTCCTTCCAGTTAGAGGCCAATGTTTTCAAACTGCTCCATCTGCTGGACATCGGCCTCATCAAGTAAGTTATCATAACCAGTAGTGGTCTAATTCCTGCTCTCAAGTCAAACCTTGTTACAATGAAGGCCTATCTTCTTGTCACTGACTTCAATGGTTTCGTAACTTGAAGTGATTTGTCAAAAACAATTTCTCTTGGTATCTAGCTTATATTTCCATGTTGTGTTGCTATCAAATAACATTACAGTTGTTTCACATTGTACTAACTCTCTGATCCAGACACAAGTTGGAGATTGAAGAGATCTGTAGAGGAGCCAGTCGAGAGTTAGAACTGGAGATAAAGATGCGAGTGACAGAGGAGGAGTGGAATGAACAGGTACTCACATTTGAACATTACAAGAAGCGAGGGCCTATGTACCTGGACAAGGTGTCTACAGAACGTTTATTGGAACAGCTGGAGGATGCCCAGGCTTTACTCGCCAACATGTTAACGTCACGTTACATTGGTCCACTAAGGGATGAAGCTGCAGGCTGGGCAGAAAAACTGAAAACTGTGGCGGAGGTATTGGAACAGTGGCTTGAAGTTCAGGACGTGTGGCAGTACCTGGAGGCAGTGTTCAGTAACTCCATTGCAGCTAAGGTAATGCTTTTAGATATGTTATTACAGATTTCAAACTACCTGGTAAGCTTAGTGCAGTGATACGCTTGATTCTGTTAAAGATAGTTGAAATTGTAAATTTAGAGCTTAACATTTATACATGTATATCTTCAATGAAAAAACTTGTATAGAAGATAATACTGCTCACAGCTGTACACAAAATAGCAGGAAATCAAACGGTTCATGCAGGTAATTTTGTTTTATAGGAATTACCCCAAGAGGCCAAAAGGTTTGCCAGAACAGACAAGAGCTGGACAAAACTGATGAAGAGAGACTTTGAAACTAGGAATGTTTTACAGGTACCACTGTTTATATGGGCTGGAGACCATCTTAGTAAAATGTTCATTATTGACCTATAACATATACCATCAAATTATCTAGGACTGCGAAATGTGCAATGCATACAATTGTTCTACTTCACAAAAATACAGAAAAAATTCATATCACAAATGATATCATAATTCATTACCAGAATATCATGTTGAGAATTAAAAACTATCAAACTAAATATCCATATATCAATGCCATATCCTGTCTGTTTCCAGTGTTGCTATGGTGGCGAGGTGCCTAAAGCTGTCCTCCTCAAGAACATCCATGAGGAGTTGGAGATCTGTTTTAAATCATTGATGGGCTACCTTGACAACAAGAGGCGGGCCTTCCCTAGATTTTACTATGTGTCAGACCCCATCCTCCTGGCCATCATGAGCCGTCCAAATGACCTTGAGTCTGTTCGGCCTCACCTCAAGTATGTTGTGATCTTCTAGAAATGGCTATGTGACAGCATGTGACAAAATAAAAAAAAACCTAATGAATTCAAAGATTTGATCTTAGGTATTAGCATACAGTTCTTAAGACGAGAATCAAATTTAAAAAGAAGTTGTCTGTGTCAAAAGGTAATATACTGTAGCACAAAATTGTTCATTAAAATTACTTTTTGTATTTATTTATTTGTTTGTAGGTCTTTATTCAGCAGCATCCATGATGTACGACTGGAAGAGGCAAACACACTAGATGAACCAACAGATGAGGTTGGTTTTGGCCAATCACGTACAGGGGTGCGTACCCCCACAGGGTCAAGGGTGCGGACATCTTCTGCACTCTCACCAAACAACAATGCACCACACAAGATAGACAAACGACTGACAGAGATTTATGTAAGTCTGAATTAGAAATCATTGTACATTTTTGTAATAGGTGTTAGATTACAGATGTGAGGTGGAGGCTATTATAATATTATATCTCACTTTGATTATGTATGGAAGATGAAAGTTAGAAAATCAGGTGATTAAGTGTATCAGGCAGATACAAATTGATACTGAAATATGTAAGCTTAATGGAAAGAACATGATACTTTTCATTTCAACATTATTTACCCGGTATCCTGTTTCTTCCATAGCACATATTTTGTTTAGCCATTAGCATTGCTTTTTATGAAGCTCTTCCTTAGTGATACATGGTACATGTAAATACCTATATACGATAGCTTATTAGCTTAGTATACTCGTTTGCACACCTGTATTGTCCCGTCACATATTTACAGGTAACATTTCTTTGAACAATTTATGTTTTGTCTTGTCACTTATTTACAGGATACATGAAGTGTTAATTTTCGTGTTTTACCTTGTCATGTATTTACAGGAGAAATATACTGTATTGTGTTGAGTGTATTGTCCTGTCACAGTTGAAGCATACTGTATTATGTAGTATTCTGTCTTGTAGATATTTCAATTGTACACATCTGGAAGTCTCCGGTTGGTTAAAGGCATTTATCGAAATAGAACCGAGCATCAAAATTTGTTAGAAAAATAATTCATTTAAAATGTACGATATGAGTTGTACACTTTCATTATTATACCATTGTCTTGGTTGTCCATTGTCATTTATGTTTAGAAATAACGATATATTGAAAACCAAAAATGTAAGGAAGAACAATTTGAAGTTTGAATAGTTTGCACCAGGATCCCTGGAAGAGTTTTGATAGTTCACTTTAAAGACAACAATTTGACAAGACATTTTTTCCCCACAGCTTGCAAATGAATTAATGACACCATTACGTCATGTAAAGAAGGTACTTTTCATATACAAAATTAATCACTGTCTGTCTCCTTTCTGTCTCTCCAAGTCCCCGGGGCACAAGTCCCCACCCTATCACATTACGTGGGAGCTCACCCCCACACCCACCACAAGGTCTAAGTCCGTAAGTAAGGTGTGGTGAAGGGCGGGGCTCATATATGGGACAATAGAGGTAGATTATAACATTACTGGTCAAGTTCAACTGGTATAGAAATAATATTTCACTGGTGTTAACGTATATATGTGGTTAAGAGGTTTAGAGGGCATAAGGACTTGTTTTGTTTAACATTTAATTTTAAGGTAATCAAAATAAATACAACTGTAGTTACATATCTAGTTTCATGGGAAACTCCATTCTAATTGGGATTTTGAAGTTCTTTTTCACTTTATATTTATAAAAATATGGGTTTCAAGTGCTTTTTATAAATTTCTTTAATATTTATGATGTTTAAGATATATCCTTTGTATCCTAAAAGTAATTTAACCCTTCATATTTTACTTCTTTTTATCAAACCTTTTTATCTGCTTCATAATAAACTAAATCCATGCTTTGTGTCATCAATTTTCTGTAAGTACTGGTAATGGTGTACACTATTATCCATATTGACATGAACACCATTGGTAAGGGAGATAGAGAAATAGTTACATTTCCACTTACTTCCATCAATCTGCAAATTCGATTACAGAAGAAAAAACCAGCATGTACAATAATAACTAAAAACAAAAAGCATTGACAGATGTAAGGAAACATTCAGAACTTGACAGCAATCATCAGAGGAACAAATGTGTTGGTTTAGTATAATACAAACTCCCAGGGGTAAACTTGTGACAGTTGTATGTAATGTATCTGACATACTATAGTAGTATAGTAACGAACTAAGATCTTCGCACTGCATGGGAAGAGATAGCTGACATATAGCTATGTATGAGTGAGCTCACTGCATGGGAAGAGATAGCTGACATATAGCTATGTATGAGTAAGCTCACTACATGGGAAGATATAGCTGACATATAGCTATGTATGAGTGAGCAGTATGCACAGAGATAGCTGATAAATGGCAATTGTATATAATCTGTATGAGACAGCTAACAGTATGCAAAGAGATAGCTGATAAATAGCAATTGAATACAATCTGTATATAGGTGATAACTATACAATCTGTATATAGGTGATAAATAGCAATTGTATACAATCTGTAGATNATACTGCATGGGAAGAGATAGCTGACATATAGCTATGTATGAGTGAGCATACTGCATGGGAAGAGATAGCTATATGTCAGCTATATCCTCCCATGTAGTGAGCTTACTCACACATAGCTATATGTCAGCTATCTCTTCCCATGCAGTATGCTCACTCATACATAGCTGACATATAGCTATGTATGAGTAAGCTCACTACATGGGAAGATATAGCTGACATATAGCCATGTACGAGTAAGCTCACTGCATGGGAAGAGATAGCTGATAAATGGCAATTGTATACAATCTGTATGAGACAGCTAACAGTATGCAAAGAGATAGCTGATAAATAGCAATTGTATACAATCTGTATGAGACAGCTGACAGTATGCAAAGAGATAGCTGATAAATAGCAATTGAATACAATCTGTATATAGGTGATAAATAGCAATTGTATACAATCTGTATTAGTAAGCAAACAGTATGCAAAGAGATAGCTGATAAATAGCAATTGTATACAATGTGTAGAAAGCTGATAAATAGCAATTGTATTCAATCTGTATGAGACAGCTAATAGTATGCAAAGAGATAGATGATAAATATCAATTGTATCCAATCTGTAGATAGCTGATAAATATCAATTGTATCCAATCTGTAGAAAGCTGATAAATAGCAATTATATACAATCTGTATTAGAAAGCAAACAGTATGCAAAGAGATAGCTGATAAATAGCAATTGTATACAATCTGTAAATAGGTGATAAATAGCAATTGTATTCAATCTGTATGAGACAGCTAACAGTATGCAAAGAGATAGCTGATAAATAGCAATTGTATATAATCTGTAGATAGCTGATAAATAGCAATTGTATACAATCTGTAGAAAGCTGATAAATAGCAATTGTATACAATCTGTAAATAGGTGATAAATAGCAATTGAATACAATCTGTATTAGTAAGCTAACAGTATGCACAGAGATAGCTGATAAATAGCAATTGTATACAATCTGTATGAGACAGCTAACAGTATGCAAAGAGATAGCTGATAAATAGCAATTGTATACAATCCGTATGAGACAGCTAACAATATGCAAAATGGTGGCTGACAAACATTATAGTTATTGTTGATAATCTGTATGACCGGGCGTACAGTAGGCAGAGAAATGGCGGACAAAGATATAGCTATTGTAGACAATCTGTATGACAGGGCTTTATAAGTAGGCAGAGAAATGGCTGACAAATTTATAGCTATTGTATACAATCTGTATGACAGGGCTTTATAAGAAGGCAGAGAAATAGCCGACAAATATATAGCTATTGTAGACAATCTGTATGACAGGGCTTTATAAATAGGCAGAGAAATGGCTGACAAATATATAGATATTGTAGACTATCTGTATGACAGGGCTTTATACAGTAGGCAGAGAAATGGCTGACAAATATATAGCTATTGTATACAATCTGTATGACAGGGCTTACAGTAGGCAAAAAGATGACTGACAAATAGCTATTGTAGGCAATCTGTATGAGTGAGCTTGATGTCTCCCTTTAATTATTGGTGTTTTTTAATTTAAGGTTTGGAACATGAAGTCAGACCTTGGTTAGGTTAGAGATAAGCTGATTATACCAAATGTATTTTTTTAAATGTATACAAATAATATGTGCAAAACCAAAACATGACTTTGAGATACCTGGTATTAAGAAGGGAAATGTACATTCAGACAACAAGGATCATAGGATGTGACGGTGCTGATGTTGACTGTTTTGTTTGTAGCAACGAGTACAACAAAAAATGGCCAAAAAAGAAACTAGTCAATCCATTCTCAAAACGAGAGGCAAAAAAAACGTAACTTCTAAGAGTGTAAGATACTAAACAGTCTTTTAACCTTTTTGTTTTTATTCAATTTACTTGCATTTAATTATTGTAGTATTTTATATCTACCTTTTCACCCTATACACCACTGTAGAATGGTCTAATTAGGGCCCCGCAACAAAGATGCGGCTGCCCTATAGTAATCAGGTTGTCCGTCCGTCCGTCTGGTTTTTTTTCTTTTGCACAAAATTGATGGAAGTAAATGGAGTATGTTTTTAAAATTTTACAAGATGATTTCCCATGTATCTTAGTTCTGCTTGGTAATTTTCGGACAGATCTGATTCAAAATAGCTGCTATCAACCATCTTGGATTTTAACATTAAAAAATTCAAATTTGTTTGCTCTTAACTGGTAAACATTTTGTTATGACATTATGAAGCAAAGTTGGTAAAAATTAAACAAGGAGTCAACTGACCAAAGGTCAAGGTCATCCGGTCAGAGGTCAGTGTCAAAGGTCAAGATCAAATTTTGTAGCTTTTTACTAATGAGCATTTTATGACATTATGAAGCAAAGTTGGTTGGAATTAAACAAAAAGACACACTGAGGTAAAAGTCAAGGTCAAGGTCATAGGTTCAAAGGCCAAGGTCTAATTTTGCATCTTTTCACTGATGAACATTTTGTTATGACATGACCAAAGTTGGTCAGAATTAAACAGGGAGTCAACTGACCAAAGGTCAAGGTCATTGGGTCAAAGGTAAAGGTTAAATTTTGTAACTTTTCACTGATGAACATTTCGTGAGGACATTATGAACCAATGTTGATGGAATTAAACAAGGAGTCTGAAATGACCAAGGGTCAAGGTCAAAGGTCAAATTTTGTTTCTTTTCCCTGATAAACATTTTGTTATGACATTATGAAGCAAAGTTGGTCTGAATTTAACAAAGAGTCAACTGACTTAAGGTCAAGGTCACTTGGTTAAAGGTCAAGGTCAAATTAAATGTCTTTTCACTGGTGAACATTTCGTTTGGACACTTTGAAGCAATCTTGGTCCGAATTAAACAAGGAGTCATTTGACCAAAGTTCAAGGTCACTGCGTCAAAAGTTAAGGTCAAATTTTGTATCTTTTCACTGATGAACATTATGTTATGACATTAAGAAGCAAAGTTGGTCAGAATTAAAGAAAAAGTCAACTGACCAAAGATCAGGGTCACTGTCTTAAAGGTCAAGGTCATTTGGGTTTAAAGGTCAAAGACAAAGTGGATCTCTGACTTTGACCCTTGCTCTTGATGGAGGAGGTATTGAAAGTGAAATAAAACAAATCAAAGCTAACAAATGAATATTGCACCAGTATTTACATTTCTGTTAGCCAAGCAAATATTGAGGTGGGAGGAAACAAGACTCACATCATAGTACATGTAAAATGTATTTTTTTCTACCTTGCGATTCTTTTTGAAGTCCAAATGTCAAACGTCAAGCTCAGCTATATGGGCAGATTGCTTCTTGATGATTATGGGGGATATATTGCCACAAGACGGGGCCCTTACTGACCTGTCAGTGTTCTAGTTCATTATTTGGAACAATCCACAATGGAAAAATAGGGTTGAGAGGATTGATATATATCATTATATTAACCTTGTGACTTATTATTTTTATTTACAGTATACTGTTTATTCTGTCGTTTGTCTGTCTTTCATTTATTCGTATTTTTAACTACTGTTGAATGACAATTGCACGATTTTGAACATTAAATACTTTTTCAGAATTCATTCTAATTCACATGACAGTTTACTTTTGCATGCCATGAAATCTCCATATTAGAGATTATTCAATTGATTAGTAAATATTTGATGTGATACATTTAAAAGCATGATTTTACCGGGTTTTTTTTTTTTTAATAACTATGTTCAATTCTAGAAGCTCACATTATTTTTCAGCTTAATTTTAAGACCAAAAAAAGGTTCCATTTAGAACTTAAAGGTTTCTGAAGTTGTTCTTTGATTGTTTTTTCTCTGTAACATTTCAGTATCTAACTAAGTGAATACTGTGAGATCAATTGTACGAAAATTTGAACCATGACTTTATCTGAAATATTAAAGTAAATAGCTTAGAATAAGAACACCTTTGATTCTTGCATTATAGTTCATTATTTTATATGTATATCTGAAATCAAAACTGATTTTGATTATCTTATAGAATATTATCAAAACAGATGAATTCTTTTTTTTGTTTTATTGATATTGAAATAATTTTGAATGTGACCATTACACTGTTTACAGAGTATGAACCCCAGTACCATAGCCCATGCCCCAGCATTCATGCCGTCAGAGGGAATTGTAGAGGACAGCGTGTTCAGGGATGCGGTAGCTGTTAGCAGTGCCGAGGGCGAGCTTGTTTTATTGCAGGACAAGGTAGGCTTCATTGTCAAAATCGTGAGAAATAGCCAGTAGTCCCAGAGACCGAGTCTGTAAGTATATTTGGTCTATGACACGAGAGAGACATTTTGTTTGTATTAATTGTAAAAATATAGAAAATGGACAATGGTGCTAAGTTTAATTTTATTGCTCACGACAGGTGTTCCTCACCGACGGAGTGGAGGTGTGGTTACAAAAACTGAGGGAGTCTGTCGCCAAGACAATCAAAGATCTTAACATCAACATCATACACGACTGTAACAATGGAGTGGCCATGGACGAGTGGCCGTCTAAGGTAAATGTACTTTATGTCTACAATTTCTATTGTTATAAATCAACATACAATTAAAAAAGAACGTAGATTTTTTTTACTCCCAAGATCATATTTCTATGAAATAGATTACATGTAAAGGAACATTTGATAACAGAAAATGTTTGTAAGATAATTGACAAAAACGATTATAAACTTTGATTTCTTGCATCCCTCTTCAATTTTGATATTTATTCCTATCAATATGTGTTCATCAGAAATCATAACACTCTGTTTCTCTAAACAAATTGCTTGTGGTTGCAGTGACTTTGACTGTTTGTCTGTATTACAGTACCCAGCACAGGTGTGTCGTATGGGCATGCTGTACTACTGGACGCGCGAGTGTGACCAGGGTATCGCGGAAATCAAGTACGATCGCAAGGCTCTCCAGGGTACTCTAAAGAAATACATTGCTTCAGGGTCCAAACTGCAGACTGTGTTGTCCCGAGGGGCCTGGCGCACCATTGAGGAGCCCATGTTGCCCCTCCACAAGGCCCGCCTAGAGTGTATGATATCGGTAAGACATCACATGTGACCTTATCGTTTTTAATATATTTTACAGGAATCAATCTTGTTAAATGCTTCAGTAAATGTTCGTTTTGGATGCACCTCAGTAAGTTACACAATGATTTTTTATTTTATTTTTTATGTTAGTCAGTTTTTGTAAAAAATCATGTTTTTTCTTTTGCTTGCAGCAATTCCTTTACCTTAGAGATATTTTGGATAACATGTGTACAAGAAAACTACGTGAGCCGACAGACTTTGAATGGCGTCGCAGCATCAGGTGTTATTTCCACCCTGTTGGTAAGTACTTTAACAAGTCCACTCCTAGGATTACTCCTCTATTTTAAGGACTATTCCAACGTACCTAGTCTGTTTCTAAGATTGCTTAATGTTTTTGCAAAATTCATATTTCAGAGTAAATATTTCCGTATCTGTTATGATTGAACATTATTAAATCTGTTTGTGCTATATTGTTGTGATTGATGTATGACTCCATCAGTGTGTTATATAATTGTACATGTGTGCTCTAACTGTTTTGTCTGTATTTAAACTCCCAACCTTTAAAAATAATCTTTGTTTAAATGGCTGTATTAATTTATAAATCTATGAGCAGTGAAATTGCAATGATTTTCCTCTCGCCTTGTGTTACAACTGTACCTACATGACACTTGTCTAGACTTGACCTCTATAACCATGTGTTACAACTGTCCCTACTTGGCACCTGTCTAGACTTGACTTCTATAACCATGTGTTGCAACTGTACGTACATGACACCTGTCTAGACTTGACCTCTATAAACATGTGTTACAACTGTACCTACTTGGCACCTGTCTAGACTTGACTTCTATAACCATGTGGTACAACTGTTCCTACATGACACCTGTCTAGACTTGACTTCTATAACCATGTGTTACCACTGTACCTACATGACACTTGTCTAGACTTGTCTTCTATAACCATGTGTTACAACTGTTCCTACATGACACTTGTCTAGACTTGACTTCTATACCCATGTGTAACAACTGTTCCTACATGACACTTGTCTAGACTTGGCTTCTATAACCATGTGTTACAACTGTACCTACACGACACTTGTCTAGACTTGACTTCTATAACCATGTGCAACAACTGTTCCTACATGACACTTGTCTAGACTTGACTTCTATGACCATGTGTAACAACTGTTCCTACATGACACTTGTCTAGACTTGACTTCTATAGACATGTGTAACAACTGTGCCTACATGACACTTGTCTAGACTTGGCTTCTATAACCATGTGTTACAACTGTACCTACATGATACCTGTCTAGACTTGACTTCTATAACCATGTGTTGCAACTGTACCTACATGACACTTGTCTAGACTTGGCTTCTATAACCATGTGTTACAACTGTACCTACTTGGCACCTGTCTAGACTTGACTTCTATAACCATGTGTTGCAACTGTACGTACATGACACCTGTCTAGACTTGACCTCTATAACCATGTGTTACAACTGTCCCTACTTGGCACCTGTCTAGACTTGACTTCTATAACCATGTGTTACCACTGTACCTACATGACACTTGTCTAGACTTGTCTTCTATAACCATGTGTTACAACTGTTCCTACATGACACTTGTCTAGACTTGACTTCTAGAACCATGTGTAACAACTGTTCCTACATGACACTTGTCTAGACTTGGCTTCTATAACCATGTGTTACAACTGTACCTACACGACACTTGTCTAGACTTGACTTCTATAACCATGTGGTACAACTGTTCCTACATGACACCTGTCTAGACTTGACTTCTGTAACCATGTGTTACAACTGTTCCTACATGACACTTGTCTAGACTTGGCTTCTATAACCATGTGTTACAACTGTACCTACACGACACTTGTCTAGACTTGACTTCTATAACCATGGGTTACAACTGTTCCTACATGACACTTGTCTAGACTTGGCTTCTATAACCATGTGTTACAACTGTACCTACTTGGCACCTGTCTAGACTTGACTTCTATAACCATGTGGTACAACTGTTCCTACATGACACCTGTCTAGACTTGACTTCTGTAACCATGTGTTACAACTGTTCCTACATGACACTTGTCTAGACTTGACTTCTATAACCATGTGTGCCTCCAAACTAACATGTGTGGTTACCATGACGCCCTGTTACAGCCTCCGACACGCCCACACCACGAGAATCTGTCACTGGGGATGACAGTGGCCTGGATGATTTGGCCATACGTAAGGATGAGTGTATAAGATACTGCCGGGTGATGGGCAGTGGTATAGTAGATACCCTAGCTTGTGTCTGACGTATAGCTTTATTCCGGTGGCCGGCTTAACGATACCATCACTGTTGTAGAATTTATCGCTGAGTTTCCTAAGAGCTTCAAATATTTTTCGGCTTCAAACAACATGTCAAATCTACCTTTTTCAACAGAAAGCTTATGGGGTTTCTAATTTGGTTACCAAAAAATATATACCAATCAGATAACCAGAAATTATCATTCTGATCACTAGATAACATATTCTGATGGATAGAAATTATGAGTTTCCACCAGAAATATGAATCATGTTCCTTGGACAATTTTAAACTAGGACTTCTGGTAATATCGGTACAAGACACAGGTTTAGTTTTAGACCCTAAAGTACCACACACATATATATATATCTTCATAGAACTAACAACTAATATGCAAAAACTACCTTCCTCACTCCATAGAAATATTTTATACATTAACTCCAAATATTAATGAACCTGTCACATTTCTCTATGATTTCATTATAATATCTAAAGCATTAGCATGCCAAACCTATGATACTAATCACCTCTATGCAATCTAATTAGTTGTGTAACGATACCACATGAGGTGATATGTTTTGCACTGTTAACACCACAAGGTAACATTACCCAGGTGAGTTGTTTCTTCCCCTTGCTATGTTTTGCCTGGTTTTGCTACTGTGTTTACCTTTATATAAATACTATAATAAAACTCCTACCATTTTTTAACTTCAAGTCTACAACCTTCTGAGGTGTAGGGTACTTACTGTGGTATGAGGTGTCAGGTTTATTGTTGCAAAAATATTCAAATGACAATTTTCCACATGGCATGATACAAAATTAGGATTGGAAAGTAAAATAAAGTACATTTATAGACTACCTAGATTTTCTATTTTTTCATTTCATTAGAGTATTAAAAATATTTTTGAAATTATTGTACAAGGGTATGTATGTGTTGTAGTGTTCAATTATACAACATATTCTTAATTGATTATCAGTTATTTAATATGTCCGTGTGATCATGGCACAATGTTTACTAATCCTTCTTGATAAATATGTAAAGCATCCTATAATGATCTATAACATTTCCACAGAGGACCGCCAGGAGCCCATGATCTGGATCCTGGACAACCCATACATATATGGTAATGAGTTCTATGGGACCAATGCTGGGGCGGCCCTGACCCCCGTCACAGAGCGCTGCTTCCTGACAATGTCGCAGGCCCTCAATAACTACCAGGGCAGCTGTGTGTCTGGTCCTGTCGGTGTCGGCAAGACAGAGACAGTCAAGGTACACAACCTCACTAATATACAGCATAGTATTCTAAAAACTCAGATCTTAAAAAAGAATAAAATATTTTCAAAACCTTGTTATAAAAATAAAGTTTCAAGAACAACAGATTTCTAACAATAATTTCATGTAGTGGAGTGGACCTTGCCTTAAAGACAATCTGTCTATAAAGAAAACTTCTCTGTAACCACCAACTGTCTATAAAGAGAACCTCTCTGTAACCACCACATGTCTATAAAGAGAACCTCTCTGTAACCACCACCTGTCTATAAAGAGAACTTCTCTGTAACCACCACCTGTCTATAAAGAGAGCCTCTCTGTAACCACCACCTGTCTATAAAGAGAACCTCTCTGTAACCACCACCTGTCTATAAAGAGAACCTCTCTGTAACCACCACCTGTCTATAAAGAGAACCTCTCTGTAACCACCACCTGTCTATAATTACAATCTTAATACGTGTAATTACCTTTATGATGATTTCCATGAAATAAGAACTTATCTATAATATTTTGTTTTCAGAATCCTATTACAAGCTATTGTTGATATTCTATGGTTTTGTACAATACACTTTTATGTCATTGCTGTATTCTTAGGGTTTGGCTAACACTCTTGGTCAGTTCCTGAGTATGGTCCAGTGCTGTCCTGAGTTTGACCCAACTGCCTTGGCAAGGTCAATACAAGGAACTGCTATGGTAAGTAGGTTTGATTAGAAAACAATATTACACAATATCCATATTTATTATATACTTGCAGTAGTGTAAAGTCAAATTTTGCTTACACCCTTGAACATTTGCAATATAAGCTCTTTTTTTTTACCAATTGTTGTTTCAAAGTTTTTTGAAAATGTAGGTTAACCTGATATGTTACAGGATGGTTGTTGGTGCTGTTTTGATGAAGCTCAGAGTCTCCACCGTAAGGCGCTGTCAGTCCTGTTTGACCATGTTGAGGCTGTATTGGTCGCTATGAAGGCCAGACACTCCTATGCCACTCTGGCCGATGGTCAAGAAGTAAGCATTCAATAAGATTTCACTTTTGATTAGAGTTGTATTATACTTGTGTGATCAGAAATGCCCAGTTATATGCTCCCTGACTTAAGATGTAAGAAAGTGACAGTTAAAAGTTTGTTTCACACAGAACATATCTCTTAAAAGAGACTTCACCTTATTACCATCAAAATAAACTTCAAAGAATTGTATGTTTTCTTTAATGTTTTTTGCAAACTGAGATGTGATGGGATGTATATATATATGATAATATTATCATCCTTTTTCAGATTTCAGTTAAGAAGAGTTGTGCAATGCATATGACAATCAATAGGGACGACCCTAGATGTAATCTACCTGTGGAGGTCCGGGCACTCTTCCGCACCGTATCTCTGATCAAGCCCGACTTCAGTCTCATTCTCAAGGCCAAGTGTGCCTCCATGGGTTTCCGTGCTCCAACAGTGCTGGGTGCTAGACTGAAATCTGTATCAGAGCTTGCCAAGGACCAACTGTAAGTCTTCACAGATTTATCACACCTTAGTTAAGTATGCTACATCAGTCACTGTTCCCACTGTTGGTCAAAAGCATAAAAAGTATTGGTTTACATAAACATCAACATTGAATAGTATATTTGACAGTCTTCTCTGGTCACTTACATATTTTACTTCCTCTGTAATCTCTAAAAAATAACAAATCAAATGAAGAACTAGCTGTTCTTTGACATTGATATTTTATAAGTATCTTTAATCGTATTGATACAAAAATCTTTCTAGTTTGAAGAAAAGTAATCTTTTGATTCTAGTGGTGCTTATTCTAGACAGGTATTACTGTATAGTATTTACAGAAGTGAAGTTATCTCCCTTTGTATTTGTGTAGATCTGAGCACTTCCACCACTTGTTTGGTATCGCCACATGGACGGGTGTTCTGAAGAGAGCACTACAAAAACGAAAATATGTCAGGGATGAGAAAACCCAGGATCGTATAGAATCAAAGACCAAGGACGAGACATCACGGTCAGAAAGTCAAGCTTCAGAGGCGCCTACCAAGTTAGCTGGTCTACAGAACGGTATGCTCTGTCAAAACTTTGGTTTTATTTTGTGAAATAGAACCTTTTCTATAGAATGGTTTATAATGTTCCTTTCAAACCTGGTACCAGGGTTAAATGCCTTAAGGGCTCGGTCAAGTTCGATGACCACTTTCAGCGGACTTTTTTTGGTGGAGTTATGGCCCCTTGATTAACGAAAAATTCATTATCTGCAGTTTCCAATTAATAACTCTTGCAAATTTTAGCCAAATCCCTTCAAACTTGATAACAGTGTTTGTGTTCTTCTGTCTTCCCACCCTTCTTGGGCACTCTTTGGTTTTCGTGTGATAATTGCTGTAGATATTGTGCAGATATTTCAACCAAATTCCGTATGCACATCTGACTCATGCTAACTTTGTCAACAGATGTGATTTGTGCATATTTACGGATAATTAATGAGGTATAAGGCTTTTTTTTCTTCAAGTTTCAAGCTGTACATTATGTCTCAACAGCACGATACTCACATGTTTAAACCTAACCTCAATAATGTTAACCTACAATGCAAGAGGGGATATAAATTCAACGAATTTGCTTGTTTGTTTTTCGTATACATACCCCAGTAATATAAATTCCACGAATTTGCTTGTTTGTTTTTCATATACATACCCCAGTAATTTGAAAAATGTCTTTTATCTTAACACGTTTCCAATTCAGATGATCTCTTTATGTTTGTATGGTCTCTTTATAATTACAGTTGCTTCAAGCAATGTAAAGATATCGTCAGTGAGCAGGAAAACTGGCACACCCAACCCTATGACTGCTGCTGGTAAACTAGAACATGCTCTGGTGGCCCAGACGATCCTAGAGGTCATCTCCCCCAGACTGACAGGCAGGGTAAGCTCGCCAATGTTAATCTTATTTTAAAGGAAGAGGCAGTCATAAATATTTTTTTTATCTGTATAAATATTTTTTACATAAGAAAAAGAGTAATAAAGACTGGTATCTATACATGTTAAATATTAGTTAGAAAGAGAAGATTGTGCAACAAAAACATCACAATGTTGTTTTTACACAAGACCTATATGTTTCCTACAGGATGTGAAGCTGTTTAAGGCGGTATTGGATGATGTGTTTGCTGGCCTGCCGGAGCCTCCCTCTAATCTGTCCCAGATACAGTCAGCCAAGTCACGGGGGGCGGACATTGACGTGTCCCTGAAACACAAGGTAGCTGACAAGGGCCTGGTGGCTCACGACCCATGGATGACCAAGTGTAAACAACTGTTCAACATCTCTCAGGTCCACAATGGTCAGTACATTTCATTCACTATCAAATTTTCTTGTTTAAGTTATAAGTTGTTAATTATCTAGGATTACAGCTTGCATCCATATGTTAGCCATTTATTTTCAAAAATATCTTTAAAAAATAATGGAAGTGACATCATGAATAAATGCTGCGGTAGTCCAATGTTTATTATTTATCATGATTACTCTGAATTTGATTATCAAAATAATTTTGTAAAAATATGGCAAAGAGATTGACTCCCTGCCATTGTATAATAACAGTTATTGTTCTCAACAAATTGATTACCTTTCAACAGGTGTAATCGTAGCGGGACCCCCGGGCAGTGGTAAGAGTACCTGTATCCAGACCCTGGTGGACTCTCTATCCATCTCTGGGCGTGGCACATCTCGTCAGTCCCAGGGCAGTAGGGCCACCAATCCAGCAGAGTCCATGCACAAACTCATCAAGATCAACCCGATGGTGGTTGATGACGAAGCACTCATGTTCGGCTCCCTTAACCAGAATCACGACTGGATAGACGGCATCTTTACAAATGCTGTCCGGAAGGCTAATAGGGTACGTTTGATCACCCAAAATCTCACGGCTTACAGGTTGGTTCTAAACACCATTACCCCCTCGGAAAGGTATGTCTGAATACCCCTTTTTGTCTTGTTACTATATTTTATAATGTACCAGAACATGTATGAGCCTTCTATGTTTTCAGTCAGTTTGACCAGAAGACTTGTCATTGTCTTGGCTAAAACCTGCTCATATACATCAATGTTTTTATGAAAACCCAAGAAAATTTTGTCCAAATATTTCTGGATTTTGTAAAATTCTCAGCTGTACCCTTTCTAAAATACCAGTCCTGGTAAAGCAAAATTGTATATGTTTAAAAAAAAATTGTTCCTTATAAAATCAGTCCCAACCATCAATTGACAACTAATATGTCAAGAAAGAAATATTTATTTAAATCCTGCCAGTAAGATGAATGTATGTGGAATATGTCTGTCCATAAGACTTATAATTGTAACACTTGTTTGTACAGAACCTGAGTACCACATGGCTGTGTCTAGATGGGCCTCTCAACCAGGGCTGGGCAGACAATTTCAACAGTATCCTCAGCGGAGACAAGGTAGGCGTCACATACTGAGTCAAAGAACACAACCGTTTTGTATCAATTTATTTTGGAAGATGTCATATCTCAGTAAATGAAATGATTTATGTAGTTTTATTTCAGAGCTCTCTACGCACTATAAAGTGTGACTGACAGCATTAATAGTTTTGTAACAAATTAATTTATATACAGGTATTACACCTAAAGAATGGAGACAAGCTATTTTTGTCGGACAATATCATCCTGATATTTGAGACAGACAGTCTGGATGATGCCTCCCCCGCCACCATTGCTAGATCTGTGAGTTAACATTTGTAGTAATAAATTCATCTAAATACCTGTATACCCATGATAAAAATATAGGATCTTTTAGTGAGAAATCAGTGTCTAAATACATGTATACCTGTGGTAAATTTAAAGGATGTGTTAGTTACAAATCAACATTACTCGCTCAGGCTTGACTTCATTGCTTTCCAACTACAATTTTTATTTGTAACAAGGTTTTTGCCATTAATGTAATTACAATAGATTTTGTTTGGTGTATTGAGTTTTACATCCTTTTAGCAACTTCGGTCATTTAAGGATGTGATAAGACTTGTAGAAATTATGATGAAAGTATTGTATAATATTCTATTGAAAAATCAAAACAAACAAAAACCTACTGATATATGTATTGTTTACCTGTAGTGTTGACTCGCCTGTTAAGTGTTTTGATGTCTATTGATTACAGGGTATAGTGTACCTGGACAAAGACGTCCTGGGATGGAAACCTTTGGCTGATGCCTGGATAGAGAGTAGAACTCCACAAGAGATACATGTATGTATAGTGTTACAGCTAAGATCTCCATGTACTCAGTACTACCTGGTCGTGTTACCCCACCCAAGTCTCAGCGAATCAAGAAAATCATGACTAACTGTACACGTTTGTTCAGTTGTCTAACACAAGGTTTTAGAATATGTCTCCATCCTATAATGTTTACAAACTACTAAATATGAACTTTTCCCAACACTTGCATTTGGATGCTCCTATCACAAACAATTCATTTGGTCCTGACCAAAAACAATTCTTTTCCTAACAAAATTTTGATATCTGTCATATTTTGTAAATTTTGCTGCTGCACAAGTTTGATTGAAACAGGCTTCTCTGTATCCTCACTAACACAGGATGGACAGACATTGAAGTTACAATCCATGGTTCCAACCACATTGAGAGAATGGCACACAACGTAATACTAATTAACAGACACATACCACAATACCAGTATAGTGATAGGGTCAGAAAACAAGCACGCCCGATCACTGGCACCCTCAAAATAACAGATCTGCTAGGAATATATCTTGACATCTCAGATATTCTACTAATTAATGTTTTTGTATACTGTATACTTTAAGAAACAACACTTAAGCTGATTAAAAGTTGTCTCTCAAGGCGGGTAAACTGTTTCTATCATGGAGAAGACATTTTAAAATGTTATACGAGAGGTTTAACTTGAGGGTGGCTTCGTAAAGGCATTAAATGTACTATAATAATGTATTGTGAAAGTGACTTGTAACTGATGTATAAATCACTGTTTTATTCTCTTCCTTGGTTCTCCCAGGAAAAGGTAGGTCAGATATAGTACATCTCTGAGTGACTTTGCATCTATAGACAAAATGGAATGTAGTCTGTAGATAAATAAAGCCATAGATAATTTGTTAACTATCTCTTAAATATGTGTATACTGCTCTAACTGATCACAAAATCACCAATAAATACACTGGCAAGTGAGGTTTTAATGGAAATGTTGAAACTTTTTACAAACACAGATCTTTGACAGAGATTTATAAATATTATTTCATTGTTAGTGGTACAAGATGGAAATGTTGAAACTTTTTACAAACACAGATCTTTGACAGAGATTTATAAATATTATTTCATTGTTAGTGGTACAAGATGTACCAATTTTTCTGTATGTAAAACCAGTTAAATGCACTTTTTTCTTAAGACAGTTTTTTTAATCAAATATGTTCTCTGTACTATTTCAGTACACAAACATAATGGAAGTGAGTGTAAAATTGAGCTATGTTTGATTGGAGTGATCTATATTCTGCTATTGACAGGGTGCTAGGCGTAGGAAGTGGCCTGGTCTGAGTACCAACAATCATCCTCCATTTCTATCATGTTCACTTAAGCTCCTTCATTTTGATTGAAACAACTCGTTTTTGGAGTGGAGCTAGATGATTTGTTGTTGAATGTTCGATTATAAATCTAGATGTTGGCTACATTTATTCTCTTATCACAACTTGCCTGCCAAGAGTAGAAAACATGACTAACATACTTCCTTTGATACCGGACGCTTTATATACCTGGGTATGTGTAAATAATAAAGTCCTGAAATCAGATCTGGCTAGAATATCAAAATGATTTTATGAAGATTACTGTAAGTTAACCAATTTAGCTGTGCCAGTCTAACCAATGTATACTTGAAATTGCCTGAAAGTGAATGGTCTTCAAATCATGCAAAGATACCAGATGTAAATCTTATGTTAAATATCTTTATCTGATGTCTTAAAATTGTTGCCGCTTCAAAAGTATGTTCAATATATGCCCCTAGAATTCAAATTCTGAATAGGATTGCATTTATTAAAAGCAAAATTGCAAAATATTTGTTGACAGACAGATATGTTTTTTTCTAACTAATTGTACTGATTGTTGTGGTGCCTGGTTTTTTTTCTACACAGAGTCGCACGTCTGTACACCGTAGACAGGAGGGGGAGCCCCCGCCTACAGTGGGAGGGGTAATACACTGTAGTGACTGGTCGGTGGTCCTACCCCTGTACTGTCTCCTCAACAGGAGAAAACCCCACACCTTTCCCTTGTGTTCCCCCACCTTGAAGTTGTACATGTATTTTGGTTTTTATCACCCACGTAATGATGTGCTATCCTTTGTTTTTATGTTCAGTACTCGTGCAGATTTTATTGTTTACTTTTAGATTTGTGTTTTGTAGAGCCAAGCTGTGAAAAAATGCAAATAAAATAGTGACATAATCAAACATCTTAGAATTGATGAGAAATTTCATTTCCTTCTTTAATCAGATATATTTCTTACTGTCTGTACCCAACATTAACAGCTGTGTGTGTGTGTAAACTGTACGGTGGACAAATAGTGTGTTGTTTCTCTACAAACAGGTCAGCATGATTAGTTGGTGAAAGGACTGCACAATCTATTACATATCTGTGTGACCTACGTTACATATCTGTGTGACCTACGTTACATATCTGTGTACCTACATTACGTATCTGTGTGGCCTACGTTACATATCTGTGTGACCTACGTTACATATCTGTGTGACCTACATTACATATCTGTGTGACCTACATTTCATATCTGTGTGACCTACATTACGTATCTGTGTGACCTACGTTACATATCTGTGTGATCTACGTTACATATCTGTGTGACCTACATTACATATCTGTGTGACCTACGTTTCATATCTGTGTGACCTACATTACATATCTGTGTGACCTAGGGTGACCTACTCAGATTCATTTGGACTGGAAATCCTGGAATAACTAAAATTCTTACAGAAAACCTAATACCAAATATTTTTATTTGTTCTCAGTTGAAATTTATGAAATGTGGCCACCATTTTTCCTAGGTACCCACCACCCCAGTACCTGTTGATTCAGATATAGAACCACTTGAAGATCTAGACCCACCCATCACAACAGTCGAAGGGGTAAACTGCACGAGCATGGGCAAAACCTCGTCAAAATAAAGCCACTAAATTTTCTTACAATTTTCTATTTCAGTGCATTGTAGTCTAAACAGCAGTTCACTTGCATGAGATGCTTTGCTCATGTCCATGTAAAATGTGTCATTATTGTGTGTCATAATTGTATCTCGTCAACATTGACAGTTCTTTAATCAAAATGCCCTTTTTAATTAAAGCTTAGTTAAACCAACAGTTAACAGTATTTGAAAACTAAAAAGCTAATCAAGTAGTTGATATCAGACTTACTTGGATAAAAATCAAATGTTAATATTTGGGAGGGAGGAGGGGGGAGGCACTTTTGTTGACTAATCGGAAATAATAAGTTCTAAAACTGATACTTCTGTGGGAAAATTACCCACCAAAAGTCTAAATAAAATTGCTCCTGTACTTGAATGAAAATTACATATTGATTAATTTCAATTTTCTTCTAATTTTTTTTGCCCTTTTCTAACATGACTGCGAAAATAATCTTATAATTTTTAACCTTAGATCAAATTAATACAAATTTGCCAAAAAATATAAACCAACCAAAAACAGCCTTAAATATTTCTAAAAACTCCCCAACTCCATAAATGTTAACTAGTGTATGTAAGTATATACATCTGCATGACTTACTGTTATGTTCAATGTTCACCAGACCTAGTGACCACTGTAGATGATGACCCTGGGTCAGTATGTTGTCCAGTAGAACCTGTGGGTCTATCATACTAACACCAATTATCTCCCTTACTTACAACTGTTGTGTTGTGTCGTACCCATCTCTGGGGAATGTCGGAACTGATTGCAATCTGTCATCTTTACATGTTTCCATTCGTATCAGCTCATTTCTTATGTGCCGACATTTTCGTTGTATGTACAATGTATATATCTATCATGTGTTTTGATATTTTCTTTTTGGGTTACATAATATACACAGCTGAAATAAATTTGATTTCAAGAATAATTACCAATATACCTTTTCTCACATTTCAATATTTTTCCAGAAGAAAAGTAATAGATATAACTGCTGTGAAAATTAAATTATAGAAATCATCATTTCTTCTATGTTTTACCTGTAATTCCGTTGTCATACTAACATGGTTACCTGTCGTTGTACTCAATCAGGATATGTATGTTTGTTATCTAGAAACTCTTCAGTAGCATAAGTTCTTGTCCTCAAATAATTAAACGTATAGTAAAACAAGGTCTACTGACTGTGTTTCAGGTTCTACAAAGGGCCTTCCAGAAAACACTTGACCCTATTGCCCAGTTTGTTTTACAAGAAGCCAAGTAAGTTACTTTTTTAAAAAAATCCAGGGACCATTATTCTACCATTGAAAACTGATAAACAATCTGAAAATATTTAAAAGAAACAATACTTTCCTTTATTATTTTTTTTTATAATTTTAAAATGTTCTATAAATTGTATCCTTATTTATATATAATGAAGATTGGTATGAGACATGAGAAGACAAATCTAATGTGAAATGATTTGTATATATATACATGCACTATATATTTTTATTATGATTGCTGTAAAAGAAGAGAGATTACACTTAGTACTTTTGTTTACAGACCAAGCCTGAAGCTGTCCTTAGTGGGAATGTTCAAGACATGTCTAGGTCTGCTATCAGCCATGTTGGCAGACAACATAGAAATCGGAGGGGAGCTCCATATTGAGCGACTCTACCTGTTCTGTCTCATCTGGACATTTGGTGGGCTCCTCAACCCCGCTGACAGGAAGGGTTTCAGTGACCTCCTTAAAACCCTGTCCACTGCGTAAGTCTTCCTGGCTTTATTACTGTCAGTAGAAAAACAAATTCTAATTGATTCAATGAAAGATAAGTGTGATAACTTTTTATTCTTGTTTGCCCTTAGCTGTAATATATATATTACCACAAACATGCTTATTGGAAATTTCTACTTGTAACAAAGTCAAATTTTATCCGCATGGAATTGTTGAAACAATCTTTCGGTCTTAGCTCATTTTCACAGCATCTAGTTACATTTAATTAGATATTTGAAAATTGCCTTCAATGCTTGAATAAAATTTCTATTAGCAGAAAATTTAGAGTAAAATGTTTACCAAACATTGTGTAACAGTATTGAAAACGTGCTGATGATATTGTATATGTATGTATACTGTTTAAGGTTGCCTGACGATGACCGTGACATCTGTTTACCAAACATTGTGTAACAGTATTGAGAACGAGCTGATGATATTGTATATATATGTGTATGTTTTAGGTTGCCTGATGATGACCGGGACATCTGTGTGTTTGACTACTATGTAGATGAGTCTGGAGAATGGGACCCATGGACATCCAGGTAATAACCTCACTACACTGGAACCTCTGTATAAGCATCAGAGCCTGATATTATTGTATCATGAATTCAATTACTGTCTAATGTTATTATGTTGATGTGATTGGACAAAAAAATAACTAGGATATTCAATAAATCTGAGTTAAAATACACGTCTGAAACAACTGTGATACAACCATTGACTTATAGGGTAATACTTCTGTTTGTTCTGTAACACAGGGTACAGGAGGTGATTTATACAGATAACCAGGATATGTTAGGAGAAGTGTTCATGGATTCCGTCGACACTGTAAGTACCTGGTTCCTCGTTGTTGGCTGGAGGTCCAGACATTGTTAACAGATGTACATGTCAGACCTGTAAATCAGGAATATTTAGAATTACTTATGAATTACTTCACATTTAACTGAAAGTAGCATTATATATTCTATGAATCGTTTTCAGAACACTGGGCTTCATTTCTTGAGGTGATACTCTATGTAATAAATAAATTCTAAGCATTTTTTTGGCTTGAAAATTAACATTGATACAGGTGCAGAAAGTTCATAGGTGTTTGTGGTACACAAGCTTACAACTACACTGTAATATTATAGCTAGGTCAATACAGATCATCAATGCTGCAGTCTACAAAATATTCATAGGAATGTAGGTAAATGATATAAAAATAGATAATTTTGGAGAAACTACTGATATGTTATTCTAGTTCTAGTTCAAATGGTTAATGCCCTCCTTCAACAAGTTGAAGAATTCTTTTTTCTTCTTTTGACAGTTCCGCACAAAGATTTTGATGGAGTTTGCCTCAGCCTCTGGCCTAAATGTCCTGTTGGTGGGAGCCAATGGGTCAGGCAAGACCAGTCTTATTGAAAGGTTTATGGATATTCAAGGTATGTACCAAAAATCTCTCTCCAATGGACATTAGATATTATGACATTTTCTTTACATATCATTATGTGACATTTAATTTTCGCTGATTTTTCAGTTGTAATCGGTGTTTCCGTTGTTATACAGAACCACTGCTTTCTTTAACTCCATTTGATATCAAAAATATAACTCTACAACTAACCAACAATTCCTCTAAAATTAAAAGCGTGTGTTCGATCTGTTTTACAGACCCACAGGTGTCAGTATGTAAGAGGCTGGTGTTCTCTGGTGCTTCATCTGCCAAACAGTTCCAGCACTTCATCGAGGCTAACATCCACCACAGACAAGGTAAGGACAAACACTTCACCAGGGTATGGTTGATATAATGAGATGTGTTGTTCTTTGTTGAACAGTGTTTGTTTGGTTGGTGAAATAAGGTTTGTTGTTCTGTGAAAGAGAAATGAGAGGTGTTGTTCTTTGTTGACCGGTGTTTGTTTGGTTGGTGAAATAAGATTTGTTGTTCTGTGATAGAGAAATGAGATTGGTTGTTCTTTGTTGACTAGGGTTTGTTTATGGAGCCAAGGAGAGCAAGAAGCTGAAGGTGTTCATTGACGACGTAAACTTACCTGTACCAGACAGCCATAAGGTACAACGGTGCAATGAGGTAAGGCATCATTCTGGATTATCAATGATAACCTTATGGGATTTGATATAAGATTTTTCTCTTCAGATAGATATTATATATTAACTTCTGAAAATAGTGACTGATTACTATCAAATTGCAAAAAAATCAGCATGTCAAGGAGGAAAAACTAATGTTTCAAATTGATAATATACTTAAATAATTATGATTTATGCTGTATCACATTTAACCTTGATTATTGTTGTAATGACCTTGGCAATGTGTACTATTTTTCATGCCCTCCACTGTTTAATGACGTTGGCTATATGTACTATATCTTGTGACTTTCATTTGTAATGACCTTGGCTATTTGTGCTGTAGCTCCTGAGACAGTTACTGGATGACAAGGTCCTGTGCACGCTACAGAAGCCTTTTGAGTGGAAGACTGTCGAGGATCTGAGCATTATTTCGGCCATGTCTATGAGTGACCACCCCAGTGTCAGCACACGCAAGCTGTCCAATAGACTGCTGGTCAGTGGAACCTGTTGTTAATAAAGTCTAACCCAGGCCACACCCAATACTGAGTGTAACTTTATTGATACAAGTGGAAACTAAAACTGAAGCTTTGAGGTTCAATGTCTGAATTACTTTTATAACTTAAACAAGTCCAGTTGCTTAGAAAAAAAATCCTATTCCTAAATTTGTTTGTAAACCAAAATGTCTGGAATTATGTTAAATGACACTGTACATTTTATCATTATTTTCACCTGTTTAAACTTTGAATATCAGTGAAGTTGTCAAAGTTTTAATGACTGATTGAACTGTCTAATTAAAGACCTCTTGTCTTCTTTTCATATTTTCAGTTTTAGAAAAAATTGTAAATTTAATTTATTCCTCAACAGAGACACTTTGCTGTGTTTAACCTTGCCACACCATCAGATGAGGGCCTAAAGAACATTGTACATGGTATTTTGGAAGTTAACATGACAGATGGGGACTGCCAGGGACTTGAGATCGACCTCCACAACAACCTCGTCAAGGCATCGTGTGAGATTCTGAAGGCTGTACAGAGTGTGCTCAGGCCTGCCCCCATGTATGGCAGACGACACTATCTCTTCTCTCTGAAGGACATCACTGTTTGTTTCCAGGTTAGTCCAACTTCCCATCCGATAGTCACCTGAAGGATTGATAACGATCAGATGTGGTCAACATCATAAATAAGTGATGACCCACAAACTATGCTCAACATTATTGTCAATATGTCACGGTGTTACCCAATATTTCAGAATATTAGCAATACATTTTTTTATTTATACATATCCATGCAGTTACTGACAACAATTATCTATCAACTAAGATGTGTAAGGTCAAAATATCATGGTTTATCTTTCATCAACTATTGTACAACTACAGCAGATAATGAAGTAAAATGTTTAACACCTACATTTAAGTCATAATGAATCAAATTCTTACAAAGTTATGAATCAAATATCAAATTTGACTGGAAATATACCCTCTCTACTAGTAAAAGACATCTGTATCACAGGATAGTTACCAGTAAACATTACAATGACTGACATGTACAGACACACAGACACTATTGTGGTGACATATGTGTTGTTCCCTCCAGAACCTGAAGCGTTTACCAGAGGAGAGTCTGGCTGATGAGACTATGGTACCGGTCGTGTCTCTATGGCGACACGAGATGCAGAGGATTATAAAGGACAGAATTAGCCGTACAGCAGATCTCAACTGGTTTGACAGTCTTCTCCAGGAAACCATAGAAAGTACCTGGCCTGACTTTAAGGAACCACTGATTGAAAATTTTGTGACATTCCCCACAGATGCCAGGATGTACCAAAGACCGGTCACTTCAGTTGGAGCTAAAAACATCAAGGTTAGTGCCTAACCTGAAAATTACTCCACTGATGCTTTACATTTTGTATTTATTTTACATTATTGGTTGAAGTGCAGGTCTGATGGGCCTCTTTGTTACAGCTACAATGGTACCAGTATTTGGTGTATTCTGATTGTACCCACTCTCTGTCCCCTACAGATTGTTCTACAGCCTATAGACCAGCTACGTGATGTCCACAGTTGTCTGAACACACACCTCACACGCTACAATGAGGAGTTTGGTAACATCCCCCTCAACATCATGCTGTCTGACTTCATCATCGCCCACATCATCAGGATGCACAGGGTTCTCAGCTTCCACCATGGGTAAGGCTGTAACTCTGGAAAACTGGAACTGTTCAGTCTCGGTTGGTTAGAAATTCATTAACATGCAATCTATTGAGACACAGTACAGAGTAACGGCCTCTCAGTTTGTCTTTGATTTTGTATTCCATTTTTTTTTTTTAAACTGTAATACAGTACATGTTTATTGTTTTGATTAAACGTTAAAAGTCCTTACAATTTGCCTTCCTTATCATCTGGAAAGTCTCCTCCTTTAAGAGGTTAAATCAAGCCCATGCAATGAAATGATAGGAGATAAGGATTCACTTTGACTGAACTACATACAAGCCCAACCTGATATAGTGTATGAGTTGATTCTTGGCCTTTCTCTTCTAGTAATTAACATGAGAATATAAACGGTTGTCTCCCTTTGTAGTGGTAACATGCTGTTGATTGGAGCAGTGGGTTCTCACTTGGCTACCTTGTGTAAGCTTGCCCTACACGTGGCTGATGTTCCCATACACAAGGTGGACACCAGTAAGCAAAGTAACTTCTTTGATGGACTGCGTTCAGCAGTGCGACTCTGTGGGTCAGAGGGCAAGATCCTTTCCCTCATGTTCACGGTAGGTCAACGGAAATGTCTGTTTTTTAAGTTTTTCAGTATCTTATGATTGAGATTATCTTTTACAATTTCTGAAATAATTAGTCAAGATTTATAAGACAAAACCTTCAGTGATATTTAAGGTACAAACTTGTGCCAGCAGTAAATATTCTATTGAACTGTTGTAAATTGGTGTTTCATTCCTGTGATCTCTTGTATTGCCAGGCACGTGACTTGGAGGACCCCGTGTATCTGGACGCCATCAACAGTCTGCTTATTAGTGGGGAGTACCCACACCTCTTCTCTAATGATGAGCTTGAGGGACTCCTACAGGTAACATCTGTCTCCAACCCACCTCTACACACCTAACCTTGATGAAATAATACTTTATGACTTTAGGTAACACTTAACATCTTACCATTGACAAATAGAAACTTTTTTATATCACAACCATCATTACTTCTTAAGCTATCATACTGCACAAAAAAAAACCAAAAAAACCTACACAGTATTATAATTGTGTTGACTTTATCTGACACAGGCTATTGGTCCTGCCATGAAGAGGGAGTTCCCCAACATGTCTGTTGATCCAATGAAGTTTTTCGTAGCGAGAGTGAAAAGCAACCTCCATTTCTTAATGTGCTTACAACCTGGACACACCCTGCTCAGCATTGCTGCTAGGTCAGTATAGTCAAACTACTCAGCATTGCTGCTAGGTCAGTTAAGTCAAACTACTCAGCATTGCTGCTAGGTCAGTATAGTCAGACTACACAGCATTACTGCTAGGTCAGTATAGTCAAACTACTAGCATTGCTTCTAGGTCAGTATAGTCAGACTACACAGTATTACTGCTAGGTCAGTATAGTGAAACTACTCAGCATTGCTGCTAGGTCAGTATAGTCAAACTACTCAGCATTGCTGCTAGGTCAGTATAGTCAAACTACTCAGCATTGCTGCTAGGTCAGTATAGTCAAACTACTCAGCATTGCTGCTAGGTCAGTATAGTCAAACTACTCAGCATTGCTGCTAGGTCAGTATAGTCAAACTACTCAGCATTGCTGCTAGGTCAGTATAGTCAAACTACTCAGCATTGCTGCTAGGTCAGTATAGTCAAACTACTCAGCATTGCTGCTAGGTCAGTATAGTCAAACTACTCAGCATTGCTGCTAGGTCAGTATAGTCAAACTACTCAGCATTGCTGCTAGGTCAGTATAGTCAGACTACTCAGCATTGCTGCTAGGTCAGTATAGTCAAACTACTCAGCATTGCTGCTAGGTCAGTATAGTCAAACTACTCAGCATTGCTGCTAGGTCAGTATAGTCAAACTACTCAGTATTACTGCTAGGTCAGTATAGTCAAACTACTCAGCATTGCTGCTAGGTCAGTATAGTCAAACTACTCAGCATTACTGCTAGGTCAGTATAGTCAGACTACACAGTACTACTGCTAGGTCAGTATAGTCAAACTACTCAGCATTACTGCTAGGCCAGTAAAGTCAGACTACACAGTATTACTGCTAGGCCAGTATAGTCAAACTAAACAGCATTACTGCTAGGTCAGTATGGTCAAACTACACAGCATTACTGCTGGGTCAGTATAGTCAAACTACTCAGCATTGCTGCTAGGTCATTAAAGTGCCATTTTTAGGATTACTGCAAGGTAAGTATAAACACCCTGATCAGATATTTACTTGGTCAGTATTGTCAATAAATACGATTCACTTAAAATGATGTTACATTAATACAACACCTAAACTTTTCTCTTTTTAACTGTACAACCTCCGCAATTTTGCCATAATCAATGTTTTATTAAAAATGTTCTCGGGATTCATGCAAACAATTCAGCATTCAGCACTAAGTTAATTATAATTTACATTAAAATGAGTTCTGATATTTCAAAGCCCTGTTTATGGTTGTTACAGTCAGTACCCAGGTCTGCTCAGCGGCTGTGCCATCAACTGGATGTGTGACTGGCCCCAGGTGGCGCTGCTAGGCGAGGCTTCCTATTTCATCACTAGGCACCAGCTTACAGAGGAATTCGAGGACCTCAGGTAGGAATTTTATAATGGCTTATAATCGATAATTAAATCTGATTTCTTTCTACCAAAGTTATATGACAATTTAAAGAATGATCACAAAAATTATCTATTTGTGAAAAAAATAAGTGGTTAACCATAACACATGCACACAGTAGTATGGTTCTGTTTTCTTGTTGCTTCTTGAAGTGTGCATGAATGGATTGGTAGAAGCAATTGATAATTGTATTATCATTAGACCATCTTGCTCAAGTATACATATCATTCCTGTGACACTTTTTAGACCTAGACCCGATTGGCTGTAAGTTTGTGTTTGCAATTGAATTATTTATTCCTTTTGGTGAATGTTATTTAGATGTTTTTGTTATTGACATGCATGTATTTTACAATCTTTAGTTCTATATTTTGTAGAAAAACTTAATATTTAATGAAATGTTCAGATAAAAAGAGGGAAAATCTGAATTATTCCTATCATTGTTGGAATTGTTTGTCTGTACAGTGATGCGATACTTACATCTGTCGCTTCAATGTTTTATGTATCATACCCCAGTACTGTTCACTACATAGACAGTATGTATCGTACCCCAGTACTGTTCACTACATAGACAGTATGTATCATACCCCAGTACTGTTCACTACATAGACAGTATGTATCGTACACCAGTACTGTTCACTACAAAGACAGTATGTATCGTACCCCAGTACTGGTCACTACATAGACATATGTGTATTGGAGGATATTTTTTGTGTCTCTCAAGCATATTCTTGTCTATCTATCATTCCCACTTTGTCATCACTACACAGATTTATCGCTCACAAATAATGCTTCCATATTTGTGCCATTAAGACTTTTATTGCCATGGTGGAATTTGTCATAATTTTTTGTTGTTTTTGTTTTTTGTTTTTTGTTTTGTATACAAGAAGCTGTGATCTGAATAAATGTTACATATTCAAGAGAAACTTAAATGATTAATCCCCCCTTCTTACCTTTATTTTTGATTGGGCTATTTGATGGACTATTAACCTGCTGACATAAACCAGAGCTTACTAAATCAGACTCGGTAATACTGAGGGTATGGTGTGTGACATAGGATTCTACAGAACTCTCTAATCAAAGGAAAATTTGGTTAATTTAAATAATATAAAATCCATCCAGCCCTTAACTAACATTGTTAACATTATCCTTGGTGAAATTTAAAATCAATCCTGTTTAATATGATGTTAGTTTTCTACAGTCATTGTGTTTGAACATTTAAATTTATTAAATGCTTATTTATTTCCATGCTATTAAAAAGACAATTTTCAAATTCCTATATCAGAACAGTCTATCAGGTACTAATATTACCATAGCATTAGCATCGCTCAGTGAATTTATGTAATTAATCATGCAACTAATCTAATGGAATTTACTTTTGATTTTATTAACGTTCAAATTAAAAAGGGAAAAATACATTGTTTTATTAATGCAAATACTTGACATAACTAACTTATTGTTACTGCTTTTTAAATACATGCAAAAGAACTAATTATATCTTACATTAAAATCATATAAAAATCTTTTTGCTCTGTCACATAACATGATCCTATGCATTTCTGACATGAATTATAACATTTGCTACGTTCTAGAATGCTGATAAATATGGAGTTATTGTTTGATAAATTCCATATAAAAATCATAATACCCTGTCCATAAGGTCAGACTGGCGACTAAGTCTCACGACCTTGTACCGGTGACGTATACTAATGTAAATGGTTGGTTGATGATTCCAGTGAAAATGTGACGGTGTGCCTAGCCAACATTCACAGCTTCGTGCTGCGTGACTGTCGCCAGCTGCCCTGGGCCGGAGACATGACAGGGGAGGTAACCATGAACCAGCTAAAGATACATGAAAAGAAGAAGGAACAGATTAAGACCCAGTCCATCACAGTGCCCAACCACCCATACTCCAAACTCATCATGCTGGAGCGTATCAAGTGAGTATTATATCACTTACACATAACCTTGGTCTGTGCGAATTCTATATTTACCTTGTATGTTTTTGTCTCGTCGGTAGTGTACACACCTAAACTAGAACTAGAACCTGTCTGTCCACACGCAACCAACTTTAGTTAGTTGCTGTATTTTAATATGAAATTGTTCATTGCCAATTTTGTTTATAAAGAGCTATTGACTTTGTACATGTTTAGTGTATATGGGAACCATAGATGGAGAGCTATTTGTCTTTGTACATGTTTAGTGTATATGGGAACCATAGATGGAGAGCTAATGACTTTGTACATGTTTAGTGTATATGGGATCCATAGATGGAGAGCTATTGACTTTGTACATGTTTAGAGTATATGGGAAGCATAGATAAACATAAATGTGTACATGTTTTGTTGCTATAGAAACAGGAGGAGGATGCGAACTGAGGATCAAAGTTTAACAAGCCTGTAAGAATACTGACTAAACCAGATCTTTTGATCTATGTAACTCTCTAGGCCAATGATGTACATCATTGTGTACTTTTAATGGATTTTTATTGTGATTTTTATCACCAGATATTTATAGCCTTGCATGCATGATGCCTCAGCCTTGTACCTATATATTACCATATCTCACTCATGTCTTAATCATATTCTTATTTGGGTATACATGTTTATGCTTTTTTTCGATCTAATTTTTAATTTTTAATTTACAGTTCATTTTTCTAGGGCGTTGAGGGGTCATCTGGCATTTTCTTTGCTTCAAGTTTTTTTGTAGAAGTATTGTTCAAATTAAACTTTTGGATATTTCTTTATTTTACATTTGACTTAACCATGCAATTATATTTAAGAGCTTTCTGTTATTTCTTCTGAAGTCATTTCTTTTCGTTTGATCTACTTTTTTAGAAACCTTTTTTTTTAAATCTGAATATTCTCTGACTTAATTTATTGCCAACTTTACACTTGCTTTCTTGTTATTTAGTAAATGTACAACAGTGCAAAGGAAAGATATAGATGGCTCTATTTAGAAAATAACATTTTACATTAGTTCTGTGCAATGGAAATGTGCTAGCTTTCTGTCTTATCTGTGTGATGCCTTATACGTACAGATCTGCTAATGCCCTTACTCTCAGCTTCAGGAGACAGAAACATTTCCTTGATGAAAGTTAAAGTTACATTATTATAAAAACTCTTTGTTTTCATAAATAAATATTGGTATTTGTCTATATTAAACACAACATTAATGTTTTAAATTACATTAATATTGACTGTCATTGATAAAAAACCTTAACATGACTTTAATCATAAGGGACTGACATACTGGCTATATAGGGCTTAACATGAGTGTACAGAAAAGCCTGAATAAACCATCCTTACATTAATAAAGTCATTAGATTAAGTTCACATAACACTGACAAGCTTCCAGAATTATATATATCTGATTTTCCAGCAATTATAAATTACAACTGAACATTCTAAACCTGTTTGTGCCTTTTTGATCAGACAACTCTGACATATATCTTTTCTGAACTGTTGATTTTTATCAAAGAATTTTCAAATCCTATGTATTTTAGTGAGCTGTTTGTTGATACGTTTGTGACCTGCTTGTGTATAGTGAACCCTGTACACATGTCACCTTTGACCATCAATCCATTGTGATCCTTCCTCAAATCTGCACGTCAATTTGTGTGTAGCTTTAACTTTTAGTGTTGATAAGAGTACTTGCCAATAGTTTCCCTTAAATCCCTTCCCTTATATACAGCTTTGAGATTTGTTTACATTGACAACCCATAGATGTAATGGTTGCCCAATCCTAGACCAATACTGCCAGTTTTACTGTTTCATGACAATGCAATGCCTCAGGCTCTAATGATGATACAAAATAATACTACCAAATTCATTTTAACACGCTCTAAAAATGTTCATCAGGAAATAAACTTCATAGAATTTTAAATGGTCTAATTCCACAGGTCTTCAAAATACACTATTCTGTAGGTGTGTTTCGACCAGAACTGTTATTTACATTTTATATCTACTGTAAATTAGCTACCTGCTTTAAGATCTGAGTCACAGGAAAATTTATCTTAGGGAGTTGGTTCAATTGTTTTAAAGAATCAAATATTATGGTGAATTTAATATGCATTCAATTTTCAACTTATCATCATGGTAAGGTCAGTAAAAGAAATACTAGTATAGATAGAAATAAAGTTCCACTTGAACCAATGTTACTAAGAACCTGTTGTGTCCGCAGGAATAACCACCGGTGTGAGGTGGTGAAGGCTAAAAACGAGGTGTACATAGGCCCCACTACCTACCGACGCTTCATGGAGTGCTTCAAGTACCTCTACAACGAGAAGGCCAAGGAAAGGACAAGCACTGTTGACCAGCTCAAGTAAGATAATAAGTTAATAGTCACCCTGGGGGGTAACAATGTATCAATCCAGCTCAACCACATTGATAGTTTTGGGTTTGAAAAACAAAATTGAGATGATAATATTTCAAATTAGGAATAAGTTGTCTAACATATGTTTTGTCATAAAAGTAATATAATTTTGTATCAGATTGATAACATCCATTAGCTGTTATTATTTTTTAAATTGAGTGTTTTTCATTGTAATATTTTTTTTTTTAAAAGCTTCAATACATAATAATGATATTTCTTTTTGTATAACTTAGTTTCAATAAGCATAAGTGAGTTTATTTATCTCACAGGAAAGTGATATCAACCATGGATCAGACCAGAACTGATGCTAAGGTGATGAAGAAGGCCATTAAGTCTATCATGGGAAAGTTTGACGACGCCAAGAAAAACACGGCAGACTTAATGCATAAACTGACCCACAAGGCGACCAATCTGGAGAAGTTGAAGGCCAAGGTTGGTCTGAGCACGTCCCTGGACGCCTACCTCCACCTCACCGAAATGGAGACGGAGGAAGAGGAGGAAGATGAGCTCCTCCAGCCAGGTTAGCAAGAGATTTAGAACATCACAATACATCTACAATAAATTAGTGATGCAGTTTGTACACAGGACTTTTCTTTTTTGTTTTGTTTATCAAGGTACAGAGTATTATCTAAAAGACTAAAAGACCAATATCTATAATTGTTATTTCATTTTAATTTGTCCAGAAGATTCTGCATTGTCATCTAAGAACAAACTATAATTAAAATTCTATACAAAAGAATTTGTGTACAAGTAAAAAGTTCTGAGCAAGTGATATACTGGTACCAGCTTTATATTTGTTTCACAGAGGATTATGATGACTATGACAAAGAGTTTGACAAGATGAGGGAGGCCAACCTAAAGACAAGACAGGTGGCTGCCAAAGAGGAGCATGTAGTAGCACTAAAATATGTGGAGGAGTGTCGCCAGAACCTGGAGTACGCTCGCCAGCAGGTAGTCAGCTAACACACAATACTCTGTTGGACAACCCAGGCATTAATGGGTTATGTTTTTCTTTATGACTCTGTATTCAGACTTATTCAGGCTTTTATTTTCAGTGAAATATATGAAATAAGAAATTTTAAGAAATGACTGATGCTTAATCCCTTTTGCCCTTCCCAGATAATGTTGTTTACTTGGAAGTGAATCAAATGAAATACCATTTTACTATTTTGATGATTTACCTTTTTCTCAGGTGTTACACTGGAAGTCCAGGGTTGACCGACAATGTATAGAGCGACTGAAGGGTTTCAGTACCCCTCCAGTGCTGGTGGGCTCCGTCATGGAGATGGTCATGACCCTAATTGGGAAACGCCTGCCATCTCAGCGTCTCCAAGAGTCACGGGACTATCACGGGAAGGATGACCTGTCTAGTCGTATGTCATCCAGCTCCAGTAGTACCAAGGTCATCTCAAAGAAAGGTAAGGTCATCTGGGAATTTACCATAGCCATTGTCAGATTGTAAAGTGAAGACAATTTAAACCAAACCAAAGCATAGCTGAATCAAGTGATTTCGGTACATATATAACAACTATTGTACATACTCCTACAGCGTAGCTGAATCAAGTCATTTCGGTACATATATAACAAGTATTGTACATACTCTTACAGCGTAGCCGAATCAACAACGATTTTGTGGACAACTCGTACACATTCTCCACTGGTCATTTGTCTGATTTAGGTGACAGTGTACATCACATAGAAAATCTTATTGGTTGTGTAAAAAGAACTTTTCATAATCAAACCATGGATATTTTAATGTGGTGTTAGATCTCGAGCTTGGAATAACTATTTGTAATGTTGTAATCATTCTATTATTCTTATGCTATTTTATGATAGTTGTTACATTCAAGTTGTTTTACTCATAATTGCGTATGATATGTGCATGAAATAGCATAACTTTTCCTTTATAAACTGTTCCCTTTCCCATACTGAATTGATACCTGCATTCAGATTATTTAGCTTCAGCAAATGTAAAACTTTCAAACTATATGTAATGGATTTTTTTCCCTCAAATATATTTGCTTTTACCTTTTCCTTCCTTAGAAATATCAGCTTTGTAATACCATCTGCCTACCATCACATTTCTGTGAGGTGCTCTCCTCGACTATCATACTAATATCAAACAGAGGAATGCTATTAGTCCAGATATTTTGGTTTCCACTTAGGATTGTCAATGACATTCCTTTTAAAGCCCACTCTAACCTTCACAGAGTCCACAGCAAACCTCAACCCCCAGTGTTATATATGTTAAACGTGCCCATATTCCAAACCTCAGTGTCAACATTAATCCACATAGTGACCATGCCAAACCTCAGTGTCATTTTCTCAATCAAATCCACTTGGTCAGGGTATCCACTTGGAGTAGCGAAATTATTTTTCCAGAGCCAGGGATTTTCTAGGTTTCCAGTAAGAGGTCACTGTACAGCTGTAGGCCAGACACCTTGGTTCCTATAGAAAAGAAAAAAAATAAAGAAAAAAATCAGGATTCTTAACAATATTTCTATTGAGAATTCTTATAAACATTTGGGAAAAAGTGTTTTTGTATTAATGGAATTAGATACACGTACATTAACTGTATATCAATTAATAAAAGTTTACGCTTTATCTTGAAATCAAGATTCCCCAAACCCATGTATAAGATAACTTTTAAAACATTAGAATTACATATTTGGGTAAACACACAGTCGCTTCCTTGGCAGATTCGACAGAAGAGATCCCAGGGACTCCAACTACACGTATCTAAACTATATATATGTCTTTAATACATGTATAAGTTACACACTACTAGTTTTAATTTTGTTGCTTTTGTCTTCCTCATAACAGATGGTCCCAGATCAGGTACTTTGTCCCGCACGTAACAATAGTTCCACACACGAGGTCATTCCTAATGTCCTCCCCTGATTTTTGTCTGGTGTTTTTGTGTTAAGCCTATTTTGAGAAGTTTTTGCAATTTTAACACTGTGGTTAAAGACATTTACTGGTAAAAGTGTCACTTTAACAGTGTTTTGTGTATGGTTAAACGCTGTGAGTAGGCCAGAGTATGCTGTGGGTTGATTTAATGTCAATGTACAAACAGTGAAATAATATCTTGATAATATTAACATTTTATTATGTTTTGTGTTTTCCAAACTAAACACTTGGTATAAAACTTTCGCACAAATAATTTGTTTTCTACCTACTTCTAACGGTGTATTAATATTACTGTAGATTTAAAACACAAGTAAAGATGTAGTTTCTATAATCAGTGCCCACCGGTACACCATTGTTCTCCCGATCAATGATTTACCAGACATTTCTTTATTTGTATGACAGATTTCCACTGATTTGTAACTGCTATTATACACTGGTTGTGATTTGTGTTGTGGGTTGTGATTTGTGTTGTGGGTTGTGATTTGTGTGTGTTTGTGTTGTGGGTTGTGATTTGTGTGGGTTTGTGTTGTGGGTTGGTAAACTAGCGTGCTTTAATTGCTATATACTTATCAATGTATCTATATTTCTGAAAGACAAAATACAATTAGTACTGATGTTTGGTGGTTATATGCAAATCAGTTAATCTCCTGTGAAGAATAGCAGCCTCACTATAAATGTTCCTTGTTATCCAATAGATATTTCAAGGTTCTGACAGATATTTCATGATCTCAGGAGCTTTGTCATCCTGCTTTGATATCAATATAAGATGTAATATAATTGTACATAGTGTATATATACAGTGTGATTATCTGCTACTCGTATAACCTGACAACCTCTCTATTGGTCCTCTGTGTGATTACTGTACATCACTGCATCCACGCATATTTATGAAAGAGGCATCAATTTCTGTAGTGAAATTTGTCATTTTTAAAATGTTAACTTTCAAGATTCTAGCTGATTTCAATGATCAACGTCTGATAAAAAAACACACCAAAAAACAACAACTCCAATGTATGTGATTTACAGTATTAACCTTACGTAACAGTGCACAATTTGTATTAGGAATATTTTAACACTACAAAAGTTTCCTCCAGTGATAATCTTACCAGTGTCTTAACCCCTTGTGTTACCTGTTCCTGCAGCTAAGAAAGACGGTGACCGGTTTGACCGGGCCCAGTGGAAGGCCATGACACTGACCATGATGGACACCACCAAGTTTGTGGACATGATGCACAACGTTCCCTGGGAGGATGGTCTCTCGGGCGATGTTCTCAGAGGTGAGGTTTTGTCAAGGTTTATCTCCCCTTACCAGCCATCATTGACTTTGTAACTTTCAAAAAACAATGAAATATTGAGATCTCTTTATTTGCATTGATCCAGATATATATATACAAATTGAGAAAATTGTACATGCAGGAGATAAAAGCATTGATTTATGAAACTTTTTTGGATGCTTGTATACTTTATTTTTCATTTCTTACAGCTGTGGAAAGCTACCTGTCGACAGGCAAAGATGGCCAGTTAGGTGTGACAGGGGAAGGAACTCTCCTCGACCATGCTCAAGGTAGGTTACAGATATGTATATACCAAAGTTTAATTTACAGGAATGTGTAATTGTATACATACACTGTTTGAAAATCAGTTGCAAAATTCATCTTAGATGATTCCAATTATTTGTTGCCCTCCAGATTTGTCATTCCGTGCCCAGAAAAGAACTCCCTCCCCAGACGGTTCCAAGGGTATCACCATTTCTGCAGCCAAGTATGCCAGTGAAGATTGTGCCACTCTGGTCCAGTACACTATCGCCATTGTAGAGTACACTCGTCTGTGTGGTCCACTTAAAACCTCCTTGGAGCGCCTCAATGAACTACAAAGGGAGATTGAGGAAAATGAACGCATACAGCGGGAACGTGAAGAAGAGGTAAACATTGCTATTTACTTTTTGATATTGAATTTTAAAAAAAGAAAAATGAACTGAAATTATTGCCAAACTTTCTCCTGTCCACTTGTACAATAACCTGTCAAACTTAATATACAACCAAATACATTTTAACAACCTTGGTGAATCTTGTGTTGCGGGATTCATCTAAAACTCTTCTCATGTAAACCAACATTTTACTGGGAAGTTTGCCTGTCTAAGCCAACATGAATTCACTCTACCAGAATCCAGAGTGTACTAATAGTGCCAGTTATACATAATACAGAATGTAAGTAACAGATTTTAATATTTTTCCACCAGGCATCGGGCCAGGTAGCTCCCAAGGTAATCTTGACATTGCATGCTGAGTCAGATACTGCATGGTATAGCATGGTGTGACAGAGAGACAACAGCCAATGTAATTTCATGTATCATATCAGTCCCTTCAATCCGTTATAAAGAAGAGACAGTGAATGCTAATGGCTGTTGATTGTGAATGTGATGAAGGTGTATGTTAAGATTCTGGTTGAGATGATAGTGTTTTAGTATGTCATGTCATCACTATTGACTGGGTAGGAACGTGTCATAGATATATAAAGTCACAGATCACCAGGTATAGTTCATAGTCACCATTACCATCAGGTTGTACATTGTTTAGATATTGTGCTATTTGAGGATTGTCTCCAAAATGAAAAGTGGTTGATGTTGCTATAACAGCTGGTTGATGTTTTGATTGACCTGTAATACCTTTAAGTTTTCAATTTTTTTTTTTTTAACAGAATGGCATTGTTTGTGTCTCATTACTAACCAAGATCAATAATTTACAGCTATATACCTTAGACTAAGATCGATACTCTACAGCTATATACCTTAGACTAAGATCAATACTCTACAGCTATATACCTTAGACTAAGATCGATACTCTACAGCTATATACCTTAGACTAAGATCGATACTCTACAGCTATATACCTTAGACTAAGATCAATACTCTACAGCTATATACCTTAGACTAAGATCAATACTCTACAGCTATATAACTTAGACTAAGATCAATACTCTACAGCTATATACCTTAGACTAACATCAATACTCTACACCTATATACCTTAGACTAAGATCGATACTCTACAGCTATATACCTTAGACTAAGATCGATACTCTACAGCTATATACGTTATACTAAGATCAATACTCTACAGCTATATTCCTTAGACTAAGATCAATACTCTACAGCTATAAACCTTAGACTAAGATCGATACTCTACAGCTAAATACCTTAGACTAAGATCAATACTCTACAGCTAAATACCTTATACTAAGATCAATACTCTACAGCTATAAACCTTCGACTAAGATCGACACTCTACAGCTATATACCTTAGACTAAGATCAATCCTCTACAGCTATATACCTTAGACTAAGATCAACACTCTACAGCTATATACCTTAGACTAAGATCAGTACTCTACAGCTATAAACCTTCGACTAAGATCGACACTCTACAGCTATATACCTTAGACTAAGATCGATACTCTTCAGCTATATACCTTAGACTAAGATCGATACTCTTCAGCTATATACTTTAGACTAAGATCGATACTCTACAGCTATATACATTATACTAAGATCAATACTCTACAGCTATATTCCTTAGGCTAAGATCAATACTCTACAGCTATAAACCTTAGACTCAGATCAATACTCTACAGCTATATACCTTAGACTAACATCAATACTCTACAGCTATATACCTTATACTAACATCAATACTCTACAGCTATATACCTTATACTAAGATCGATACTCTACAGCTATATACCTTATACTAAGATCAATACTCTACAGCTATAAACCTTCGACTAAGATCGACACTCTACAGCTATATACCTTAGACTAAGATCAGTACTCTACAGCTATAAACCTTCGACTAAGATCGACACTCTACAGCTATATACCTTAGACTAAGATCAACACTCTATACCTTAGACTAAGATCAATACTCTACAGATATATACCTTAGACTAAGATCAATACTCTACAGATATATACCTTAGACTAAGATCAATACTCTACAGCTATACACCTTAGACTAAGATCAATACTCTACAGCTATACACCTTAGACTAAGATCAATACTCTACAGCTAAATACCTTATACTAAGATCAATACTCTACAGCTATAAACCTTAGACTAAGATCAATACTCTACAGCTAAATACCTTATACTAAGATCAATACTCTACAGCTATAAACCTTAGACTAAGATCGATACTCTACAGCTAAATACCTTAGACTAAGATCAATACTCTACAGCTATACACCTTAGACTAAGATCAATACTCTACAGCTAAATACCTTATACTAAGATCAATACTCTACAGCTATAAACCTTCGACTAAGATCGACACTCTACAGCTATATACCTTAGACTAAGATCAACACTCTACAGCTATATACCTTAGACTCAGATCAATACTCTACAGCTATAAACCTTAGACTAAGATCGATACTCTACAGCTATATACATTATACTAAGATCAATACTCTACAGCTATATTCCTTAGACTAAGATCAATACTCTACAGCTATACACCTTAGACTAAGATCAATACTCTACAGCTATAAACCTTAGACTAAGATCAATACTCTACAGCTATACACCTTAGACTAAGATCAATACTCTACAGCTAAATACCTTATACTAAGATCAATACTCTACAGCTATATACCTTAGACTAAGATCGATACTCTACAGCTATATACCTTAGACTAAGATCAATACTCTACTTAATAATCTATATGACTACACCACTGTACCACTTTTTGACCTTTCAGTGTTCTTCTGTAATGTAGTCTTTTAATTGTTTTTTTCAAAATAATAGGTTGACTTTACCAAATTGAAATACAGCCTTCCATAATACATGTACTTACCATAAACTTTATTGCCAGTTTTCTTGTTGGATATTTGATAGGGGTGATTTTACAAACCTTTATGTAAACCAGTGCTCACTAAGTCCATGATATTGTATCAATAACTATCATTATAATCTAATTGGGGTGTCATCTTTTTCCTGCCATCTTTGACAGCAACGAATGAAAAAGAAGCTTGCCAAGGTTTGTATAGCCACAGTATGGTATATGGGCACGCTCCATGTTGGAATAATTACTGTAGTTTCATTTTATTTTTGTTTTGTTTCAGCTGGTGTTTTTTTATTTCAGTATTTTTATTTTATTTTTGTGTATTTACTGTCTTGCTTGGTTTTAATTAACCCTTAAATGTTGATCTCTTTCATAAATGTGTACTGTGTGGTAGTTCTTTAATTTTTATGATAACACTTAATAAACTTTTGAAAAAGTAATTATGAGATATATTCCTAAATTTCAAAAAAGATTTTGAAGAGCTACTGAGGTTGTTAGACCTCTTTGGTTTTTATTAACATTAACTCATTCACCCCTATAATTTCATAATGAACTATTCCAACCTTAGAATTGGAAGAGTTCAAATGTGTCTTCAGGGATGAATGAGTTAATAGAAATGGACATGATAGGTATTGGTTTATCAGTAAAGCTTTACACTTCTGTTCATGTAATATGTGTCTATAACAGTTACACTGGATGGTCAGAGAATAGTGTTATACTGTATTACTGTGTATTTGTCTGTAACAGTTACACTGGACGGTCAGAGAACAGTGTTACACTGTATTACTGTGTATTTGTCTGTAACAGGTTCACTGGACAGTCGGAGAACAGCGTTGCACTGTATTTCTGTGTATTTGTCTGTAACAGTTACACTGGATGGTCAGAGAACAGTGTTACACTGTATTACTATGTATTTGTCTATTACAGTTACACTGGACGGTCAGAGAACAGCGTTACACTGTATTACTGTGTATTTGTCTATAACAGTTATACTGGATGGTCAGAGAACAGCGTTACACTGTTTTACTGTGTATTTGTCTATAACAGTTACACTGGATGGTCAGAGAACAGCGTTACACTGTATTACTATGTATTTGTCAATAGCAGTTACACTGGACGGTCAGAGAACAGCGTTACACTGTATTACTATGTATTTGTCTATAACAGTTACACTGGAAGGTCAGAGAACAGCATTACACTGTATTACTGTGTCTTTGTCTATAACAGTTACACTGGACGGTCAGAGAACAGCATTACACTGTATTGCTGTGTATTTGTCTACACCAGTTACACTGGATGGTCAGAGAACAGTGTTACACTGTATTACTGTGTATTTGTCTATAACAGTTACACTGGACGGTCAGAGAACAGCGGTACACTGTATTACTGTGTATTTGTCTATAACAGTTACACTGGACGGTCAGAGAACATCGGTACACTGTATTACTGTGTTTGTGTCTATAACAGTTACACCGGACGGTCGGAGACCAATGTTACACTATTATTATGTTTCTGTTGTTTGGATATTGATGTTTTGTACTTTAGCTGGCTACATGGGTTTAAGTTAATTAGATATTGATTATCAACTAACTGGTGATGTAAGTGTTTATTTCATGTTGGTTATCATTATGGGGTGTTTATTTAATGCTTTTGAACTGTAACAGATTATACAGACCTGGTGAAGATTAAGTTCCTGTTGGTTTATTGAAGTATAAAGTTTTAATGGGAATGGGTATTGACATTCTTGGTGTTATCATAGGATTTTTGTATTGTGAAGACATTTGTTTCTCATTCTGTTTGACAACATAAAAAATTGTCTTTTTGTATTTGTCAACACAGTAGAAAAATCTTCATATGATGCTCACCATAAAAGCTTGCTCAACCATTTGGTTGTGCTTTTTTCATAATTTAATGCATTGTTTTTAAAACTTTTACTTCATCATTAGTTTCACTCTAAAATTTGGGCACTCATTTTCCAATATTTCTCATAAAACATATTTTCTCTGTTTCTGTAAATATTGTATTGTCCGTTTAAAAAAACGACTCTTTTCCACTGCATAGAGCAAGTTTCTACTTAAGTAGTAACTTGGGTTTATTAAGTTATTGTTTACCTTCATACTTCCTTAACAGTCTTCTTTACTAAGTTATTAAGCATTTATTGATTGTCTGCGACTTCGACGGAATGTACATACATTACAAGTTTTACAAATGCTTATCCAAATAAATGTTATATAAAGATAACGATAATGAAATCTAAATATGTCAATGTATTGTTCATGAGATATGTATGTACATAATCTGCATTTGAATGTAGAAGACTGACCTTTGAACTTGGTTTACAGCCCCAGGAGGAGGAGAAGGCCCCTACTCCTGAGCCCGAAGAAGAGTATACAGAGGATGACCTGTCCCGCCTCCAGGGGGAAGTCTCCGCCCTTCAGCAGGTGTTTGACCAATCAGTCGTACAGAAACATAGTTTGGAGATGGAACTCAATTCCATGAATGAACGGCTCAAGGCTGCCACTGAAATGGTTGAGAGGTAAGAGAGATAACTACCATATTTATCCTGGGGATGAAAAATTATCTCTTGACTCGGAAGTGTGGGTTTATAACATGGACAATGAAATAGCATTTGTTGATATCTCTAATGAACTTAAACAGATATGGGTGGGCTTATCACCACGCATCAGGTTATTGCCAGATAATAGGGTTATTTGAAGCATTTTACCCAAAATGAGTCTTTTGTTCACAGCAAGGGAAGATAGCTGGATTCACTTGACATATAGTTTTCAATATATCTCAAAATAGAAAATATTTCTCCAGGATTAACTCTTTCAGGTATTAGCATTGCTGTTTGTTTATCTTTACAGCCTGAAGTCCCAGGAGCAGTCTTGGAGGAAACATGTGAAGGAGAATGACTGTAATGAATTGTTGCTAGGCAATTGCATGGCAGCAGCAGCTTTCCTAACTTACTGTGGTCCAGCTAACCTAGATACCAGGTACAGAAATCTGAATGTGTAAAAATAATTCTAGTCTTGAAGAATGCACAATTCAAAGTTGTGTCCTGTTGTAATTGTGATGGGGAAATTATCACAGCACCTTACAGTTTTTATAAATGAGCAAAAGTTGATTTCATTTGTCAATTCATCAAGTTTTGATTTTGATGCCACCATTACATTTGCTTACAGGAAAAGAATGGGAGAATTTTTCATGCAAGTCTGTGAACATCACAAGCTACCATTACCTAGAAGACGACTTTTCAGAAATCTGGAATTGGTCGAGTTCCTTAACAGACGAGTAAGCATTTCGTTCTTCTGATCCATAGAATGTAATGTTTCATAGATGACAATAATTTCAATTGATGTAAGTCAATAAATTAATATTCAAATAAAACTGTATTCACATATATTCCAAATTCTGTAATTTAGTCGGCTTAATTGCTACCTGGTGATTGTTGTTTTTTTCAATTTGAGTTCCCTTCCACTCAAACTATACCTAATGTTTTTTCACCTCTCATGCAGCTGGACATCATGAACCTGGAGATAGAAAGATTACCAATCACAAGTCTCATGCTGGAGAATGCCTGCTTCCTGATGCAGGAGGAGAGTACCACTGCCTGGCCTCTCATCTGTGACCCGACATCAAGGGTCATTGACTGGCTGCAGTTCTACAAACGGTCAAAGGGCCTCGTGTGTGTCAGATACAGTGTGAGTTTGTATAATCACATATCAGTTGGTTCAGTGATAGGTTTTAGAGTTTTAGAATAACTAAATGATGTTCCTTGACAGAAAATGTGACATGACTTTTTGTTTCTTTGTTTTGAAAATAACCCAAAACTAAAGATTGTGATAAAATATTTTTTCTGTACAGCATTTTCATGCTTACCATATCTCTGTTACACAGGAGATGCGTTCCCAGTTTGAGAACTGCCTGGCTGATGGCAGTCCTCTGCTGGTCACCGACTGTGATGTTATACAACTCTCCAAAGACAAGCGATTCAGAGACGCCATACAGAGGTGTAATCGCTTCATCAACGAGAAGAGCCGCTTCAAAATATTTGTGAGTATCATCAATAATATAAAAAAAGTGCTGATTAAATCATCCGTTCAATAAATTTTGACAAAACAACCCCTTCTCTATAAATAATTTTTCAGTATGTGTAATTTTACTTTCATGGTGATATTGACAAAATCTGAAAAAGTGGTAAAAATACAAAACAATTTTTCTATAATTTTTACCATGTCAATATCTATCCAAATATAAACAAACCTAGTGATTGACCTACCTTGTTTTCCCCCTTGTGAGTGACCTACCTTGTTTTCCCCCTAGGTTGAGGACCATGAGGTGGAGTGTGACCCCAAGTTCCGCCTGTACCTACACACTACATTGGAGCCCCACAACGTGCCATCACACCTGGCCGCCTACTGCTCCATCATGTTCTTCCAGCAGTCCCGACTCTGTATTGAGGAGGAGCTTCTCGACCGCTTCCTTGCCAAAGAGAAGAGTAGGCTGGAGGATGAACGAACTGCTCTCAGACAAGTATGTAAACTCAGATATAGAATAGATTCATAGTATAGATGAATTAAGGGTGGATTGGCCCAATCAGTTAAACCATTGTCCTTTTGTACAGAAGGCCTATTGGTCTCATTTTATGTTGACCATAGATGTGTTCAGGACATTACAAAAATTGTGCCTAAGATTTGGTTCAACATGTATAGGTCTCCGTCTGATAAGAGTACTTCAGAGCCAACAAAACTGAGCCAACTAAACTACAAACCATTTAAATAAGCTACAAACCTTAGTACAGTGTAATTGATCACTTTGGATCTGGCATGTTCAGTGATATATTAAAAGATTAGTGTTTGGAAAATATTCAAGAAACCATTGAAATAGACCATACAATTAATGGCCAATGAAGCAGACTTAGACGAACCTGTAGCTGCTGGAGAACTGTAACCTGACATCAATCTCTTGTTTGTGAAGGAGAAGAAGGAGAACATCGTATTGTTAGAGAAACTGGAGAAGCAGATGAAGGACAATCTCTCCAGCGATGTCCGTTTGATGAATGACCTCCAGGCCACCAAGAAACTCGCTGAACTAAAGAAACAGTATGACGAGACAGTGGAGAGGTAGGAATTCAATGTTTATAGAGAAATAGTACTTATGACGAGACTGTTGAGAGGTAGGAATTCAATGTTTATAGAGAAATAGTACTTATGACGAGACTGTTGAGAGGTAGGAATTCAATGTTTATAGAGAAATAGTACTTATGACGAGACTGTTGAGAGGTAGGAATTCAATGTTTATAGAGAAATAGTACTTATGACGAGACTGTTGAGAGGTAGGAATTCAATGTTTATAGAGAAATAGTACTTATGACGAGACTGTTGAGAGGTAGGAATTCAATGTTTATAGAGAAACCGTATGATGAGACAGTGGAGAGGTAGGAATTCAATGTTTATAAAGAAACAGTATGAGGAGACAGTGGAGAGGTAGGAATTCAATGTTTATAAAGAAACAGTATGAGGAGACAGTGAAGAGGTAGGAATTCAATGTTTATAGAGAAACAGGATGACGAGACAGCGGAGAGGTAGGAATTCAATGTTTATAGAGAAATAGTACTTATGACGAGACTGTTGAGAGGTAGGAATTCAATGTTTATAGAGAAACGGTACGTATGACGAGACAGTGGAGAGGTAGGAATTCAATGTTTATAGAGAAATAGTACTTATGACGAGACTGTTGAGAGGTAGGAATTCAATGTTTATAGAGAAATAGTACTTATGACGAGACTGTTGAGAGGTAGGAATTCAATGTTTATAGAGAAATAGTACTTATGACGAGACTGTTGAGAGGTAGGAATTCAATGTTTATAGAGAAACGGTACGTATGACGAGACAGTGGAGAGGTAGGAATTCAATGTTTATAGAGAAACATTATGACGAGACAGTGGAGAGGTAGGAATTCAATGTTTATAGAGAAACAGTATGACGAGACAGTGGATAGGTAGGAATTCAATGTTTATAGAATTTTATCATTTAGTACACTAATGCTGTATACTGGGAAATATTCCTACCATTTTAATTTTAAAATTAATCATTACATTGGTAAAAACATAATAAGCATAGTAATAAAATATGAAGGAGGAAATGAGCACCGGACAAAAAGGATTTAACTGGCATAAGCCGAAAGTTTCCCCGTATTTTGTACTCATATCATTTCATTACATCACAGATATAGGACCAATGATTCATGCAATGATTCATTATCAAAAAATCTGTTACAATGTGTTTACAGCCATAGCAGAGTGGAGTCTGCCGAAAACTCTATTCTAAAGAACCGTGAGTTACACCGCCCCATCGCCCAGCGAGCAGCTGTTTGCTTTGATGTGTGTCAGTATATGCGGGAGGTGAACAGATTGTACCAGATGTCTTACACACAGTTTCTGTCATTGTACGATACTGCCATCAGCCACTCAGATAGGTCAGTCAAAGCACACAGTTTCTGTCATTGTACGATACTGCCATCAGCCACTCAGACAGGGCAGTCAAAGCACACAGTTTCTGTCACTGTACGATACTGCCATCAGCCACTCAGATAGGTGAGTCAAAGCACACAGTTTCTGTCATTGTACGATCCTGCCATCAGCCACTCAGACAGGTGAGTCAAAGCACACAGTTTCTGTCATTGTACGATACTGCCATCAGTCACTCAGACAGGTCATTCAAAGCACACAGTTTCTGTCACTGTACGATACTGCCATCAGTCACTCAGACAGGTCAGTGAAAGCACACAGTTTCTGTCACTGTACGATACTGCCATCAGTCACTCAGACAGGTCATTCAAAGCACACAGTTTCTGTCACTGTACGATACTGCCATCAGCCACTCAGATCATGAACATCTTTAAAATTCCAACAAAATGAATTGATAACAAACAGTGTTATAATGCAGTTGTTTGGTATGTCTACAGAACGGTGCCCAAGGTTGTGATAGAGAAAGTCACCAGCAGTGCCTATACTACCACAGCCCGCGGACTACTGGAGCGGGACAGGAGCATCTTTGCTCTACTACTTGCCATAGAGGTAAGGCTACATTGTGGCGTTTCAAGGTTAATCACACTTAACATAAAATTAATTTAACACTTGTCAGTCTTATAACACCCATTAGTATAGAAAACCTTGAACCTTATTCATCAGTGAAACAGAAACTGATTTTCATAATTATTCATAACGTAGTATAATTTCCATAGGGGACTAAGATGGATAGCAATATTAATTGTTGAATTCATTACCCAGGTTGAAGATTCGTTAAAGAAAATTGGCCGTGGCGAGCGTGAGTTCCTCATCTCTCCTAACTACAGTATGGTGGTGATGACAACCTTAGGGTTGGGTCAGTCACCAGATAGCAAGATTGTACAGGCCAAAAAGCCTTTTGATTGGATGACAGAGGAACAGTTCCACAACCTGCAGATCCTAGCCATGTACTTTGAGTGGTTCCAGGAAATGTTTGATCGCATGCCGAAGGACGGCAGAGAGACCCAGTGGCGTACTCTGTGTGAGAGTGACCTCCCAGAAAATGTAGCCCTGCCAGACAAGATGGATGACCATTACGAACAGATGCAGCGTCTATGTGTGATTCGGGCAGTGAGGAGTGACCGTCTCATGCAGGCCTCTACAAATTTTATCACCAATGTGCTTGGGAAGAGGTCAGTTAATGTACTCGAATGTTAACCTACTAACAGGTATCTTTTTGTAAAGGAATTTATTTGACATTGAAGCTGTTAGAAATGCCAGCTTCAATAAAGGATGTACTTCAAAGAAAAGTTTAAAAGATTATATGATTTTCAAAAAGCAGACAGGTTATACTGAAGGTAATTTGTTACATACTTTAACATACCCTTATTAAAAAGGAATTACATGTATGATTGTTACACAAAATATATATTTTTGGAAAGTTTATTGTAATATGCTTGACACTTACCTTCAGTTACACACACCTCCCTAAAGACTGTGAGTCCTGGTAAGCCCGTGTGGAGATGTGTCTCGCAGACTGTCTAGTGTTTCATGTGGTAGAAACAAGCTATAACAACAATCATCTTGAAACATTTAAACAATAGCCAAATTGCATTGTAATATACTGGCTATAAACATACTTCTTGCTAAATTGTATTTTGACTTTGATGTCAGCAATCTTTCAAAGTTTCAAGATTTTTGTACAAAAAGCTAGATTCCATTGTTCATAGTTTGTGTAACATTGTAACTCTGTCTGCAAATTGTTAAACTGTTTTATTGGATTTCAGCAGACTAACATTGTCAGTAAATATAACAGTATTCATCGTGAGTGGACTAGTGACCTTACTATTGTAGAGATACGGTTCTAATCATAGAAGTCCATAACACAGTATCTACTAATAATGCAGCAAAGAGATTAATTTTAACAGATAAATGTACATTTACATTATTTTGTCCAGGTTTTAATCTGCTAGTATAAATTGCTTCTACAGATATGATACATGTATCAGAAATTGATACCATAACAAGCATTTTGTGTGACAGTGAGGATTACAAGCTAACTATGCGAGAGCCAGGGTTTGGTTTCGTGTTGGTTTATAGGATGTTCTGCTGTGTGGATTACTTGTGTGTCATTCAATAGATTTGTTGTTTATTTTTCAGTGACTATTGTATAGCTGTTATTTTTAGTAGTGTTTAGTAGCTGTTAGAGCCACACATGACCACCTACATTTATATGACTATTTAACTGTTAAATCTACACCACCTACATTTATATGACTATTTAACTGTTAAATCTACACCACCTACATGTATTTGACTATTTAACTGTTAAATCTACACCACCTACATGTTTATGACTATTTAACTGTTAAATCTACACCATCTATATGTATATGACTATTTAACTGTTAAATCTACCCCACCTACATTTATATGACTATTTAACTGTTAAAACTACACCACCTACATGTATTTGACTATTTAACTGTTAAATCCACACCACCTACATGTATATGGCTATTTAACTGTTAAATCTACACCACCTACATGTTTATGACTATTTAACTGTTAAATCTACACCATCTATATGTATATGACTATTTAACTGTTAAATCCTCACCACCTACATGTATATGACTATTTAACTGTTAAATCCACACCACCTACATGACACTTTATGACTTTTTAACTGTTAAATCTACACAAGAATGATTAACTTTGAATCTGATTTAAATAACTGTAATTTGAAGTATGTATGTTTCCTATTCCTTTACTGCCAAACCCCTCTATTTTTCCCACTATGATGGACTAGATGTTGATCTATTTCCCTACCCACCCTCTGTGATGGACTAGATATTGATCTATGTCCCTACACACCATCTGTGATGGACTAGATATTGATCTATTTCCCTACATACCCTCTGTGATGAACTAGATATTGACCTTTGTCCCTACATACCCTCTGTGATGGACTAGATATTGATATATGTCCCTACATACCCTCCGTGATTAACTAGATATTGATCTTAGTCCCTACATACCCTCTGTGATGGACTAGATATTGACCTTTGTCCCTACACACCCTCTGTGATGAACTAGATATTGATCTATGTCCCTACATACCATCTGTGATGGACTAGATATTGATCTTTGTCCGTACATGCCCTCTGTGATGAACTAGATATTGATCTTTGACCCTACACACCCACTGTGATGGACTAGATATTGATCTATGTCCCTACATACACTCTGTGATGGACTAGATATTGATCTTTGTCCGTACATGCCCTCTGTGATGAACTAGATATTGATCTTTGTCCGTACAGACCACCGGTGAGGGACTAGATATTGATCTTTGTCCCTACATACCGTCTGTGATGGACTAGATATTGATCTTTGTCCCTACATACCCTCTGTGATGAACTAGATATTGATCTTTGTCCCTACACACCCACTGTGATGGACTAGATATTGATCTATGTCCCTACACACCATCTGTGATGGACTAGATATTGATCTATGTCCCTACATACCTTCTGTGATGGACTAGATATTGATCTTTGTCCCTACATACCCTCTGTGTTGAACTAGATATTGATCTTTGTCCCTACATATCCTCTGTGATGAACTAGATATTGATCTTTGACCTACACACCCTCTGTGATGGACTAGATATTGATCTTTCTCCCTACATACCCTCTCTGATGAACTAGATATGGATCTTTGTCCCTACCCACCCTCTGTGATGGGCTAGATATTGATCTATTTCCCTACATACCCTCTCTGATGAACTAGATATGGATCTTTGTCCCTACGCACCCTCTGTGATGGGCTAGATATTGATCTATGTACCTACATACCCTCTGAGATGGACTAGATATTGATATATGTCCCTACATACCTTCTTTGATGGACTAGATATTGACTTTTGTCCCTACATACCCTATGTGATGAACTAGATATTAATCTTTGTCCCTACACCCCCTCTGTGAGGAACTAGATATTGACCTTTGTCCCTACATATCCTCTGTGATGAACTAGGTATTGATCTTTGTCCATACATATCCTCTGTGATGAACTAGAAATTGATCTTTGTCCCCACATACCCTCTGTGCTGAAATAGATTTTCATCTATATCCCTACACACCCTCTGTGAGCAACTAGATATTGATCCTTGTCCCTACATATCCTCTGTGATGAACTAGAAATTGATCTTTGTCCCTACACACCATCTGTGATGGACTAGACATTGATATATGTCCCTACATACCATCTGTGCTGAACTAGATTTTGATCTATATCCCTACACACCCTCTGTGAGGAACTAGATATTGACCTTTGTCCCTACATATCCTCTGTGATGAACTAGGTATTGATCTTTGTCCCCACATACCCTCTGTGAGGAATTAGATATTGATCTTTGGCCTACACACCCTCCGGGATGGACTAGATATTAATCTTTGTCCCTACATCCCCTCTGTGATTAACTAGATATTGATCTTAGTCCCCACATACCCTCTGTGCTGAAATAGATTTTCATCTATGTCCCTACATTCCCTCTGTGATGGACTGGATATTGATCTTTGTCGTTACACACCCTCTGTGAGGAATTAGATATTGATCTTTCTCCCTACATACCCTCTGAGATGGACTAGATATTGACTTTTGTCCCTACATACCCTATGTGATGAACTAGATATTAATCTTTGTCCCTACATTACTAGCTACTATGGAGACATTGGCATAGCCCTGACCAGCATGCTGCGACAGAGCACGTACCCTCTGTGATGGACGAGATATTGATATATGTCCCTACATACCTTCTGTGATGGACTAGATATTAATCTTTGTCCCTACACGCCCTCTGTGAGGAACTAGATATTGATCTTTCTCCCTACATACCCTCTCTGATGAACTAGATATTAATCTTTGTCCCTACATACCCTATGTGATGAACTAGATTTTCATCTATATCCCTACACACCCTCTGTGGGGAACTAGATATTGATATTTGTCCCTACATACCCTATGTGATGAACTAGATATTAATCTTTGTCCCTACATCCCCTCTGTGATTAACTAGATATTGATCTATTTCCCTACATACCCTCTGTGATCGACTAGATATTGATCTATGTACCTACATACCCTCTGTGGTGAACTAGATATTGATCCTTGTCCCTACATATCCTCTGTGATGAACTAGCTATTGATCTTTGTCCCTGCATACCCTCTGTGATCGACTAGATATTGATCTATTTCCCTACATACCCTCTGTGCTGAAATAGATTTTCATCTATATCCCTACACACCCTCTGTGGGGAACTAGATATTGACCTTTGTCCCTACATACCCTCTGTGATGAACTAGATATTGATCTTTGTCCCTACATTACTAGGTACTATGGAGACATTGGCATAGACCTGACCAGCATGCTGCGACAGAGCACGCCTACCATCCCTCTGATCCTGCTGTACTCGGTGGAGGTGGAACATGTCACCAAACTGTTCCATGACTTCTCCAACAGGAAGCAAGCCAAGACCCTGTCCCTCACCATCAACGATGACACGTCTGCCATAGAGAGGACTGCCAAGCGTCTCATCCATAAGGGCATGCAGGAGGTATGTTGTGTGCGAGATATTGTTCACTATCCAATGCCAGCTGTCCCTTCTGACAGTTCTGGTTAAAGTAGATTTAAGATGATTTTATTATTCTTTATTTAGTATCATGATATTTAATTTAATCTACTGTTTGAAAAATAAATGACCTTTTAGAATTTGAAACTTTTCTATAATGTAACTTGATGTCCGTTTTAGATAATTCTAATTTCTTGTGAAATATCTTTCTGTTGCTTTGTCACCATCTCTATATGAAAACTCTACCTGTTTTTACCTACCAGGGAATGTGGGTACTTCTTCATAATGCTCATAACTCCCCACATCTGATGAACAACCTGGAGGCAATCTTGTTGGAGGAGACCAACCCCGATTCAACCTTCCGTCTCTGGATCACATCCAAGGTGGACACTACTGCCTTACCTCTCCGACTGCTGCAGAACTCCATCAAGGCCGTCATAGACACACCCAAGGTCAGTATTACAAGGTCAAACATACACCTAAGGTTGGTACGCACACTCAAGGTCATACATACACCTAAGGTTGGTACACACACTCAAGGTCAGTATTACAAGGTCAAACATACACCAAAGGTTGGTACACACATTCAACATCAGTATAACAAGGTCAAACATACATGGAAGGTTGGTACACACACTCAAGGTCAGTATTACAAGGTCATTCATACACCTAAGGTTGGTACACACACTCAAGGTCAGTATTACAAGGTCAAACATACACCAAAGGTTGGTACACACACTCAAGGTCAGGTATTGCAAAGTCATAGCTATACTCAAGGTCAGCACACCAAGTTCATATACCTGTCTTGAATGAAGTAAGGTTAAAAATACACCCAAGGTCAGTATTACAAGGTCATATGTACACACACCCGAGGTCAGTTTTACAAGGTCATAAATATAATCAGGGTAATATATCACCTGAAGGTCACTTGTATAGCAAGGTCATGAAAAATGCAAACTCATAGGGAAAACAGGGTCATTGGTCAGACTACCCATGGTCAGCTCATTGAGAGTTTAGCCAGTGAAGATTACAGCAACCTGAATATATTTGCTCTTCAGTGGATACACAGAAATCTAAGATTATGGTAGAATAATTCCATTTTGTAGGTGATGAAAGACAGCCTGATTCGGTCGTTCTCATCGTTTGAGTCAGATATCCTGAAGCAGTCGTCGCGGCCAGAGTGGCCACTCATGTTACACAACCTGTCTTACCTCCACGCAGCTCTACAGCTAAGGGCACGGTACGGACAGGGTGGCTGGAACAACGGCCAAGACTTCCTCAACATAGGCATCAACGAAATACAGGTAAAGCTCAGAATATAGACCTCAACACAATAAACAATAGGCATCAACAAAATACAGGTAAAGCTCAAAATTTAGACCTCAACACAATAAACAAAAGGTGTCAATGAAAATGAGTAACAATGAATCAACCAAATACAGAATGTAAATAAATGCTTTTATCAAAAGGAATATATTTCAAGAAGTAATAGCCAGTGCCATACTAAAATACAAGTTTATGAAAATACAAGTTTATGAATAAGTAAAATGAGCTCCATGTTTTCATATAGTGCAGAGGAAGAATTGTTAAAGAATGGTAGGAAATCTCAACTACCTATATAACATAACACACATTTACTAACAAATGATATTGACTATATTTAAAAAAAATGTTCAGATGTCATCGACATGATAATGCCTTGTACATTACTTTAGTATGTCCAGTGAGTAAAGCATTGTCTAAAATATCTCTCTCGTCGGTGTCAGAATGATTTGTTAGTTGAATGTTTTGAATTGGACCACCTTGTGATAGTATGTATAACCAGGTACTAACATTGTACTGTATGTTGCCAGGAAGCCCTCAGCTTCATGATCACAGAGTTCAAGGAACCTCTGACATGTGTGGCACCTGACGGATCTCAGACACCTCGGTCTACTTCCTGGACAGGAATACGATACATGTTCTCCGAGGTAAGTCATCTTGCTTATGTCCAGTGGGTAAAACAGAGCTTTACACTTTCATGAAGGATCCCAGACCCTCTCAATCACAAACTCAAGTATTCATAAGTAGAACCGACAGACATAGATTTCTAAATAGAGTACATGTGAAATTGATTTACAGTAGACTGACATAACAAGGTTAGACTGAGGTAGCCGAGTCTGTATTTACCGCTGTGTTTGTTACAGATTATCTACGGGAGCTACATCACCGATGACTACGACAGAAACAGTATGAGTTCTGTGGTAGACTACTGGATCTCGCCCAATGCCATAAAGAAAGATTTTGATGTGGCAAAGTGTAAGTCTCTCATCACTGAGGATTATAAACAATGTTTGAATGATGAAATTTTGGTTTTATCAGAATCAACTTTTTGTCCCAGTTTATGAATTTACAGTATACTTGTTTAAAATAAAACAGTCCTCGGACCTTAAAGTTAACATATGAAATATATTTCGAGCTTGTGTGAAAACTGACCTTTAGTATGATACTGTTAGATTCTGTATGTATGGTATGCCGTTGTCTTCACAGTGAAGTACCGCCATCCTCCTGGCTTCTTCAACACAAACCCACGCCTCAACAACCTGATCCAGGCACTGGATGGCATCAACAACCACTTCCTCGATGTACCAGAGGGCTGCCACCTACACCATAGCAACATAGAGGTCAGTCTCTGGTCATGGTCACAAGGCTAGGTCACATGCATCACAAACCTATCTACAGTGACCACTAATGAATCATGGTTGTGTGAAATTTTGGGCTATGACCTATATACTTTATGAGAGGGAATATAATGGTTCAGTATTAGAGATGTGGTCACTGTAAGATTTAACACCAGCTTGTATACTCGGTGGTTATTGTATAATTGTACTCACAATATCACATCAACACAGTCATATATACTATGTATCAGATCGACACTGTTGTTGTGTTTGGCACCGTATGGATTACTTTGAATGTGTATGATCACCTCTGATCCACACAGACATTTACTCTCATGTTTCATTTTGCTTGCTTTGTATTTTATATATCAGTAAAGGAAACTTAGTTGTTATTCACGAAAGAATATCTCTTCACTTTGTGGATTTCAGAATCAGCACCAAATTCAAATGTTGCAACGAGATATATTGGCTCCTGACAACAACATGGTCATTGTTTCTTGTTAATTATGTTCCAGTGTTCACCGTTACTTTTTTTGTTGTTATCGCCACCAAACATACCTAGACACATCATATACACCAGCCCATCACACCTAGACAGTCCTATACACCACCCCATTACACCTAGACACAGCCCTATACACCACCCCATCACCCCTAGACAGTCATATACACCACCTCATCACACCTAGACAGTCATATACACCACCCCATCACACCTAGACACAGCCCTATACACCACCCCATCACCCCTAGACAGTCCTATACACCAGCCCATCACACCTAGATAGCCCTATACACCAGCCCATCACATCTAGATAGCCCTATACACCACCCCATTACACCTAGCTAGCCCTATACACCACCCCATTACACCTAGACACAGTCCTATACACCACCCCATCACACCTAAACAGCCCTATACACCACCCCATTACACCTAGACACAGTCCTATACAACAACCCATTACACCTAGATAGCCCTATACAACACCCAATCACACCTATACAGTCCTATACACCACCCCATTACACCTAGACACAGCCCTATACACCACCCCATCACCCCTGGAGTCCTATACACCACCCCATCACACCTAGACAGTCCTATACGCCACCCCATCACACCTAGACAGTCCTATACACCCCCCCATTACACCTAGACACAGTCCTATACACCACCCCATCACACCTAAACAGCCCTATACACCACCCCATTACACCTAGACAGTTCTATACACCACCCCATTACACCTAGACAGTCCTATACACCCCCCCATCCCACCTAGACACAGCCCTATACACCACCCCATCACCCCTGGAGTCCTATACACCACCCCATCACACCTAGACAGCCCTATACACCACCCCATTACACCTAGAGAGTCCTATACACCACCCCATCACACCTAGACAGCCCTATACACCCCCCCATTACACCTAGACAGTCCTATACACCACCCCATTACACCTAGACACAGCCCTATACACCACCCCATCACACCTAGACAGTCATATACACCCCCTCATCACACCTAGACAGTCCTATACACCACCCCATCACCCCTAGACACAGCCCTATACACCACCCCATCACACCTGGAGTACTATACACCACCCCATCACACCTAGACAGTCCTATACGCCACCCCATCACACCTAGACAGTCCTATACACCCCCCCATCACACCTAGACACAGCCCTATACACCACCCCATCACACCTGGAGTCCTATACACCACCCCATCACACCTAGACAGTCCTATACGCCACCCCATCACACCTAGACAGTCCTATACACCACCCCATTACACCTAGACACAGCCCTATACACCACCCCATCACACCTAGACAGTCATATACACCACCTCATCACACCTAGACAGTCCTATACACCACCCCATCACACCTAGACACAGCCCTATACCCCACCCCATCACCCCTGGAGTCCTATACACCACCCCATCACACCTAGACAGTCCTATACAACACCCCATCATACCTAGATAGCCCTATACAGTACCCCATCACACCTAAGACAGTCCTATACACCACACCATCACACCTAGACAGTCGTATGCTAATACAACTGGGACAATTACATAGTGAGAATTGTCAATTGTCATAGTTAATATTTTTTGGGACATAGGGAGAGCTTCAGAAAAAGAGACGGGTTGGGGATAAGGGAGAGCTTCAGAAAAAGAGACGGGTTGGGGATAAGGGAGAGGTTCAGAAAAAGAGACAGGTTGGGGATGGGGGAGAGCAGTAGAATGAACGTTTGCATGAATCTACTAGTGCATGTTTTATCTCATTTTCCTGTCGGCTGTTTTACAAGTGATCACTCACAGCATGATACTTCACCAACTCTACCATTATCTACAAAGGCACCTTGTTTGTCATTTTCTCCAGATTAATTCTGTTTGGAAAATGATTTCCTTGAAAAACTGGTAAAATTAACAAGGTTGCACAGTAAGGTTGTTGTATAGTTGTACACCTGTGGAAAGTGTTAAAATTACTTTCATTCAAAAGGTTCAAGGGAAACAACTCAGACATAACAGCTTTGTTTACTGGGTAACTTCGGTTCTTATATTCAAAACCATTTTAGACCTATCAAGAATCTTTCCCTAAATTGCTACAACTATATATGACAACAGGCTTATTATTGTTTTCACATTTTTGTATCCACTTTATGCACGATTTGTTGTATATTCACCGTGACTGACCCTGTGTTTATTTTGTTTCTGCATGCTTAACCAGGATGATCAGAATCTGGTAGGAACCTCTGTGTAATGTTTGACTAATGGCTGACCAGTGTGTTAACTTGTGTAGAGCTGTACTAGAGCTGATTATAGCATTATAAATGTTCTGTACTGTGTGAAGTTATAACCAACTTCTCCATTCTGGACGGTTAATGTCTATAACAGTAGATTTTTATGTAATGTAGATAAACAACCCTTGTCCTAAGTAGTCTGTGAGATATACAGGACACTCAGTAGTGTTCAAAGCCTTGCATGCTTGGATATCAAGATTTTTTTTGGTCAATGTTGGGAGTTATGACTGTTCTTTTAAAATATATATATTCTAAACATAGAAGTAATTTCAAATGCATTCATTTCGATGAGTGTAAAATATGTATAAGAGTTGTTAAAAGAAACAAATAATTTCTACTTGGTAATTATAGCAATTCATTCCTGTATCACTCCCCTCAAAAATAAGGGTTAATCAATGAAATGTTGGGCATGGCATTGAAACCCTTACCTTATCTAAAACAAATTGTGTAAATTTCTCCCGAGACCTGCATGTTAATTAACATGGTTCTGTGTTATGTCTGCATTTTTTTAACATAACTACATAACACATAATAAAAGGTAAGCCACTCCTTAATTGGTACAATACATGTACAAAAGATTTTANATGCTGTTTGTGTAGTTCTTTTCTAACCCTGTTATCTATTTTGACATTAACACTATAATATTTAATGTAGGTAACAGGCATATAGATAAACTGAATTAAACCTAGAATGGTGTTTTAACAGCTGTGTTCTGCTCTAAAGGAACCATCTACTGACACAACGCTGACATTTGTGTTACTGTTTATCCCCGACGTCTGCTCAAGTTGGATAAGTTGGTGAACATGTTATCAAATACAATATTTTTTGGCTCAAACACAACTTATGATATGATTTGATGTCCTATTAATGGTGATTTACAATTCATTGTATAATTATGTATTCATGACACTTAATTAGAATTATACAAGCCACCAAACGAACATTTGCTTTTTTCTTCATAATTTTTATTGCCATTACTTCTATATATTTGCATTTAGATAATTTTGTACATATCTGATAGATAAGAGATTATAACAGATATTACTTTATTACAGTATACATGTGTAACAATGATATGTCATCCCGTTACAGACACTACTGGGTGATGAGCAGTATGTTTTTACCCGTCTAAACAAAGTGTTTGATGCCATGCCCTCCACAGAAACACTGTCACACAAACTTTTCCCCAAACCACCAACTCCATTCCATGGTAAGTAAACTTCAAATATCATGCCTTCGCCATAACTTTGTCCGGTTTTAAATTCTAAATCTACCCTTCTATGTTTGAGACTTAATATATATGTTTAGACATCCCCATACAATTGAAGTTTTCTAAATCTTCATCCCCATGTTTGGAATGCATAGGTGTCAATCACCCCTGATTGCGACTAGTTGACCTTGGGCTGTTCGTAATCATCGTTAAACAAATTAAGAATTAAATTAACCCCTGATTGTGTGGGGTAGTGACCAGAAATCAGTAAAAAATTAGCCAAAACCTTGATTTGGTACATCCCCCGACATTGGGGTCAGTTTAACCCCGGATTTTGGAAGCTACCCCTCATGAAACCCTACAAAGATTTCTGAATCACGGGGGGGGGGGGACATCTTCCATTTACTGGAACTCTTCATCAAATCATCAATTAACCTCATATTGATCAGTATTTGTTTAAAAAAACAATGAGAATTTGAGAAAGAAGTTAAGCAGTTAAATGTGCTTCATCTGTATATAAATGAGAACAACTCTCCCCGTTACATTGAATGATACTGTCTCATCCGTCCTGTTTCTCTAGGTCCAGCCAAGGCAGAGATCAGTAAGTACAGTAACAACCCGGCCGTGTTTACCCAGGGCACCTTCGCCACTGCCACGTACTCTGTCCTCAAGCGTACCAAGGAGATTGAGCTGTGGGAGGTCTGTCACACTCTCCTCACCAAGATGCCCAAATCCTACAACAGGGTAGGTCTTAAATTTAAAGTTGCATTTACATAATTTTGATTAAAATTCAATTCTGGATTACTATGTGTTTTGAAGGTTAAGAATTTTGTTGATATCCAATTTTTTAAGATGAACAAACATAAATTTTACAGATTTAAGCAATTTTCACCAGATATAGGTATGCGAAAATGGTTTAATTTGTATCTACTACTTGTACAGTAACTTGGATTATCTGAAAAATGCTCACATATTGTAATATGTATTGAAAATAATAATGCTTATTTTTTAATGTCGTATATGAAATTGACTTGTAACTACACAAAGTAGATTTTATTGTTGAATATCCTTGGCTACTTTGAAGTAATTGATTTATAATGTTTTATCTTTATAGGATTTCCTATTGGACCGTGTGAGGAAGATGGCTGACTTTCCATCCTTCAACACCTTCATCATGAAGGAATTTGATCAGATGATCCTCCTCATTACTGAGATCAGGACAACACTACAGGTACTTACATGTAGCTCCACCCTGCTCCACTTAATGGATCTGAAATCACTCCTCTCAAATAGGTGTATCTGAAATCACCCCTCTCAAATAGGTGTATCTGAAATCACCCATCTCAAATAGGTGTATCTGAAATCACCCACTTGAAACTGATGTATCTGTATTCAAAGTTGATTATAAAATTTGGACATGGAAGCCATTGAAAAGAGATACAGTTTTACCAGGTATAGTTCTTGGTCAAAATTAATTACAAAACATGTCATTCTCAGAAAATATATCAAAATCAAGTGGTATGCAAGATGATTTTCTGTACTCTTATTGAATCAAAGTTAAAAGAATGTTTTGAAGATTTATGACGTTCTCTTGACCTATTCATGTAGCAATTGCTGTTCGTTTACTTTCTACCAGACCATTAAGAATGCATGCGAGACAAACGTTCTGGGGGACATGATGTCTGACCACATCCTGTCTGCGGCTGATGATCTGTTCTATGGCCGTACGCCTCAGACCTGGTGCCGTATGGCCGGCAGCTCAGCTCCTCCCATGAATTTCGCGGTTGGCAACTGGTTTAATGATCTTGGCAACAGATGTCTACATTTTGAAAGAATACTCAGTCAGGTAAGTTACAACATAACACATAAATTTCTCCATTTAAACCCTTTACAGTGTAAGATGAATAATTCATGAAGTTGCAGTTTGAAACTTTCTTGGACCATAACCAAAACTAAATAGCATTGTACATTAACTCACCTGCGGAGGAGTATGTGTAGGTGTCAGTTTTAGACTTGATTACCTGGTATATGTAGGTGTTGGTTTAAGACTTTTATGACCTGTATTTCCTGTTCCAGGGACGAGACAAGATGCCCTGCTACTGGTTGGGAGCCTTTTTCAACCCACGTGGACTCCTTGCCCTACTTAAACAGGACTACATCCGGCACTACTGCGGGGACCGGTCCGGAAACTTTGAACAGTTTGTGTTCCAGACAGAGGTCACCACTAGGGATAAGGAACATGTATGTATAACCCTTGTTGAAGATACTATATACCTTCAATTAAATCTATTTATAGAAAAAGACTACCTTATCAAATCTTAATAAGGGGTCATTGGTCCTTCAAAATCATCTAGGTTGTCCATAGAAACCAACTTTGAGATAAACCTGTCTATAGGAACTATCTTCATAATCTTAAATCATGAGCCCCCGAATTTACTTGGAACGTAATGTTTACAATATGAGTCTTTGGAATAATAAACCTTTTAATAGTAATATTGACCACTATAGAAATAATTGAACTTTTTCATTAGGATCACCCTTCCAATTTGGAAAACTTTATACCGACTACCAATCATATAACATATTTTACCTTTGTTCTTAACAGTTGCGAGACCCTCCTCCAGAAGGGATGTTTGTGTACGGCATCCACATGTGGGGCTGTGCTTGGGAGAAGACCACAATGGAGCTCCAGGACACGCCTCCAAGGAGTGGCTTCTCCAGTTTGCCTGTCGTCCATGTCAACTGTTACCCCATCAATGAGAAGCCCCTCCTCCAGGACCCTGTCAAGGCTGCTGAGGTGTACCAGTGTCCAGTCTATGCCTCACGTCTCAGCAAGCGTGAACCCATCATGGAGATGGACTTTAAACGGGAGGGTTACCCTGCTACACGCTGGGCTCTAAGGGGACTGTCCTGTACCATCAGGAATTACTGAAGGAGCCTAGATGTGTTTTCATGTCACAGTATTTAGGATTCAAACGTTGGTTGTTTCCCCAATATTAAGTTTCTACCAGAGCATGCTGGCCCCTCCATTGGGAGTTCAAGGTTTCAAAATGAAAACAATCGGTACATGTATAAGGAAACTTAAATGCCGTTGTAATATATTCAGGGCATTGTAAATCTTAAGTGTTAAAATTGTGATCCATCGTCTCAAGGACCATTTTACTGAATTGGAAATGATGAACAATCCTTGTTTAAGAATATATTTTCACTACTTGACCACTTAAGGTAGTGTTATGTTGCAGAATACATAAATCTAGTTAATCTGCTTTATACATATGACCAAAACTATGTCGTTTGTGTTAGTTTTTGTATATCCAAAGTTCACCTTATTTCTTTAGCCAAAGTTCAGTTTGTTGGTAAGGAAGATTTGTGGTAGGAACCCGTTGTAGAAAATGTTGTCAAAACAGTTAGATCCTTGTCTTCACCCCAGTTTTTATATATATATATATTAGTTTTGCAGAGTTGCCAAATAAATTGGATCAGAGCTTGTATAACCCACGGTACATGGAGGTGCCTTACAGCAGAAAGTGTCAAATCTTCATCTTGTGCATACAATGTGCAAGTCTGTGATATGTGTACATATAATTAAATATAGAAGGTCCAGATTTTTGTATAGAAACTTAAGAAGTGAGAGTGCTCTCATTACATTCATTTGTTCAAATTATCGTGTTTCCACAAATATTTATTAGCACTTTCGTTGTGTGTTTATTGAAAACAATCAGTATTCTGTTACAGCAATACCCATGTATATAAGAGTGACCTATATGACATTCCATCCTTCACTATGGTATTAATATCATTCCCTTCCATACTCCATATTTATTCATTCCCTTTGTGTAGAATTATGTATAAATATTGATTTGAATGTCAAAGGTTGTATTTATATATTTATGTTTCAATACATTCCAGTGGATTAATTTTATCAAAAGAGAAGATGGAATGCTGCGGTACCTTGAAAATTGTTTCCAATGTCTATTATGTATTATGCAAACTTTCAACTTCTGAAGCGTAATGAATGTACTGTTTATATAGGGTTGATGTTGTTTTGTATTAGAAACGGTATTGTTATATATATAATAATTATGATGGCATACTGCTGATAAACATTGCCCTAGACATGAATCTTGGTCTGTCCTGTATATGCGTTGTCACTTGACATAATTTTTAGATTACGTTTTATCACTGTTGAAATAAGATGTATGAAGACATTACAATTTGTCCTATATATTTACTGCTGAGGACTGTATTTTTGTACAGTTTTAATGTTTGTCCGTCCTAATTGTTTAAAATGTTTTTCTATTATTGGAGACTTTTGAAGTATTTTATATATTTCAACCAAACAATAAACTTGTTGTATTGTTGATAAAATATACTCTTTTTTTGTTCAACTCTTTCAGTTTTTAGTTATCAAATTATTTATTCGTAGTGACCACCAAAGCCAAGAGACCATTATGTGGTTGGGGATTTGACGGCTCACAGACAATATATACAATTAAACAAAGCCAGGGTACCCCCATTCAGTATGTTTGCTGTAAAAAACATCTTCATCATAATGTACATGTTTTGTATCATTATCTCAAGTTCAAAAACAAGTTTGTGCTAATAGGCACACGTTCATTTTTATACAATCTTACTGAAAATCTGGCATTTAACTCGAGTATGAGGATCTGCTTTTGAGAATCCTTTCAATTTTTTTCCCCTCATTTTACTGAAAGAAAATTGGTTTTCCCTTTGACCAATGATTCAAATAAAGGCCGTTTGTAGTTGAAAATCGAATATACCAATTGCTTAGAAAATCAAAAAGTCAAATAAACATGTGTAGAATTGTTCCATTTATTTAACAGGACAAATTATCAAAAACTCTGATACATATTAAAGAAACGAGGTAGAAAAAGTAACAATTATCTAAAAACAAAAACAAAATACAGATAACTCAAAAATCCATGAACAAAAAAATATTCAAAGAATGAAGTATACAGCTTAAAAATAGGCATATAGAGTAATGTGTATATTATAATATTGCAATAGCATATTTCATCTTGATTTCATCCATATAACACTCAAATATGTTCACTTAGCGTAGATCTTTTTTGAACTTAAATAATGATGGTTCCAAAATTGGAATATGTAATGTTTAATCAAACTCCAAAAGAAGTTAACCTACACCATCCATCCATAGTATGTCATCCTGCCTAAAAGCTAACTGTATAACGATGATATGGGGAGTACACGTATACAATGTATAGAGAAATCACCAGGATAAAATCAGTACCCGAGTCAGCATGAAACAACAAGAACAGAAACCGAGTAGACACCAAAACGACAAAAGTGACATCACCAAACTCCTAAGAAAGGGTCAATGAACATGTCTTAAATCAAAGCAACTAACATTGGCAAGTACCTGACAAACTTTAGGATACCTGAACTTCCGAAAATCACACTATATATATCTTAAATTCATTTTTGTCCAAAACAACTGATCATTGACACAGATTGCAGTAAAAAAAATCCCCAAGTCAATATAACATTATGGTCTGCAACAACACAGAATCAAGATCACATCAGAGTTCAACAGAACTGTATCAATTGCAAGGTCACAATGGAGTATAACAGGACTCGGACTGACAACAGAACTGATCAAGGCTGAAATGGACTATATCAGGACTCGGATCCATGATCGATATTGCACTGCGAGGCAAAACTGGACTGAATCAATGTCACACCTAACTAACACAATACCAAAAACACAATCTTATTTTAAGAAAACACACATGCTACTAGTCTTTTCTTCAGCCCAGTGTCCAAAGCTTTTCTGTGGTATAAACTGATTTCAAGTCCGTAACTCACTCGTTTAAGGACACTAAGATATCACAGAAATATAATTTCAAGCAAGCCGATATTCATTTTAACAGCACAATTAAGGTAAAGTGTTATTCTTAGACAAATTAATAGCTTCCAAACTATTTTGAAAGCATTCAAATTGCCAAACACAATGCAAAGTAGCAGTAAGATGTACCGATCACGATGATGATGGATGTCAAGTAGGCCCCAACTACTGGTTAGCAGAATAATCTGAAATATATTGGACCTCCTGTTAATATTACCTTGTACTTCTGAAAGGTCAATAGGAGGGCTTGACTAAAATGGTGCTGTGTATATGACAATACCACTGATATACCTATGAATAAGCTGCATACTGACCATTCTTTAATTGTTGTCGAGTTGACATCAAAAACTAGTTACAGGTACCAAAAGAAAATATTTCTTCATTTACAACATTTACATGCTTAAGATGGTAGCAGAGTGCCATCAGCCATAGGTATCGGACAGTGATAATAAGAGACTTATAGGACCTGTATCGCTCACCTGGATATTTAAGCAATTATGGCAAAATGTTCTCATTTAAATTAATGTTGGAAATTAGTTTCCAGGGTTGCAGAAAATTTCCCTTTTTGGCCCTGCTTCTTAGCACCCCAAGGGGCTAGCCCCTCCATTTGTGAAATTTTGAATCCCAGCTACAACCTAAAGATGTTTCCAGTAAAATTAGGAGCAATTCTGTTCAGCAGTTCAGAAAAAGTTGTCGAAGAAACTGTTGCCAGACAGACGACGAATGCCACTGTATGGCATAAGCTCACCTTTGCCCTTCCAACCGGTGAGCAAAAAACCAAATCCAACTGTTATTCCTCTATTTATGTACATGTACACATGTAATTTTAACTCTTCTGGCAGCAGATGTGTAGCTCAAGCTGTGTTCAGGAAAGTTGTACAATCTTCATTCTAAATGTAGAATCAAGACCAAGACAAACCCAACGTAACCCAAGTAAACATCTATCTCTGCAATCTCCTCCACAATACTCCAGGGGTTACACTCTCTTACATTCTCTGCACTCCTGAATATTTCCTAGCAAAATTGAAGGCATGCTGCTAGCTATTTGATTGGTCTCAGGTTAATAATATATAGTCTGACGTATGTCCTTTGAAGATTACAGAGGAACTACACCAGACTTCAAAACTTCATATTGAAGTGTTCTTGTCTCAACCACAAGGTGGTGCACACTGAGCCTTCAATTTTGCTATGACATATTCCAGGGGTGCAGATCTAGCAAGGTTAAGTAAGCATAACTCTTGGAGTCTCAAGAAAGGTGCACTCTAAATGGTGGGGTCTCGGTCTTTTATGGTTAGTGACTTCTAGTTATGGAATTTTAACCGTCAACCTCCGACACTGGTTCTTCTCTCAGGTTGTATATACTATATACTAAGTATATTCTAGTTCAGGCGGTCATAAAACTCAACTAATTTCTGACACAGTCAGATAATTCAAACATTGTACTGTAATGGTATGAACTTAGGCAGCTTTGTCTTGGTCTAGTATTTACATAAAATATACACTAAAATTTACATCAGAACTTTAAGGATTAACTTGTATGTATTTTTTATGTTATGGAGATATAACACAAAAAAACGGAGTGTACTCTTAAATAAACTGCGAAGCGGTTTATGATTAGAGTAAACTCCATTTTTTTGTGTTATAGCTCCATAACATGAAAAATATATTCAAGTTAATCCTTATAATTTAATCTACTGTACACAATCCCTGTGGAAATCCACTTTTATTGATGGACTATTTTCTTTTAGAAATTATTGCTGCTGTATCAGCCAATCAAAAGCGACGTTACAAACGGCAAGATTAAATTATTTAAATACAACGAAAACTTTTTTCACAAATTTGCCATGCCCTTTACATTTCAAAGTATCATTATACTCTTAACATTTTATACAGTTTTCAATATACTTTAATCCACATCTTTTCTTAAAAAGAAATAATTTTATGAAATCTGAATAAAACTCTTTGAATAATGGCACCTATGTTAACCATAAATCTAGTCAGGAAACCTTCGACAGATTTGACTTTCCAAAATTTCACTAGTGACTGTTAATTGTTCAAAGGTGAAAACAAAATACACGGGAACAGTTGCTGATTTAACTAAACATCGTATCATGGTCAGCATATTTTGGGGGGGAAAACAACAAGGTTCAAATCTACATGACTTTCATGAAAAAGATTAACATACAACTATGAATTATCCTTTTAAAGTTGATATAAAACCATTTCTATATACCTGTATATACATCATATCAAAAACTAAACTGATTCAAATTGTAAATGAAAATAAATAGTGATAACAAAACAAATATTAAACAGGGATAACAAAGTAAAATTGATATACAGAGTTAACAAAACTTGGTACTCAGTAATAACACCTCAACTCCAGTGAAGTGTTGGCATTATAAAAAGTTTGGCATTAGATTTGTAGGGAGACATGTTATATACTGTCAAAAACAGGAAAAGGGAAAAAAATCATCCAATTAAGTTTAGAGAATAGAAATGAATGCTGAATATTAGACAAACAAAAAACAAGTATTGATATAATATGTCCCACGGAAGAAAAAAACACTAATATCACCATGATATTGACAAAATCATCTACAATTCATGTAGGTCACACACAAGGAAAAAATTAGCACATTGCACAAATGTTACAAAATAATATCAATTATGCATGGTATTTCTCATGGACTAGTTAAGGTGGAGGATCGTTACATCAGTTATAATTACAAAGGAGAGTTCCACTCAGCTGAGTTACATGAAGCGCCCAATTGGATTTATTCTGGTCTTGAGTGACATTCCTGGTCAAGGTATTTATCTCTCAATAAGTTGGGACCCATAAGTTCAGCATTCATTTTGATGCTTTGCATTTACCATTCCTGGATTTGTGTTAAATTCAATTTCAATCAAATACCATTCTTTAAAAAGCTTTGTAACCGGTGGTTTTTTAGAGAATGCTTCTGTAGAAAAAGATTGTTTTTTTTAAATCATAATAGTGACAATTGTAATATATTTTACTTTAAAAGATCCCTGTCCAACTGCATTGGTTGTTTCCCCATATATACAGCAACCTCCCCTTAATTTCATGTTTTGGATATAACTGTTATACAGTTGTACCTGGGGTGCATTTCTTTAACCTAAATCTGTAACATGTTTCAGTACAATGTTTTGAAATCAGAAACATGATTTAATGTAATATAAAAACAATTTGTTTTTAGAAAACCAAAACATGTTTCTGTTTCTTAATACATGTTGCTTTGGCTGTCATCGATCATATAGCTGTTGTAGCAGCTCATTCCTTTCTAGAGCTGCAAAAGTCATGCTCTACAAATTTGATTAATGAAGCTTTAAGCTCATATTGCCACAGTCAATGAACAGCCGAGAGGATGCAAATAGGTGTAGTAGCTATGTTGAATTTCTGTGATTTCGCCATCTTGGTAATAACAAGAGGCCCAGGGGCC